GAATGCTTCTCGTTTTCGATCGACCACCGTGCATCGTGCAAATACAGACCGCAGATTCAAATGCATTTCTATTTTGATAACGAAGAAAAATAAAAAACATGATCCAAGAACGTTCGCTTCCAATGTAATTTTACCCCGTTGGAAAATATCGAGAGCTGAGAATTCGGTAGAACTTTTTAGGGCCCGAAATAATAATCGTCGTCGAAGATAAAGTACAACGCGATCTCGCATGTTCTGTTCCTCTTAAAATAACGAGGAGGAAAAGAGAGAAGTATTTGATAAATTGGCACAATTTCTCCAGTTCCCGTGTCCCGCTAACTTTCGCGCCGAAAAGCGCGGCGCCTTGCCAAGAAAGCGTGAGAAGCATATACGTGAAACAGAGAATTCCTGTTTGAGATTTTTCATAACCCACATTTATCTATTAGGCGGCTCATCGTTCGTCGACGTCTTCGCCTTCGAAAGCGACCGTCTTCCTTCTCTTTGTTTCGTAATGGTATGCAAACTATGCACCGTTTCAAGGACTACCGAGCACTCTCGGAAGAAATTAGCGAGGTAGTTGGTAAATGCGGGTTCAGCCACAAAACTGTTACGAACTCTTTCCTCGAGAATTGCATTGGATAACGGTAGAATCCTTGTTTAGAATTCTAGTACGGTTGGAGCCTCTATTATCCGTGTTTGCGTAAACAAAGAAATGAAAACAAGAGGAATAAACGAATGGAACTCCGTATCTTAGCTCGCTATATTACATTTCTAATACCCCATTTTTATATTCTTTCATGTATGAATTGCTAACCTTAAATGTCGGAAAAGAGAAAACGCGCACCTTTAACAATTAACACGCCGAGTGCCGGAACATTTTAATGAAACGTGACCTGGAAAGCTGTCGGTAATTGCAACATTTGTAGTTTCATTCCGATTATTTTTTCACTGTACATATATCGTACGAAGTGTATTGAATATATGTATTTTTAAGTATGGAAAAAGAATTTTCTCGTAGAGAAACGTTAGAATGGTTTCTCGTGAAAATAAAAGTCCATCTCAGATGTGAAACAGACAGAGATAAAGAAGAGGGAAATAGCGATGAATTTGGACACAACGATGGAAAGCATTTCTTGGATATTACGTTCACCGTTTATTACGAAGCAAAATTGGCCAAGTTGATCAATTGATTCGTGCCACTCCGAGTGTTATTTATACCTATCTTAGTAATGATTAGTTCAATAGGGACTTCCTCCGTATTACCTGCGACCTCTTTTGTTCCAGTTCTGCCATTTTACTATTGGAACCAGCGCTCATTACGAAAGAGTTTACCACGATTCTTTATATGGGAATACAATCTATAATCGTACGAGACCGCTCGATTCGCACCGTCGTTTGCGCGAGAACAAAGGAAAGATTTTTCAATCTCTCCATCCTGTAAATAGCATCCTTTAACCGTGTTCAACGTCGCGAAACAACGTACCGATACGCAAAATGATACTGCTGCACGAGACGCTATTTCTTCGAGCGATTCGAAAATCGATTCCCCCCTAAATGGAACGCTACGCGAAGTACGTTCACTTTTCTTCTCGTAAGTTCATTACTTGAAGAATAATTACGTTCGATAGCCTTGTATTAATTGACACAATGCAAATGTATATTCCAAACACATTATGTTTTACATTTCTTTCCATAGAAAAGACATTAAAAATGTACGTCGAACAATGAAATTAGTTTCACGATCGTTTAGGGGTGTATACTTAGTCGAAGCTACGAACGGGGAATCCAGAAGCGGGTACCGGAAGTGGGGGCGTCGGTAACACTTGACAATCGCAACTGATAAATTACATAAAGTGCAATCGTCCCGTGGGGATGTCTAAAAATAACCGAAGAAGCATTAACAGCCTCCGAAGACTGAAAAGCGAAGACAACCGGAGGACCCAAATTTATGAGATCGAAAAAACGATCGAAAGTGAAGATCGAAAGTGAAAAGCATTTTTTCCAGAATACACGTATAATTAGAGACGAGAAGATTTTTCATTACTATTTTAAGAGTAACTAATTTGTTTGTTTTATATTCCTTACGAAATTGTTATCTAGATGAGAATTTTTACTGTTTCTACAGATGGTTATATATCAGTTGTGGTTTAACGTCACAGCTGAACGCTATAACTGTCGCGAGATCGAAAACTAGACAGAGAAAATTAGGTAGAAAATATCAGGCACCCGAAATCTGTTTTTCGAACCCTCTACAAACATTATCTGGTTCCCTGTCGGGGGAAAAGCTTTATGTTCAACAGATGTCGCTGGGAAGACCCCACGACAAAGAAGCGGCCAGATGAAAAAGAACACCGCTAGTGACGGTTAGTCGAGAGGTTCCCGAAAATGTTGAAAAAATTGCGGGGACCACCATGGGAATAAATTCCATTCGTTCCAACCGATGAAATTCTATTTTATAGTTTTCTTGCAATATTGATCTTATTTTTAGTATACTTTGAATAATTTTTTAATATTCCGGATAGGGGGTAAAAGAGTTTTCTAATGTTTATTACACACTTAATTAAGATAATAAAGTAAGATGTGTTTGATGTCTTAGAATATGGCGAGAATGATGTTTTGTGGTTCGAATGTTGGAACGAACTGTCTGAAAAACAACCACCCTTGGAAGGGGGTGCGAAGACGTCACTCGAGGACGTTGCTGTTGTTGGTCGACGAGCAGGTCAAATTTCCCAAAATTTGTAATTGGGGGAGGCTCATGGTAGGCGCACAGATGTGAGAATTGAAGAATTTTTCCCTACCATGAACCTCGTCTTGAACGCGAATCGAAATGGTCGATTCAGATCGTACAAACTTTGAAACTGTCTGAAACCAAAATGTCGCTGTTATAATATTATAGTAAAATAATATTGTTCTTACAATCACAAAAACTCTATACCACATAAAACACTTACATTATATTACAAAAATATGAATTTCATTTCGCTGTATGGGGATCCTCCAAAATTTTCCTTTGTTGAAAAGGTTCGTAGGAAACTGAAGTTCGAGAAACACTGCTATAGCATACAATTTATGAGAATTCCGGTTTGTTCCATAAAAAAATATATAATCTCATTTTACATTAAAAATGAGTTCGCATTTGTCCGTAATCTGGTCTTTCGTCCATAACTATAACTCTAACCAATGTGCAATAGTCTCTTTTTATATCCTCGTTATCGTATTGCACTCCATTTGCCGCAATAAAAAAAGATGTATGTATTTGCATAATAACATTATCGCCGTGCCGCTTTGTTCTACGAATTCCGTAATAAAGACTCGCGATATTTTTTTCGCGTCGAATATCGTCCGTACGCTCGGAAATGTATAAATAAATCGATGGGGAAGAGGCGCGTGAACGGCCATGAAGAAATACGATTGGCCGTGGGGGTCTCGTAAAGCAAGAAAAGTACATGTATTTCGCGGAAAAGAATAATAGCGTCCGCGAAACGTACGAGCGCGCGGCGTGTCACTAAAAATACCACTAACGACGCCAATTTCTCACGAAGGGACGAAGGTAAACGATCCTTTCTGTCGCGGAGAGAGGCGCGTTCATTTTTCGTCGCGATATCGATTGAGAGGTACTGTTTCCCGAGCCAGCAGCACATGGTTAAGCGGAACGCCAACTCTCGGTTGACGCGTGAATCCCGTCGAGCGAGTCCCGGTGTGTCTGAAGCCCGTAGGGGTCTGTACGTCCTTCCATCCCCCCAAAAACGGAACGCGCAGGATCAAGGCTCACGAGGGCATTTTGCTCTGTTCAACTTGGAAGCCCTCCAATGGGCTTCCCTTGCTCGCTCCCCACGCGACACCACTGGAACCCGTTTTAAAAGTCCGTAGAGGAATGCGTGCCGCCGTCGGGCCTTTCACCTCTTTCGCGAGAAAATGTATTTTCATGCTTTTCAATCGCGTGCCCGTCATCCGGGCTCCATTGCTCACGGCGTTCCGACCGGATATCAAATTCGACGATACAAAACGCCGCCATCGCGAAGAAAAATCGTCAATTTCTCATCGATTTTCTTTTCACGAAATCAACGTGATGATAATGTCCCACCATCGATGAAAGTAATTACGAATAAGATATACCGTATCGATGTTTCGGTAAAATCCGTTACGGCTACAGAAGAAAGCGTAACAGGTTCGATGTGTCCGGGATTATTGTTGAGAGCCCACATATCGCATAATAGGCTGAGATACGAGCATGTTTAGCTATTATGTGCGCGCGATTACGCGCTTAAGCTTCGCCCCATCGAAAGAGCCGTGGGTACGTTATCACCGCTTGTCTAAAAAAACCCCGGATGTAAACACCACGTTTCTATAAATATTTGTATCTAAAATTTATGGCAAGCTATCGAAAGAGCGTATGCGACGAGAAAAAGTGAGATACACAGGTATAATTATAGTCGAATTACAAATTATCAATACGTTCGCAAACGATAAACTGAAAATTGAAAACATTCATGCATACCATACTGCCACGATCCAAAAACATGCAGTTTAACAGAAATCGATATCGTACCAGAAGGTATATTAAAATTCCCGTGAAAATCTTTCGTCGTGCGAGGACGAAAGGTCGATGCTATCGCAACGAAAACTTTATTCGCATACCAAGTAACGAAAAGCAACTCGATGCGACGTTGGAAGCGCATTTAAACATTACTCCGGGCGCACAAAGGTTGACAAGAGTCGCCATTTTGAAATAATCGGCAAAGGATCCACCTTCTCTGTCTTTCTTTGAATATATCACGCTCGGGGACTCGATAGGATCGTGTATATCTGATTCTTGGCGTAGCGGGAAGGCTTAGATTTTGATTAAAAGTTACATAGTAACATACAGCTAAAGGGACGCGGTCGGTTACCCGGAAGAAACGCGACGCCTAGGGTACAATCTCGGGAGCATTGTACACATCGATCTCCCGTTTTCTCCTGGCTTTCGAGTTTGAAAATTCGTACGCCCCGCGGGCAAATGGAAACCATAAACAAAGACTTACCTCGTATTTGATGCCGTTGAGTCGCAACCATGTCTCCACCTTGAGACAATAAGCCGATAGGGAGGGCAGAAACGGCGTTCGAGAGAACTGATACAGATAAACAATGTCCTTCTCGTAGTTGGTCTTATGCACGCTGATAGCCTTCGTCGGTGCAGAGGATGCCGTGGCGGCCGCGGCGTCGGCGATCTCCTCCTTTTTCGCCGCATCCTTCTCCTCTTGCTTATTGTCCGGCGGCATTTCGTTCTTCAGCGCCTCCTTCTCTTTCACGTCCTTAATCTCCTTGCTCTCCGACCCGGTGTTCTCCGTCTCCGTTGCCGCCGTCATCTTGACTACTTTTTTCACAGGCTCGACCGGGTTTCAGTGAAAAACAGAACGCTTTCTCGTGCGAGCAAACCAAACGTCGAGGGACAACTTCTCGAGCGACACTGGGAGCCTATCTCGAAGACAGCGCGCACCACACAAACGTACGCCGGGTACTCGTTGATCCCTCTACTCGCCGGCCGGTTCCTTCTCGACGTTGCCCCGTTCTGTTCGCAGCTCCTGTCCCCCCAGTCGAACGCAACTTTGCGCATGCGCAAGCGCCACACCCCACTGTTGTCGCCATATTTAATTGGTCCACCACCCCTGCCCGGTCCGCGTGCCGCTCGTTCTCTCTGTCTATGGTTCTGCTTTTCTTTCTCCCTCTTATTCTCGTTTCCTCTCCCTTTTCCTCCCACGAACCCCCATAACCGGGGTCCTTCCACTTCGTCGTGGTTAGTCTCGCCTGGCAACACTGCCGCCACCGCCACCTCAAGAGGGCCGACAAACTCGCAACTATGTATTTAGGTACCCCGGGGCGAACTACAAAAGATCTCATGGCGGTCATTTTGTTATTAAAATTCGTTCAGTTTTGCGACGTCTATGCAGTCTGCCACTGACAGTATTGTTTTCGGTGTTCGTACAACGTCGAATATTACTTTCATGAACAAGTGATGTTTCGATACTGTTGCTTAGACATTTAGAATGCATATAAATTTTGATTATGACGCCCCTGCGTGAAAGCTCATAGACGGGGCCCTATGACATTCTAGTTTCGTTACTGGACAACCCGGCCAGCTGCTCTTCTCACTCACTCGTGCCACACTGGCAACGTCGCACCAGACCGGCGTAACAACGAACCCCTTTTCACGGATTACTTTTTTCCACTCTCTAGCCGATGGACTCCATTTGGAAAACTACCTGCTGCAACTTGCGCCGCCCATGGGCGCAAACTCTCCCCGAATCACTCGATAGTCCCGTTCTTTACTTTTGTCTTTACGTTACACGATCTCGCTTCCTCCGACTCTTCGTCCTTTCCGTTCTCGTCGCTCCTTTGTAATATCGTTCCGAGATTAAGTCTGTAAGAGGGATTACACTTTCGTGCGGGCTATGCTTCGCTCGGGATTTAGCGATAGGCGTAAAAAGACAACGAAAAAAACAATAAATGTCATGAATACCGTGTATTATTTATATTCCATTTCTACGTCTTACATATTTATGGTTCGTTATAAATATTATGAGTCACATTCTCAAAGCTATCTTCTTCAAATGAAAGTGACGAAGTACATTGTAATGTCCTCTTCAGAAATGTCAATAATTCTGCGGAGATTACGATAAGAATAGAATATTTACATTCTGCGGAGATACCGAAGGGACATAATATTTGCTTAAGAAATCGTCATTCGAGAGCACTATCTTTTCACTGCGTATGAACATCTTGGTGTCTCATTTGTTTACGATGCATGTTATTTCGAAAAAACGAATTAAAAAAATGAATGAAATACGTACGCTGCACGTACATCAAATCGTACGAAATATTTCGATTTTGCTCTCTCACACACGGGAAGAAGATAAATGCCTTAAAAGTGAATAAAAATTTATTTACTCCTGATGTTATAATATTCCCCACAATGTTCATGACAAATTTATATCGTTGTCCATAGTGTGCGCGTTATCCGTCGAAAAAATCTTGTATACAACAATCAGAAATCGCTAACAAATAATCTGTCTACGAGTTCTTACACTTGGAATATAATAAATGCGCCGAACGCGTACATACAATATGTATAGTTACTTCGAAATGATTCGAATAACAAGATACTGAAATATTCAGATATACCATCGTTGCTTTGAAAAGTCTTTAAACGAATCTGCCTTAAGAGTTTGGCGGTAGTTTCTTAAAATAGAAATGCGTAGAAAGGGGGCAAACAATGCAATACAATACAATATACTCGTGGGGCTTGCATACTTTCGTGTTAAGAAAAAAGTTTTGTACGTCTAAACGATTAAACTACTCCTTTCGACCGAAAAACGACAATTGCCAGCGACGAAACAAACAATATCGATATCAAGTGCTACTACATATTTCGTGACAGGGGTGGCCAACAAATTCCCGGGCAACTTTGAACTTCAATAGTTTTCAGACCGTCGATGTTAATACCTACACAAATTACCGGAGTTAAAAATTGTTTCAAATAAAAAGTTATGCCATGAACCGTGGTATAATCAATACGAAGCGCTAACGGAATCAAGCGATTATTTTTCTTTTCAATTACCAGAAACCAATTGTTATAAAAGCCTGTAAAGCAAAATCTAGAAAAATTATTCCAAGGATTATTTTTAACGGAATAAAATGCAAAAAAATCTAATTCTTACAAAGTAAAACTGTAACAATTAGTAATGAAGTATATCAATTAGTATAAATTTGTCCAAGTGTGATTGAACATGGAGATGATTATAATTAATTAGATACAAATATCTTATTAAGTCTTTTAAATATTCTTACGATTAAAAATAGCTTAGGAAGTTATTTGCCACTCTGATAAACAATAATAGCGAGAATGCACTTCTGGAATGGTTTCGTTAAATGCAAATGAGTCTGATAATTCTAAGAAAAAAAAAGAAAGATAAAATATCACTTTAAAACTATATGGTTCCCCGTACTAAACTTTTTTCTCGTAATTAAAACATTCGAAGTTACAAGAGATCGACTGATCCATATTAATAAGTTTCAGTTTCTTCGCGTTTGTTTCGATCATTGTCCGCAAAGAACAATGAAATTCAGCGCATATTAAGGAAAAGTCTTATTTGCAATAGGTCAAGGTGTTCTAAATGTATTTGTTGATCAATATCATTTCTTGTTTAAATCAGAAATACTGGCGTATACCCGTATATTACAATTTTTAGCAGGGGAGCATGCGTTTTCTATACGTAAGATTGCACTTCGATGGTTCTTTGAGTCAAACGCAACAAATTGTTATTTCTCTTCTGCCTTGCGCATCGATCACTCTTTCGTTAATTGTTAAACGAAATACATACTGCAAACCAAGTACGATAGACCGTGTTAAATTCTCCATCGATTCGCCTTGAGAAAACATACCTAATTTTGTGATAATCGTGCGTCTACAGTCGCAGAAACGACAAGAAGCGATTTCTCGATATTTTTCGCAGATAATTTCTTTAGTCGTTACAAATTGCACTTATAATCCAGGCAGGTATAATATCAGACAGTATCGAAATTATTTTATTATTCTTCTTATGCATAGACGGACAAAACATGTTCAATCGCTGCCGAAATATCTGAAAATGGTTAGAAACTAAGCCTCTCTTAGTTGTAATTATTTAGCTTGTGCCAGTAAGCGTTGCCTTAGCGTAATTTCTATGTTCACAAAATTGGGTAGGTTACTGCGCAACGACATATAAAAACTTTTTTCCCCCATAGAATGTGTAAAAGCTATACGTGTGTTTCGACTTTCTCGTCGACAGATCGGGAATAGTAATCTTCCACGAGGACCGTTATGAAATTCTGTATAAAGTGTTTTATTAATATTTTGATTTTGATTTCTTTCGAACAGAAAACTACTGTAAATTTAATACATAGGGTTTCCATAAGAATACCTAACGTTTGGTGTGGTTTGTAGGAAAATGTCTTTCCAGAACAGTCGAACGAGAAAGCGATGATTTAATCTTTTTTTTCGGGGACTTCCCTCTAACGAAACAATTTTTCTCGTTTTATCCCAATGAAAAGGGTTCTACTACTTTGCAAAAGGTTACATGCTTTTCCCCCTTGATCGTACGTGCACGAAAGCGGAAAAGTTCACTCCTCCGTAAAAACTTTCGCGTGATTGGTGCGAAAATGCGTTCTTCTCGGTAGCGGCCGTTTATATTCGCGCGTGTATGCCAATTGTACGTGACGAAATAAAAGTGTACAGATACAATTTAGGCCAAAGCGAGAACACTGTAAACGCGTGCAACCCTTAACGTTCCAACGTCACGTGAGAATATTCCACGCAAGACACAAGTCGCCATAAACAATCTTGCTATGTGTCTTAAGAAATAAGAAATAAAAATATAAATAAACAACTGTAACCGCGATTCAACGACAGAAACGTATCTCAACGGATGTTATAAATTGTACCGGTTGATTAATTCTTACCAATTAGTAAAAAGAGTATCGAACATAATTGTTATCTGTAAGCAAAAAGAAGAAAAAAAAACACGCGTTACACATAAAACAATTTAAACCTAAAACACACGCGACTCGTGATTATAGTCGATATTAAATACACATTTACAAATTTCGTACATAATTAGATATTGCTTTCTTGAATATTTTTATAAACATTACAGGGCAAATTATTACTTTTTTCGTACGACAACGATAAATGACTCTTCTTCGCAAATACTCACTTTTATAAATTAAAAAATAAAGATCGCTTGAAAGCAATGTACGTATAAAAAAAATTAGTTAACAAAATTCGTCATAGATAAAATTTACCTATTTGCACTATTTATCGAGAACACGTATCGCGTTCGTCATCGAAAGACGAACCTCCGGGTATCTCTTTGCGAAATAAACGGTGCTCCGATTACGCTCGAACAAAGGTAATAAAAAAAAAACGAACGCGACGCGTTCGAAAATTAGCGCTTATCGCCCCCGGACGATAAAAAGAAAAAAAAAACATTCCTTATCGGCCAGCTGTTCATCTTATCGTAAAAGCAAATACATTTCGGGTAGTGTAATTCTTAACGCATTGTATGCTCGAATACAATCGCCACGTACGCAACAGTAGAATCAAGAGGTGGATCGTTAAGGGTTCGAGTAAGCTGGAAACAAAAAATTAAGAAGAAACAAAAATAAAAGTCGAGAACAAAGCAGTGATGTTTGAACTGCGCAACTACTTACGTTGGAAGTAATTATCACGTCCTAGGAAGTCGCTATAAGGAACGAGCTATCCGGGTATTAACTTTTACAAGTACTCCCGATTATCTCGTTCGGTTTCGGTTTCAATAATCTGCAATTAGTAAATTTATTTAAAGGACACCGTTTCACCCCCACCGCTCAGGAGCTGCTAGATCTGATTAGAAGTTCTCTCTTGATCGTCGAAACGATCTTTTCTTTACGTTCACTTTGTTCAAAACGGTAAATATTTGGTAAATAGTAAAAGAAGAAGTAGTTAACAAACAAGACAAAAACAATGATTTAAACGTTTCAATCTTTGGATTCCTGCCAGGAAATTAGTTTTAATCGTGGCATCATATGTGTAACTCAAGCAGGTATTCTATTGTATTATTTTTACTACTGTATAGACCTTTGAAAAATATCAAATGTGTAGAATAGCTAAAACTATGGAAACCATAAGACTTCTTTTTACTATATTGTAAATATGTGTGTTTCTTGTCAAAAAATTATCAAAAGGGGATCTAAAAATATGTATTTTACAGTAGAATACCCCGTTAATGTTGAATAAAATAGACGTAGTTTATGAACAACATTCTAGTGATTCGCATTTGGAGTTTGTCTATCCTTCGTTATATTACTTAACTAAACGTTGTTCCCCATTCCTCTGTAAACCAGAAACGTTAATTACGATTTATATTCATAGAATACATTAATAGAAGTTTGTATAATTAATATTAAATTAATCTAATAATCGTCACTATAAACTTGTTCATAAAATACAAACGTTATTACCCAACATCAAATCACACACATGTATCCTCGTTCTAGTAACTGATGCTGTTAATAAATCTAATTTTCTAACATGGAGCTAAAAACTAGAGATGGAAAATAAAAATGATTGTTTTAATTTTGTTCGCTACGATTGATCTTGTCTACTATTTATCACTCGCACGAGCATGCATTATAATTGAAATGATAATAAATATCTTGTGATTTTGTGCGCAAGTTCTGTCGACTCGGAGTATTGAAATCAACGTCGCGTTTATTTCTCGGACGCATAAATACACAAGAAGAATACTGTTGATGAATTCAGACGTAGCGTATATGTTTCTCTTTTTCGTTTTTTTTTTTCTATTTTTTTTTCTTCGTGAAATTCTAACCGAAGCAAATACGCTGCTACAATTCGTTAAACGAGACTCTACGTAGATTCCGTCGTTTCAGGAGGAAAAAACGCGTAAAAGACGACTACGAAAATCGTAGATTTCCCCGTCGACGGACTTCACCCTCTATTCAATATACAATTCCTTAAATGGAATTACATTTGGTTTAAATTACAAAAAATACACAGAATGCGTAATACGTATAAAAACTGTTGTATGTGTCGTATAGTTATACTAATCTATAGAGTTCGTCGATCGTAATCAGACTTCGAAGTGAAACGCGCTATCGTTGATTGCGATGAACATTGATCTGTTTAAACAGAGACGGTAGTAAATTGGTGTACATTCAATCGTGGCTCCGTATAAAATAACGATTAAAATGCCTTCGTTCTAATTTCGTGGAATATTCTGGACGCTATTCTCTACCTCGAAACGTTAAAAGTTACCTGTGAACACTTCGAAGCCTGATTAAAATAAAAAAATCGACTCGGTCGACAATTTTATATTGCGCTATTAATGACCACCAGATTACACCTAGTTAATCGCTAAATGCTGTTAATACATCACGAGCTAGTGGTAATACACGTAACTAAAAAACAATAATAATCATTATTCTCTATATGTTATTTTTTTTTTTTTTCGATTTATATTCTATGTGCGTACTCGTCATTCCTTTCTACGTCGAAAGCATTGGTTATGAACAAAAGGATCCACAATTTGGATCTGACAATGGAGTACTTGTGTTATAACGATAATTAGCTGCCTAATGTCTTGTATACGTGGAATTCTATACCTCTGGTGAGTTTGGCGTGGTTGCGTTGATATGATCCTGTAAACAAATTCTGAGATCCCGCTCGTCTAGTTCGCTTTCAGTGTCAACACTGAATGTTCTTACGTTTTGGCCACCATGGCCCGTCCAACGTTGCTTCCAACTTTCTAGCCTCATGACCTGTGACACACATATAACACACAATAATATTTGTTGAATCGAACGAAACGATCGTTCCTGGAAAGTCCGGTACCCTCTCTATGTCGCTGTTCAATTTAAAAAAAAAAAATTACACTTCACGCTGCCGTCTCTGAAAACAAGATCGAAATCTGTACAAATCAACTACTTCGTAATTTGTATAGCAATTTTGTACAGTACATTCTAATTGGTATAGTTCGTTCGATCATTAATAGTGAGAATCATGAAGTAAATAATGAAATAACTGCATCGAGAATTATTTTCATGTTATATGTACACGGCTGGATAAAATTCCAATAGATGATGTTTATGAAATTTATCAAACTTATTGTTTAATATCGAACAAAATAATATGCTTTGAAATATGTAACAAAACGAACGAAGCGAATGTCGTGCATTTTAACCTAAAATCTAGCGAAACGCAAGCAAAGAGCAAAACCACAAGAGTTCTATTTCTGTAACGATTCGTTGGCTTTTGGGATAAGTACAAATAAGAACTAGTTATTTTGGAAAACGGAATGCAGAACTAAACGATAATTATACATTCGTTAACATGTTATATATACATTTATAAACCAAATCATACTTTCATATTTGATTATGCTTTATCTATAACTTCTATAAAAAAAAAAGTAATGCTTAAACAAACAAGATATTCTAAATATGTCTCCTACTAACAAGGGTTGAAAACAGTTATGAGAATCGAAATGATAGTGTAACAGTTACGAATAAAAAAGGTTCTGTTGCATACTGATTATGGTTATGGTTGCACAGAACCGTTACTATATCGGTTCTGTGCAACCGTAACCATAACCGATGTACACAGTTCTATATCGATTCTGAAACGGTTCTATGTCGGTTCTAAAACGATTCTAAACTGTTCTTATGCCAGTTATGCGTCGCTTCTGCATAGACATTGCATAGAAAATATTCATCAGAATGTTATACCACAAATTATAATGCACAATATGTACTAACACATTGATTACCATGTCACTTTGCTTAGAAAGTTTGTTTCATTAGTAAGCAATGTGTTAGAATGCGTATCTCGTTCCTTTGTACAGTAAAAAATTTCAATTCTAACCTATAATAAAAGAAGAGGACGAAACAAAATGAAATGAAATAAAGCAATATGTACAGTAATTGCAAAGCACGTAATTAAAACTGCAAAGCATAGATCATACGTGATGAGGAAATTCAACCGGTGTATTGTTACACATGTTATGATTTGTTAGCATAAGAAGAGTAGCTATAATGCGGGACAAGATTATCGTCCGTTTCACATTTTTCTTTAAATAGATATACACGCCAAAACATATATGTTTCGTGCACCCTAGAAAATAAAATTCTGGTTAAAATATCATTCTGTCCCGCATTGTAATATAGCATCTACTAATTTCAATCTTCCATTGAGAAGCTTAACACTGACGAATCGTTAACACACATCGTGTTTATGAATTTTCCTGCAACTGCATCGAGTGCACTTCTACGTGCACATACGTGAAATTCTATTTACATATCGTACACGATGAAAATATCTTTATCTTGCAGAACTAACAAGATCCGAAGTATAATGTACAAAATACAATAGATTCTGATTAAAAATTGATGTTCAAGTGCAAGGGCAAGCTTTTCTAAACGCTCTTTAAAGTCGAAGTTCAAGTAACTCGAGATATTACGTTAGAAAATTAACGAACAATTATTGAATAATAACGATGACCATACGGTTACACGAAACTACACACAGGAAAAACATTTCATTTATAAACTTCACATTAACGTCATGCTACGTATATGAAATGGATAAAAATAATGCTTACAGATGGGTAAAGACTTACTCGAGCCAACGCCAAGGCTCAGTGTCCGGGCTGGTGATTGGCGTAGGGAACTAGGGAGACAGAGATAACACAGCAATAGAGGGTTAGTTTTACAAAAAAAACCATTAGTTTCATTGTGTTAGTGTCTGGTACCTTCACACAATAAGAATTCCATTTGTAATTACAATTAGGTTCAGGTATCACTGCATCGTTATTTCTTCTAATTCTGCTTATGCAGCGCTTCATTCAATGATATATTACAATGCAATTTTTCTGAGTATCCTATACACATAAAAGATTGGATCAAATGAATAATATCTTTGAAGGTGTACTTTCTAAGAACAATCTCCTAGTTCTTTCTTTTGTGTAAAAGTTGTTGGATTAGCTGTTACTCCGTGCTGTGCTAACTCTCAATGTCTAATAAAATATTATTAAAGCACAATCAGTATAATAAATAGCGAGCTTGATTTGTCATAAAATGATTTTAACATGTGCCTATGTAGAACAGTTTAAATGTTGATGCCAAGACATTGAAAATTTGGCAATTACATTAAAAAATAATCACTGATTAAAGAAACATTTGAAACAATGAATCTTGGTACCATACAGAAAATGGAACATTGACTGCAAATTTTCAATGTGCAATGAATTAAAAGAAAAGGACAAATATTTTGTTCAAAAGGGCACTGCTAATATTGTTTTAGCGCCCTCAAAGATATACGGTTTTTTTTATACTTAAAACAACGATGATTATTAGCACATCCCCACCAGTGCAAAAACAATATTAAATGAGCGGGTACCATAATCACGATTAACGTTAAGTGTAAAGCGATTTGACATTTAAAATTTATATTGCATTGCAGCATAGACATAACAAGCTGTGAATGCATCCTATTGTCGAAGCTCTAATATGTAAACAACTTTTTTTTTTTATGTGAATTATAATTCATACAGATTACATGAGCACAAAAAGTTTATGAGCGAGTCAAAACAATTAAGAATATACTGGAGATGATGAAACGCGATGAATTCTTAATGTGTACAGGTACCTCTGCAGGAATGTTATTTGTCAATATGACAAGTGAGAAGGTTGTGTTTTGTTTGGCACTAGAACAGTTAATTGTTAATAACAAACATTCAAAATATGTACTGTATCGGTTAGTGTTGTATCTGTTAACTTATTAATAATGAAAATCTAATAAAATATTTATCTTAGCATCGAAGTCGAGAAATAAATTTTATTTAAATACCGATAAAAATCTCCACCTATTTGTTGATCAATTCTTTTTTCTAAACATGAAATTTTTTATATAGCGTTCGTTTTAATTAAAAACAAAAGTACCGTTCGTCAGCGTGACAGCATTACATTGCAGTAAGAGGTGCAATTTGTGCATAACAGTTTTGTGAGTCACATTAATACAAAAGCGTAAATTACATTTTCACATAATTTACATGTAATTACGATAGTTGTAATTGTGCGCACCCAATAAATACAAGTAGCACAAAAGTAACAATACATATTATGTACATACTCTTTTAACATACTTTTTAGTGAAGAGGTTTTAGGGAAGTTAGTTAAAAAAAATATAGTTTAGTAACACATTAAAGACTTAATCCTTGATAACACGTGAATTAATGATGCAACAGAAACAACAAGAATATTGCCCTATCTCCAATAGCATACGATCTTCATGACGAGAGATAAACAAGTGTTCATAAAACATAAGTACTTCACAAAACAGTGTCATAAAAATATCAGGTGCAATATCACAGATATATAAACACGGCGAGGAAAACTTTATATTACACAGCAGAATGTACAAAATTAGCCACAAATAAATGTGAACTATCACGATCGTAAATCCTAAAATGTTATCGATATGTATCCTACGAAAATATTAAAAAATCAAGTTACGCTAAATGTGTCCGTGTAGACTGCAAGAATAGTATATAAATTATGTGGATAAACGTTTATGAGTTGTATGAATATGCAGGAATTCAAATAATAAATCAAGATCCTAGCTATATAGAATGATCTATCAACTGGAATTACTTCTATTCCCAAATGTACGGAAATCTCGTTAATCTACAAGCTTCGGAATTTACTAAATTGCAGCCCAATAGCGGATCAATAAAAATTGGACTCTTAATTAAGCTATTGTGAAATGATCATAACTCTACGTCTTTATAACCTACCGCCATTACTTCTATCGACAATAATTTGTACTTAATGTTATAAAACACTAAACAAAGACATGAATGTCAATTTTAATGGAAGAAACTTAATCAGGATCGTCAACAATTAAAAAACATATACGAAAATAATTACACTTGTGCATAATTGAAAGCATTCTTAAATAATTAACTTGCAATACTAGAATGTCTACTATGAATAACGCTAATGGTTTCTTAAGATATGAATTAAACAAAAACTGAACGATATTTCGTTTTTTAAAATTTACTGTTCGATAATTATCTTGGATAACTAATTATTATTAGTACATACGAAAACACCGAAAAAATCAAAGTTTATTTGCTTTTCAGTAATTATTCCCTCCATTCACCCCTTACTGCAATTTTTTAAATCAATGCTTTCATTAATGCAGCTTAAACGAGCTTTAGGCTTTCCACATACCTCAGCTTTCAGTTCAGCAACTTTATCCTGTAATTCTCTTACTCTCTCACTGTCGTCTAAATTATTCCTAAGTTCACCCTCCGCGTGCATCTCCTCATTCTGTAACAAATAAGAGCGGTCAATGATTGCAACATTTCGCAGGCGGGCAACTGCATGCTGGCATTAGAGAAAATTCCACGGATAATGAAGAACAGTACTTTTAACTTGAGAAGGGATATCTTTTGCGTGAGTTCTGCAACTTGCTGCGCGTGTTCAGCGTCACGTATCCTGGCCATCATAGCTTCGTCTTTCATCTTCGACTCCAGGTCAGAATACTTGTGTTGTTGCTCCCGCAATTTGGCAGTAAGCTCCTTCTCTCTGTCTAAGGCAGCTTCCAATTCTTCTTTAACCTGTTTCCCACCTTCGTCCTGTCGACGGAGCTGATTCGTGGCGACCTGCACTTGAGTCTCAAGCTCCATAACTTTAAGTCTAAGCTCCTTTACTTCGGTCAGAGCTTCCATCTCTCGAATCCTAGTAGTCATTAAATCCTCCTCGAATTTTTGCACTTCGTGGCCCCTGTTTTCCCAAAATAGAAGCTTCTTCGGTGTGGAATCACTAGCAGGCGCTGTCTGAGCAGAACGATGCTCTTGTAAATGCCTTTGCCAGGCAGAACTCAATTCCACCACTCTTTGCCGCAGATCCTAACAAATCGTTAATACAGTGAGTGTTCTTTTTTTTAACAGAAGCGTGATAGGAAAACTTACCTTTAAGGAAAGGTTGGCTTCCGCCTCTCGGAGTTTAACGGCGATTAACTCTTCTTGCAAGTGAGCGACGGAATTATCTGGCGTGGTTTCGCGTAACGTTTTCTTATCTTCCTCTAATTCTTGTATTCTTGCTCTAAGTTCCCTTATCGTTGCATCGTTTTCCGCTTCGTGCAATCGAACCCTAACCAATTCCTCTTGCAAACACTGTATCATCTCTTCCTTCTGCGACAACGCTTCTTGCTTCAACAGAATCTCATCCAGAGACGATTGTTTCGAGGTCACGTTCTCCTCCAACAAGACCGACAGGGATCTTAATTCCTCATGAGCCTGTTCCAACTGATGGCTAGTCTCGAGATGCGTATGTCGAAGCGCCGCCAGTTCCCTTTGTACAACGAAAGCGGTTTCCTCCTCCTCCGCGCGAGAAACTTGACCCCTAACTAATCTATCCGCCAGTTCCGCGGACTCGGCTTCGAGAAGTTCAGTTCTTTGTCTAAGTAACCTATTTTCCGCCCTAAGTCTACGAAGCTCTACCATTTCCTCTTGCTCTTTCATTTTCAACACGGTGTAATCTTTCTCTAATTTCTTCATTCTCCTTGGATTAATTTTCATACCATAAGCAAGGCTCATGAGGCCATCGGGGTCTTTCTCGGCCTTTCCGGGTAGCTGTTTCTGGAAAAACTGTATCGAAAAGGACTAATAAATATTATTAGAGCAAAAATAAAATCCAACGTAAACCCGCGTGTGGGAAAGCATTGTTTCTTTGACGTTTTTGATTTTGCAATGCCGGACGTTACTTTTAAAGCCGATACAATAATATGTGTGGATGATGAACGTTACCTTCAACATGCCCTCCATGTCCAAGCTCAATAAATCTTCCTTGCCTAAGTGTAACATGGCCAGCGCAACTTTGAAAATAATTTCCATGCCTTCGGACAGAAACACGTCAAAAATGCGGCAGGCCAGCGGGAGGCTCAGCGCTGTGGTGAAAAGCGTAAGAAACCAAGACGATGCGTACATTGAGGTGTGAAAACCTTGAGCCGTAAAATGAGCGTGTAACTCGGGATGCGTGTCAGCAACTAAATGTTCTAGCTGATACATGCACACCCCTAATTCAGCCATACTCGGCTTGAACATGTCTCGCAAACGATACTCTTGCATAAGCGCTACCAGTACAGCGAAAGCTTCCTCTTCTGGCATTTGCTGCAACAATAGATCGATACCTATTTAATACCGTACAGTGTTCAACGTAACCAGGTACCGATTTCTTAAATCTCTCCCGATCATTATCCCTTTCTCACGTGAAATAATAAAGTGTACCTGCATAAGGAGCAATCCTACAATAAATCCCGAACCTTGACAGTATCCCACTTCACGATCGTGAAGACTATACGCTTTCATAACGTTAAACAAACTCTCCTGACCAAGACCGTCTTTTTCCTTAAAGAAATCATGCTCAGGATACGTTCTGGCTATATCCCTTCTGATTATCCTTTCGCATGCGGACGTGGCTTTTATATACTCGGCAAATTGCTTTTTAACAGGAGAGTCGTGAGCACCACATAGTAGTTGCCAAACAATACCTCTGCAATAATGAACGGTGAATCAGTGATTCGCTTGGGACTCGTTTCTCAATCCAAACGATTAAGAAGACTTTAAAGAAGTGTTTTTCTCAAATAGGGGACGTGAGTCCTAGGTAGAGCAAATTGTGTCTTGGGACTTAAATATCCGTATCTTTAACAATTTAAAAGTATATTTTTCTTGTATCGTTTTAACTTCTTCAGGGACGAATTGCTTTGTATGAACTGAAATATTGCCATGCTATACTATTGGGAGATTAAATTTTTTAATTAGAGATATTTATTCACAATTGTAGTGGTAGCCTTCAAAATAAGAAAAGAACAAAGTTTCCTCTTCTTTCTTAAAACTTCTTTTTAAAGTCTCCCCAGGTTGCCAGTTAATTCGAGAAGCTCTTGGAAATATTTATTACCTAAAATGATGAGGTATTCCTTGACGTACTAATTCTTTGACGAACTCTTTCCTCTTCTTCCAATGATAATCCCAATCAGCGACGATATGGCCCCAGAGGGTCCACGTATTTTCTTCACCATCAGCTGCGTTGTGGCGTCGGGGCGCAGCATCGCCGTTCCCTCCGCTGCCCCCCGACGCCACCGACACCTGAGATGTGTCGGAGCCTTTCCTACTGTGATTGCTTTGGAGCGAGTTCAACGACTTTGCATCCGATTCGATAAGCCTGTTATTGATTACACCAAACTCTTGAGACACTTCCTTCAACTTAATCCAATCGCTGTCTGTATTACAAAACTGTTGATTTGTAACATATGAGACGTTTGTTTCTATATGTCGAGACAAAAGCACTTCGTTTTTCTTAACAAAATAAGATATATGGTGCACAAATAAAGACATTTTCTTTAACTAGTTACTAGGCTTTGAATCACAATGATCGCTAAAAAGGCGTGTATTAGAATTTCTCGTTTCCGCGAGTGGTTGAAATCGATGCAATGATAAATCTGCTGACTATGGTGAACATAATAGATCCTATATCTGAGGTCATTCACATCGAAACGTACGACTAAACATTGTTACGCTATATAGAATTTTCTCTCGTCCTCTGATCAAATTAACATTCTACACGGTAACAATGAAACTCCGCAACGATTCAAATCAATTATAAGCAAATAAAAGTTCTGTCTACGTGTACGAACTTTGCTGGACTATCTTCATATGTTACAACCCAATATTATACTAATGTCTTGAAGACAACTAACATCTAATATAGATATCATTGTATATGGTAAGTCTCTGTATAGTTTTCCTCAGATGTGTGGGTTAACATTGTCTAATTTACAAGGGAATTCTACGATTGTCCCAACAGAGATTTTGATGAAGTTTTTCTGATAAAGATCTCTGATGGAACAGCTCATGGCCCTTTTGTTAGACCTGTAGCTACAAATACGTACAAAAATAAGCAGGACTGACAATTTGATATAAAGATATAGCGCTCAAAGTAATTAGACGTCTCCTTGTGTATTGCAATATCACAAATAAAAATCTTTTAAAGGACCATTTCTGGATAGTTAATTTGCATCGAGATTCGTGCAAATTACAACCTGTATGGCCTTGTTCGGTTGACCTGGCGATCTCCTAATTAATTTGAGCGGTGTGGTGTACGTAATACAATAACGAAGCACTAATATATTTAAAGCGTAGTTGATTTGCACATGCAACGACGATTGTAAACGTTGGTCGGTAGGATTAATTCACCTATTGGCTTCCTCCAGCTTAGCTAATAGAGCCAGCTCGTCGGTGGGTATTTCCTGCGACGAGTTTATACTCTCTTCCTCGGATGAAACTGGCGACGAGCTCTGTAGTATTTTGCTAGCCTGGTTGTTGTTTTGAGCGGTCTGGTGTACTGAGGTGCATAAACACAACACGCTCATCACCTGCGGTCCATAACGTGATAATCCTAATTGACCAGCTACCTGACTCTCTTGACCCCTGAAAAAAAAAAACAATTCACAGTTATAGATCGTTCGCGAGCACAAAATAATCCGCTGATTTTTTTCTATTACGTTACAGATTCGTGTATATTCGTGTAAGTTTTGTTACTTTCTCCGAACACAAGCGCAATACGTTCCTCGTTGCATCGAGGAATATACATATAACTGCGCACATTCAAGAGTTACAGTGGAAAGTAAAATGTATAATTACAAACGACCACTTCTTCCATGCCAATTAAATTATTTTCTATGCAACGGAAAAGATCAATGATAACGTTTCGCGTGTCTATATTCATTCTGCCTCTTCAATATCTTATGTCAGTGTTCGCCAACCTTGAAGAGTATAGACGCTGCTATATGAATCTTATGATTGCAGGTAAGCTACTCGGTGCAATCTAATAACTGTACTTTTATCATATACTATGCGGTCCAAACAAAGCGCTACCAGCTGTTTTCTCAGAAGCCAACGAAAGATAACTTGGAATTTTTTCCCCTCGAGGACTCGAAGAAAAAAAAGAAAAAAAAAGACGAAATCTCATTCTAGATATTGTTTACTTCGACAAAGATTTATTATTCATATAGAGATAGCAGGATACGTAAGATCTATTTATCAAGACTGTCTAAATACACTTTTTTGGCACAACCTAAACACTATAACAGTGCACCGAGCTCTTACAACCGTAATCTCTTCCTTAAACACATATACAATGTGTGTCTGCCCGGAAGATATGATAAAAATTTGTCTTCGTCCTATTAATCAAACTGTTTGGAATTTATTTGTTCTATAGTTTCTAAAACTATAATAGAATTTTAATATTCACCGAGAGGCGAATAATAAGAGAGGGGTCCTCGACTTTAATGCACTTCATCGACTAATTATTTTTACCAGCGTCGAGTTTACAAACTCGCGACCGTGTAACCGCCATCGATTCGTTGACGAACGAATGATTATTTATGCAAAATATTAATAGGTTCGAGTGGCGTCGAGGGCCCCATCGAAGCCCAATTAAAGCTCGAACTCGCGAGCATTTCAACCCCTACGATTCCCACGCGGAGGTTCCGATGAACGGTTCATTACAGACCTCTCTCTGCCCTTTCGCTCTTAGTGCTGTTCGAAGTTCGTTAAACCTCAATTAACACGTTGGCTGCCGTACCCAAATTCGCGAAACTTTCAACGATATCAACGTTTCGTTCCCCGGACAATCGTACAGTGCTTAAATTACAATTTGTCGCGGCGATCAATTTCTTTCGATTTTCTTCTGTTTCAATGCTCGGTTCGAAGAAATTGCACGGGACGCGTTAACGCGTTAAAAAGTCTACCTTTTCGACGTTTTATTTCGTGCCCATCGCGCCGCCGCCGGTGCCAGCAAACCACGAAGAACCATCGGGCAATTTGTTGTTCCTCGCTTAAGAAACTCGCGATCCGAAAACTGTCCAGGTACGACCGTCTCGCTCTCCCAGCGATTACTTTCGATTTTTCCGCGAACCGTGGTCGTTCGTCGCGGTACACAATTTTCCAACGATTTTCCGCGAAGCTATTTCGGGCTCGTGGTACGGACACATCTCGTCGTTGACCTTCTCTACAAACATCATTTTAATTTTTTTTTTGCGTCTGTTTTCGTCGTTACGCGTAGAGAAATCGGAAGAAAAAGAACTTATAAAAGTGATCATTTGTGCACGTGAATAAGAGTCATAAAAAATTTCAAAAAATACATTATTGTTAGAAACAAGTCATGTGGACTCCCATGGTAGATCTAGTGTTAGTTGTTTTTTTCATTTTTATTTGAAGTATTTGTGAGGCCTGGAGCGTGCGAGATTTTCAATTTTTCGATCGTCGTTTCGGTCCGCCGGAGTCGTGCAACAAACGACGAAAGGTCGAGAAGAAAGCCGGGCAATTAGCGCGTGCGAATGAATTAGCCAACGAAAGAGCAGGCGAACGAGTACAAGCGCGAAACACTCGGTGGCAATGCTCCGGCCACGAGATAGGATAATTCACGTTTCTCGCCGCGTACTCCGGGACGCCGTGGAATTTAAAGTGCGTACGAACATCCACACGCGAACGATAACGCTTAACAATCCGCAGGCCTCGATTGGAAACAGCGTTACGCGCGTAATTACATAATTGCAGAATATATAATTAACTATTTTATTCTTTCTGCTCGCGAACGGACGTGCAGACGGGATTTTAAAACTGGGCCAAGTACCGGGGGCCTTTGAAATGACTAGAAAATGACCCATTCGTAATTTCTAATAAAAATTGTAAAATATTTACTCGACTAAATTCTTTTTGTATTATTTTTATAATTTTTAGCATTACAAATTCCTTCAAATATCTATCGTTTTAATTCCTTTGGTACAAATAAACACACTATAATTGTTGGCAGTTCTAGTGTTAAGAAACGTGCACGTGCACTGTTATCGAACGAAATAACAATATTTTTTAAGAAATATATTTTAAAAAATGATACTTTGTCTATGCAAATACATCGATGGGAATCTTAGTCATCCATCATGCTCGATAGGGAAATATACTTGTAATTTATGCGAAACAACTATTTAGACAGCTTTGAAATGAAGTATAACGTAAGAGAGAAAAAAAAATTAATACAAGATTTCATGGTACAAGGAAAATTGTTTTCTATTGGTCCTGAACTAGAACGTAATTAAAATCGATACCGAATTTATATTCATAAAATCCTGTAACGAATATTAGTAAATATTAAAGCGTTATATCTAAGTCAAGACTCATACTTTATCACGAGACATTTTATAATACATAAGGAACGTACCAATCGTCGAACACCTATAGCTTAGTTTTTATCCTAGTTACGTCATACTCTACTTCAAGGCTACGATAGTAATATTTGTTTTACATGAATTGTATCTCGAATTCTTTCTGCAGTGGGTCACGTTACTCAGTGACCGACACTGTCGTTGGTTAAATAAACCATTGTACATCATAATCGATGATTTTCAAAACAAACATTTAAGGGGAAATATATTATACGAAATAAATCTTTAAATTTTCTATTGGTACTCATATTTGACGTCATCTTCAAACTACCAATGAAAAATTTAAATTACAAAAGAGAACCGGTGAATAATCTTTTGTGGTAAACCGTCGAAAAAATAAATAATAAACGACTCGTGACGGCTGTAACCGACGTTATCGATTCCATCCCGACTCTTGCCAACGAGTTTAATATCAAGATCCGCGGTGGAACGTAAGGATCGGAGTTTTTTCGTAAAATTGAAAACCGTCGACCGTACGAGAAACGCCCATTTTAAGTTTCCGTAAAAAACTTTAATCGAAACGTAATTTGCCGGTTTCTCTTCCCTCCTGCTCGTTCGAATCGAAGTTAATTTCCGTCGACTACGATTCACCGAACTCCCACAAATGTCGTCGAGTTTCGCGTCGACGCTTTTAAAAAGTCATCGAAGCCTCGACGAGCCACGATCAAGCATCGGTATCTCATTAGCAGACAACCGCGGTGCAAAGGGACTTCCCCTAACAACCTAATTTGTCTCGGGATAATTCTCAACCGAACCAGACGAAAATCGCGCGGCCACCGAACCGTGATTTCAATTCATATTCCGTTTCAATGCGGGTGCACCAAAACTCCCGTACCGAATCGTCAATGTTGAAAGATCTCGCGCTCCATATTCGCTTTTCGAGGCAAGCAGTTCGTATAATAGCTCGCAATTGTTCCGACAAAACCCAAATTGTACCCTGGTCGGACAATTATTCGAATACAATTCCATTTACTACACTTAACGCCAGAACTACCAAACCAGTAAAAATCAGTGATTTCAAACTTTCGTTTGATGCTAAATTTGCAGTCTCAACATGACGAGTTTCAATGAAAATGCTTTATTGCAACATTCAAAGAGTTAATTAATTTGTTTTTTCCCCACGTACGTTTCTAAATTAAGTTGAAAATAAGGCGTATACTATCGTGTTTGCGTCAGACTCTGATAACGGTGCGCGCGAAGAGCCACACGGAGTGCGGGCAGCAATTTTCAAAGCTAAATATTTCGAAAAGTAAACGTCGTACGGAAAAAAAGTATCACGCGGTTTCGACTTATTTTTTACGGGGAATCAACACCAGTTTGATAGTACTATACAGAGTGTTCAACTACCCCTGGGAAAAAATTTTAATGGGAGATTCTGGAGACCAAAATAAGACGAAAATCAAGAATATCAATTTCTTGATTGAGGTTTCGTTAAAAAGTTATTGAAAAATTTCAAATCGTTCTGGAAAAATTATTTTCATTTGCAGGGGTCAATTACAATCATTTTTGGTCGATAGACATACCCTCGAAATCCTACCCACTTTCGAGAATAAAATTCGACAATGTGTGAAATTTTTCGACAAAATTAAAAAATTTCAAATCGTTCTGGAAAAATTATTTTCAGTTGCAGGGGTTAATTACAATCCTTTTTGGTCGATAGACATACCCTCGAAATCCTATCTACTTTCGAGAAAAAAATTCGAGTAGGTGTGAAATTTTTCGGCGAAAAAATAAATTTCAAATCGTTCTAAAAAAATTATTTTCAATTGCAGGGGTCAATTACAATCATTTTTGGTCTTTAGAGATACTCTCGAATTCCGACCCCCTTTCGAGAAAAAAATTCGAGTAGGTGTGAAATTTTTCGACGAAAAAATAAATTTCATATCGTTCTAAAAAAATTATTTTCAGTTGTAGAGGTCAATTATAACCATTTTTGGTCAATAGACATACCCTCGAAAACCTACCCACTTTCGAGAAAAAAATTCCTTATTGAAAATCTAATGTGAGGCCAGAAATGTTTGCCCGAAATTTCATGCGAATCTTTAAAATATCATAACTCCTGAACGGATTGGACGATTTTAATGTTTCAAAATGCAAACGACGCGTATTTTAGTGAAAAATATGTAGAAATTCTAAAAATATTCGAAAAGTTGATCCTTGACCCCGTAAAATGAAAAAAAAAACCCATAGAAACGGTCCAATTTTCAAACAGCCATAACTCTTACAATAGTGGTTATATTTCAATGAAACTTTTTTCTGACGTAGAGCTCATGGGTACCTACAAAAAGGTATTAGACAACTTTTCTGTAGGGCGTCAAACAAAATTACTAAAAATCAAAAACGAACTAAATTTTTCGACAAGAATGAAAAGTTTCAAATCATTCTGGAAAAATTATTTATGGTTGCAGGAGGTTAATTACAATCATTTTTAGTGAATAGAAACATGAATCTATGGAAAACGCCTTGTTAGAATCCGCCTCATTCTCAACCCTGAAACCTCATGCAAATTATCGAGAATATCTTCGTTCGAGTGTTAAACACTTTGATACGGTTGGATCGTTAAGAAAACAATTGTTTTTTTTTAAATTCGTTTTAAAATAATACAACCGTGACACGATTTAAAAAAAAAGAAAAAATTTCGCGGTCCATTGACGCAATTGGTTCTGGCATCGTTTCTGATATTATTACTGTTGCTATTTGTTCGTTAGAAACGGTGAACTATTAACGACGATAAATGAGTTTATCGAGCACGGTAATAAGTTCCTGGATTAAGGTTCGCGATCGGTGTCGGAAAATTGTTTAATCGGGAATCACGGTATCACTGATAACGATCGATCTTGGCGAGTCTGGCTGCGCGATTGTCCAGCAAGGGCCACCGATTAATTGGCCAATCGACGTTGATTTTATCGTTCCCTTTTTTGATTAACTGGCACAGTTGGATCGCCAAACACGTACTGGAAAGTACAAAATGGTTTGAGGGTCGATGGAGCCCGCGCAGGCCAGAATACTCCACATGCGCACCGACCTCTCTTTCGTAACAAGTAAATAAAAGGACTCGTCCGAGGGAACGTGTCTTCGTTCCTGATAAACGGAACTCGACCGTAGTTTGTGGGAGAAACATTCATGATGCACGAGATTAAAACGTCTTCCGTGCAACGAATCGAACCCAACCGATTGCAACCGCTGGTAGCAGTTCGTTGGAACACCCTGTACATTCGATTCATTTTTCTCGATAACACTGACCAATGGCAAATATGTATTATTCATCCGAGCAATCAATTGTTACGACTCTAATTACGAGAATGAACATTGAATTCAAATATTGGCTCTAGTGTTTCGTAATACCTAAAAGAAAGGGTTATTTTTGCCAATTTTTTATATTTTACATGACCATTGTATAGAAGAATGGCGTTTAATTAAAAAAAAAAAAAGAAATGAAATTGCACTTATCAAGCGCATGGATGCACATAAATGCACAATATACAGACTGTAACGCATTCTGCAAATTGTTGAAATATTTGAAACCAATTCAATTTCCCTTTATTACGTTCCTTTCTACCTCAAATCTAATCGACGACAGAATTCGATTCAACTTAACGAGACATTCAAGAACGAGGCTAAGTAAAAAAGTAGTTTGGAAAATATAATTGCCTTTATATTACCACTATCTTACAACTTTGAATGTTTTATCGGTTCTCGCGACAATATTGGCCTGCGTAAACCATGATAACGTAACAATAAATATAAAATTAATTTGAACGTAAACAAGAAATAATTTGTTGCATCGTTTTACGATATACTTTTATATATCACAGAAGAGAACCAAAATATTGTGGTCCGGTCACTGAACATGCTCGTTAAGACTAACGAAGCGTTTAACTTTAATTATACAATTTAACTTTGAAAATTCCCGTGTTGCGTTAGGAGAAAAGTAAAAACCGCACGCGATAGGGTATCGCGTCGAGGCTGATTCGACGCGAAACTGCACAGCGAATTGCAGAAAGTGCATGTCGTTTTAATTAGAATCAACGAATGCACGAATTACGAACCTTTCACCGATGCGTTTGCCGAAAAAAAAAAAAAGAAATATTGTTACGTTAGCTTCTAGACTAGAGCCGTGATTCTATTTTTAGTTCTTCGAATAGCACGAAATAACTTTGTATCCGTTATTCGGTTTTATATGGCACGAATAAAATATTTGCCCAACTCCGATACAGAAAACTGTGACAAACAGGTCCGGCCCTGTTCTAGACTCGGCGATTACAAACGCGACTTTTTCGTCCGCGCTACAATATGGTTTTAAATTGTTCCGTGACGATGAATGACGGATCGCTTTACCGTTACAGTTGCAAAACGCGCGGCACCACGTATCGCGCGTATACATGGAAAGCAATCGTCCAAATGCGTGCGCGAACAAAGCGATCGAAATGAAAGAGTGAGTTGTGCACCGTGTCGCGGAACGCGATGATTCTAAAACGTTTCACGATTTCCGCAACGGAATTTCGAGGGGAACGCACCGTATGTTGTTTTTTTTCTCCGTTCATTTCAACGTTGCCAGAAATTACCACAAATTCGACGCCACCGAAACGTGATCCGTGCTTAAATTCATAATCCTGATGTAACTACCAACATTCTCCGTTATTACACGACCGTTACTACATGAAATTTCGCATTAAGAAGGTTTTAAAGATAATGAGACGAATTCAATGACCATATTAATGGGCTTCAAATAATCTCGCTAGTTTAAAGGCAATCAAAAATTTTTTGACTTTTTTGTACGTAATAAACTTAATTGTTTTACAGTAAATGTTCAAAATGGTCTCTATCGGTTTCAAGCGTTTTCGGACGCGAGATTTAATATTATTGCAAGCATGTACAATTCTTTCCTTCGTGTATTCTGGTACCTTAAGAATTTCGTTATAAACTTTATTTTTTATGTATCAATATGAGAACGAAACGGACGATGGACACCATTTTGTTCATTTATTGTAATTATACATTTTTTCGTATTCGCAAAAATAACGAAGATATTCATACAGTGATTTTTTCCCCAACATATTTTATACTGTACATTTACAACTTGTTCAAAACCATTTTGAAACAAATTGTTCATTAGCAAAATTTGATCGAAAATAGCGCCCAAAATTCGGGTTTAAAGAGGTTGGGTTGTAAGTATAATTAGTTGGGAAAAATTCTTAATAAAGATCCATGACATAGGTTGATACATATCAATATTCAATTTCAACAAATGTATGTTTTTGAAGTGGTCTACAAGATCATTTACAAATATCTACCCACCTGTAGGTAGTATGTCTGGCACCACAATAAGCCAGCAGTAAATAAATTCTTTTTAGCCAACATAAGTACAGTTGAATTTTACTTCATCTGCATTGCTACATTCACTCCTACTAATAGTATAATTGCCCCATTGTCACAATTACTTTTGTTAATTCTACTAGTCTATTTAAAATTGAATGCGTCTGAAAACATCCCACAGTGACATACAAATCTTTTTTTAACATAGATCTTATCAGGACAAACTGAACGAGACTACAAATTTTTCATAGATCCTAGAAAAATATCTTGAAATAATTTTTATATCTAAATAATTATATGTCAGAAGAACATTATGTTTATTCTATAGTTTTTATTAAATCATTTGTTTTTAGATCTATTTCAAATTAAAGATAGTTTTCCAATATAATGTTTAAAGAAATGAAAATGTGTCTTGGAATATACAAACTATCATGCATAGTTTTTGATTGTTTTCTTATTTTACTTTAATAAAATCTTCTGTTTATTCCTCATAAACGTTTATGTAATTATAAATGACATTATGTTAATTTATAGATCTATTTTAAATCGTCATAGGAATAAATCAAACGCGCTACATTCGAGCTAGAATTTATGACAGAAAAAATAAATATTTTCAACGTGACATCATTAAATCTAATTTAGCATGTAATTTGCTAATAGAGCGTCGCTCTTTGAGCAGATGAAACAAAAATCAACAACAACGTGCCGAAAATCAACTGTACATAATACGAAGAACAAATGTTCGGTAACAGGTGCCCAACAATACGACGACGAAAAAAGAAAACTGTCAGAGTGGCACTTGTCCATATTAACAAACTGTCAGGCAGCCGAATCAACCATGGCCATCTGTTTCTGATATGGGCTAAAACCGTTGTAAAACACTTACCTACGACGTGACTAATACTCCATAGGCTACTCGGCAAATGAATCACGCATTAAGTCAAAAAATTAACTTTCCCGTCAGCTAAATCGGATACAACGCTACCATCAGAGCAACGAACAGGCACATACGCGGCTGTCACCACTTAAATTGTCATCACGATAGATTGTCCACGCGCACTGTTACCAACATTACAATCGTTATGGAAGCATCAAGAGAATTATTTTTGCCGCGTTTTCAAGATTCCCGTTCGGCGTACGGTTTTCATCGATATCACTGATTTTAAGTCTCAGAGAGTCAAAAAAAAGTTTGGAAACAAAGATTGTCCGTGTTTTTTGATTTTGGAGAAAGAATTATCAAAGCGTTTCGCATTTACGATCGAAAATATTCTTTAACGTTAAGTCACTACATTAAGCGTGTTTACATTGCTATAACGAACTTTAAGTAACTAGTTCGATGAGTTACATGAATTTGTACCACGTGAGGAGAAAATTACTAAATAATTTTCTTCTCCTTTCCATTCCTTCTAATTGTCGAACAATATTTAAACTTTATAATTGACTATCGATCGAATGAACAGATTAATATTTATTAAATAAGTAGTATTGTATATTAATAGTCATCCATATATCATTTAAATGGAATATACAAAATGATATTCCATAAAGATTTATTCATGCGATTGATAACTTATCGTAAAATTAGAATATTAGAAACCTTCTGCCAATTCTTATTTCATAGTATTTACTGTATCTATATTATACGTACTGAAAATCATTCTTAAAATACAAAGATACATATTTGATAAATTGTTCAATCCTTCGATCATTAACTTATGTAAACTTTAAACATAATATTTAGCAATAATTCACACTACTGACTGTATGCATTATAAGATAGATGAATTAAAATATACTGTTATAACACATATTATATGTTTAATACATAGTAGTTTAATCTTCTAATTATTTATTTAGGTTTGGTGATTTTCCCCGACCTCGGCATAAATCTATGTTATCAGACATTCGTTTCTTTAGGTTTATACTATAAAAATATTTTTGTCCAAGAAATGTTACACCATTTATAATATTGTAATAATATTTTGCGTGTCGCAAATGCGTTAACATTAAAAATTAATTAGCTACTTTAAATATTACTTCATCGGATGTACAAATGTGGAAAAAGAGTCATTGCATTTTAATTTTTAGTAATCGAATTGTAAACTTTCAAATTTCTTTGCGAAATAACACAAACTAAAATGAAAATGATTTTTGATTTCATGTCTTTAACGATTAATGGCAACGTAACTATGAAAACCACTTTTAATGCATACAAATTCAATGGCGATGATTTTATCAGCTGAAAGGAATAATAAAACTACGACTTGTATGAAAATTCATCTTAAGCAATGCACATGTTTGTTAAAGTGATGTATGACTTGTAAATAAATAGAAACTGTATGTCGTACCGAGACTATTACGGATACATACTTTGTAGTGTCGTAAATTGCATATTAAACGTTGTTAAATAGAACAAGGTTTTAACAATGTCATTAAGAAAATTTATGCATCCAAAAAATAAATATAAACAAGCACCAGATTTTAAACAACTTGCATTACTGTATCCAGAATTTCGTAATATTGCGATTACTGTAAGTAAGCATATCTAAATTAATATTCCATAAAAACATGATTTACTCTGTTTTATTTATTTCATATTTTTAGGATTTGACAGGCAAAGTAAAGATTGACTTTAAAAATCAAGACAGTTTACGAGTGCTTACAGAAGTATTATTACAACATGACTTTGATCTTGATGTTAAAATACCTCCAAATAAATTAGTACCAACATTGCCATTACGTCTAAATTATATTTTGTGGATCGAAGACTTAATGAAACATGCTTCGTACAATGAAATGGATCAAATTCTTGGCATAGACATTGGTACCAGAAATGAATGAATTTTAATGTTTCAATTAGCAATACTATAAATTTAAACATTGGCTCTTTTTGCAGGTATAGGTGCAGTTTGCATATATCCTTTGCTGTTTGCAAAAATGTATGGAAATCAAATGATTGGCACAGAAATTGATGAAGCAAGTGTAGAAACAGCCATTCAACATATTGAAAATAATAACTTGCAACATTTAATAAAAGGCAATTGTTGACTATTTATTAGATTATTGAATTGCATATAATTTATTTAATTCCACATTTGTAATATGCATTTTGCAGTGATTAAAGTAAATGGAGAAACAATTTTGAAAGACATCACGGAAGAAGGCAAAACCTATCACTTTACAATGTGCAATCCACCCTTTTTTGAAGTGGGAGGATCACAAGAAAAAGTAACAAAACGATTGCCACCTAGAAATGCATTAACTGGAAATAAAGATGAACTCACAGTTCAGGGTGGTGAAAGGGCATTTGTAATGAAAATGATTGATGAGAGCCTAGCAATGAAAGAGAAAGTAAAAATTTACACTACAATGCTTGGTCAAAGAAGTAACTTGTTGTTCTTGTTAAAATTACTTAAGAAAAGAAACATAGAAAATAAAATATGGACGGAATTTTGTCAGGGACATACCAAACGGTAAAACCGATTTTTTTTTCTTTAGAGAATTCTTTCATTTATAACATTATATGTTCACCATAGATGGGGATTGGCTTGGTCTTTTCTGCCAATGGATGTTATTAATTTAACGAATGCACCTGTTGTTAGAAAAAGTGGAGATTACATTGCAAAGCTATTAAAAGAGCAACGTCCAACGGAAATACAGATGCCTATGAAAGATAAATTTTCTTCCCTTGACAACCTGATCAATTTCTTAGAAGAGTCAATGGAAGAATTAAATGTAATATTATAATTTATTTATATTTCTATGATACATTGTGTCCTATTTTCATCCTATTTTATATGTAGATACAAATCAAGGAACTGAATTTACCAATTGACGATTTTCACGGCTGGTCGTGCCAACTAATTGCGGAAAACGATACGTGGACTTACGCACGTAGAAAGCGTCGATTAGCTCGACGACAAATGAATCAACCGGAAACTGAGAGTACAAATTGTGCAAACACAGCACACAATGTTATAAAGAGTCCTGCAGAAAAACTAACGGAAAGTAATTCAGAAAATACAGATGAACGAAAGCAAGTTCAAGTTTCGGTACAAGAATCTGTTAATAAAGATCCTTTGCTAGTATGTAGCTTCTTTGTCGAAGTGATAGAGCACGACGAAGACTCTGAACGTGACAGTGCAAAAATATCTATGGTCTTTGAGAAAGGAAGCGGCGGTAAAAATGCTTTAGAAACGTTCAGACAGTATCTGATAAACAAATTAAACGTCCGAGAATATTTACAAACGCAACACGCGAGGCCAACTAAAAAGAAAAGAAAACGATTAAAGAAAAGTGAAAGCGACACACACGAAACTGATATCAATTTAGAACAGGGCGAGTGTTCATCGTTCGAAAATAATATGAAGCCTCTTTAGAACGTTGGTTCACGTTCTATACAAAATGATTTATTTCACACGCGGATTTTATGAAGTTATGTAACAGGTAATATATGTAAATCAAGTATTTAACTTTATTTATAATCAATAGTTCTTATTAACTAGTATTCCTTACCGTACATTTTGACTAACAAGTGCAATATAATATTCCATATTGTAAAGTGTACGAACTTGTTAAACAGAAACTACACGGCATGTCCACTCATTCGCCCTTCATTATCAGTATAAACATAACTGACATAGAACACAAATGTTTTACTTAAAAAACATTTCAATTGATCATGATTGATCTCCTTTTTTTTTTTAACTGAATTCGATTTGATTGTAAAATTAATGTTTAATATGGGATATTGTTCTTAGCATTCGTTTGACAACGGATGCAATTCGATCTGAAGAAGTATGGTCGAGTAACGGAAAGATGTAGATTAACATTTTGGTAACAGTCGATTCTCATTCTTATAACTCTAGGACTAACTGCGGTATTTCTAGTAGTAATATTAAATTGACACTACTTTTATAATAACTTGACTAATGAGCTGTTTCCGATAACTGTTATCAACGATCATTAATGCAACAACGCATTTATACCATGCTTATGCTGTTACCAATCTTCACAAAGTATTTCATTTCTCATAGGAATAGCAAAGAAACATCTTCAAAATTCAACATCTTTTTCAGATTCAAACCCTCGCATAGCGTAACATGATAAAATCATAACGATCGAAAGATGAAAGAAAGCTTTCTAAAGTGATGTATGTGGTAAAATAAACTGAACGATAAAGCTGTATGCATTGTTCTTGTTGAATGTAATACAGATACTTCGTTTCCATTTCATTGATATTTTTGAATGTCCATATTCCTTGTAAATAGTTTGTACTCTAAAAGCATTCCAGTTATTCAGAATTTAACAAAGATATGTATTCGATAAGAATGTTCAATCATCAACAGTATTTGTAGTGAACCCAACAAGTCCAACCATAAATTAATAGTCTAAAAATACTAAATATTCTCATGTATTCAATACGTAATAAATTTATCGACGGCAGCTAGGATGGGAAAATGACAGCGATGCCTAGATGGCACAAAACAATGAACTCAAATATGTACTAATAAAATAGGTTATCAAAGACGTACATCGAAAACATGAAAACCGATTGACTTACATTCTACGATAATAAACGTCCATTATTTGTTCTACAGACACTCGTTGTACCGCTTGGTTTTTTTTTCTCGGTACTTCGCGTTCCATTTTAGTTTAGCAACGCTTGTGTAATACACTGGAACGAACATTAATTATTTCGATTATTTCGATTATTTCGATTTTTTTCGATTACTAGAAGTGTAGCGTGTGTAATATCGATAGCTGTTATCGCGACGTAGTACGCTTAATTGAACCTTTAAACAAAAACGCGATTTTATTTCATGATGATTCGTTAGATCTGTAAACTAATCGAACAATGAATGTTATGATGTCAAGCATGCACACTAAGGCAATGATACCTTTTCGCTTGAATTATTTACACAAGTGAAGAACCAGTTTTATATTTGCTGTATGCAGTCATAAATCAGTCAAATAAATTCTGTGATTTGGCATGAACTGAGCACCGCGAGCACCCAGATTATCGCCACCACACTGTAAAAGTTCAAACATGATAGCACTTTGTAAATGTGTACAATACACCGAATAATAACGGTGCTTCATCGAGCAAACGCTGCTATTTTCATTGTATCCCAATCAATTATATATGCCATACTCGCGTTACCCTTGAAAAGACCGGACGCGGGTAGGGAAAGACTAGGACTCGGAGGAAAAAAAAAACTACTAAGTATCATCATTGACGCGTTGAAACGAGCTCAGCTCTCCGCAACTACTGGTTCTAACGTAGTTTTGCTTTCCTCCAGCTTTTTCGACTCTACTTGCTGCGCTTCGATATTCTTTTCTAATTTCTTATTCTCCTTCTCATCTTTCTTATTCTCCTTCTCATCTTTCTTATTCTCCTTCTCGTCTTTCTTATTCTCCTTCTCGTTTTTCTTATTCTCATTTTGGATCGCCTTTATATCACCGTCAGGTGTCTGCTCCTTCTGCCGTTTCTCTATTTCAGCCTTGAAGTTTTCTATATCCTGCTGGCTAATTTGAACAAACAGTATGCCATTAATTACATTCAACATGTCTAGAACGGACCCCATACTGGGTGGTTGCACCTGAATAGGAGGCAGGCTGACACCCGACTTGCCCGTGTAAATTTCATTCATTTTTTTCTGCAGGACAACGGCCTGCTGTGTGAGGTGTCTTAGGCAGTCGCTGCTTTCTTTGGTCTTTTCGTGGTCCTCGCCCAACTGTTGTTTATATATAGCATAAGTTTCTTTTTCGTTGTTCAAAGCCGCGCGGAAATCACCCATGCAGGACTGGGTCCTCGCGACAAGGTGGTAGGAAACAGCGACCTTCAATGACCGTAGACCGTGGTATCGAAGGTTTAAGGCCAAAGCATGCTCCAAAAAGCGAAGCGACAATTCGTATTCTCCAACAGCATGAAGTATCAACGAAATATTACTCTGGACGAACAATTAACATGGATAATATTAGTAACCTTTGTCGAAGATTAAATCGATATTCAAGATTTGTAGTAACACTTACATCGAGGAGTGCTACTTCCGGATGATCTTCGCCGCAAACTAATAAGGCCAAATAACGTGCTCTATACAGTAACCTCAGCGACACGGAAACTTGACCATTTGCGAAGGAGTAAAGTGCAAGATGAATCTTAAAAAAAAAAAATATTCAGAATAACATTAAAATTGTAATGAATATTATTGCATTAAACCATCATTAAATTATGAACACTACTTTCTTCATCCAATACTTACGTATTCGGTAATGGTGTACGGATGATCGATGCCGTTAACTCTTTCCGACATAAGAACAGCTTTTTGTTGGGTAGCAAGAGCTTCACCGTGATCGCCCATTATATAATTTAACCGTGCGAGCATTCTGAGACATTGTGCGATTTCAGGATGCATAGCGCCATAAACGTTGTTCAAAAGATTCAGTGCTTCGCTAATCAATTCGTATCCGTCCTTCAAGTAACCTTGCTGAATTTTACTTTGACCCGTTGTATAAAAGTTATATGCGTCACTAGCCTGACAACAAAAATAGTTAAATAATTTGATTATTAATTAATTTGATAATTCTTATTAATTTGACATTTATTACTCACTCTAGGATTGATATGCTTCACGACAGGGAATATGTTGAGTATGTCTTCTTCAAAGAATGTAGCCCTATTTTTATTTTCGAAGTTGTATTCGCGCAACAATATTTGGATGCCAGTCTTTATACAGAAACCACGGAGCAAGGAGATCTTTTGCAGGTGAAAGTGATCTATTGTGGCGTCTAATGACTCTGGGCTCGGTGTCTCCCAATCGTAATAGGCTTTCAGATCAGCTTTAATTTGTTGCCAGAGAGATCTAGGCGTCAATGATGCCCATTCCACCTCGGACTGTTGCGGACCATTATTTCGACCTTTCCTTTTATTGCGTCGCTTTGCAGTTTTACTCTGAAGCTGAAACAGACAATTACATAAATTTTCAGTTAGAAAAATGGTTCACTCGACGATACTCTAACTAACGTGTTAATATCACCTCTTCCAGATTCTGCTGTGGATGAATAATTTGTGCCGAGGACAATAAGCAATTCAAGAAGTGACTAATCGCGGCGGAGAGACTCATCAATTCTGTACCCTGAAGAAATAAATGTCAGAATTTTACATCACAAACTCAAAAGGTTAACGGTGTGATTTTATTTTTGATCAACATACCTGCATATAGAATGTGAAAATGTGTTTCGCCGAGCGCAAAACAAGCTCCGAGACGGCGATACGGTGAAGATATTGCAATTGCGGCACCGTAGCTGCTAACATGGTTGCTAATTTACCAAGGTAACGCACATTGATACCTCTGCCATGCAAAGCTTCTACTAATGTACTGCCGTCCATCGCTGCGGCTGTGTGATCCAAGCATTCACGGATCTATAATGAAAACAAGATCGTAATTAAATATGGTTAACAGATATTAATTTCGTGGAGGTCAAGTTTCAAACGTACAAACGTAGGAATTTGTACGGTCAATAAAAAGTCAGCAGCATCTTGCACTAATTGCTTTTGTTTCTTTAAGGCAGGACCGTTTAGATCAGGATGCTGTACACCCGGCGAAAATACGTCTGGGTTAAATCTGACGTCAAATTCTGCTTCTCGTAAGCTACCCACTGCCGATGCTGCTCTTCGAACGATTTCTTTTGTACTTTCTTCCACTGAAAAATGATGGAATAATAATTCCCAAAAGTCCATAATTGTCAAGATATTAAATGTTACTTACATTCTTGTTTCTCTCCGCCAGTAATAGAGTCTGTAATACTCTCTACAATTTTCTTTGCTTCATCTGCTTCGATAAGCGATTGAGTAGAATCTTCTTTGTTGCTATCCACTATGATGGCGTTCGATTCTTCCTTTTTACCTTCCTGAAATTATGCAATGCTAAATTATAGCACTGTTTTCAACGATATAGATTAAGAGTGGAAAGAAGACTAATCTTGACCTTAGCAGTGGTCTCTTTTTCTTTCTGCACTCGTCTTGCAGACGTGAGCTGCTGAAGATGAGCAGCGGCATGTTTAATAAATTGAACGTATCTAGCCTCGACAAAGGAGTCGATCAATTCCTGACGAAGACAAGCTAATCTATGCTTGTGTTCAATTGGAAAACCTAATGCTCTAGCTTCTTTGCTCAGTTCGACGCCTTCCACTAGGAAAGTAGGTATAAAAAAAAGAATAAATTAACAGAGATGAATACATCACCATTCTTTCTGACATATTCTTGTCCTTTCTCATAACTTCTCGAATATAATACTCTTAACCTTAATCCTTGTATTATCGTTTCCGGTTAACAAAGATTTGAAGAGAAGGGTGGGGATGGGAGTCTCAAAACTACATTTCGTATACTTTGGGGAATAATTGTATTGTTGATTGTACGTATTAACCTACATTTAAGGAAGTTGACATCAGGAGGAAATGTCCGTAATAAATCGAGTACGTAATGTCGAGAATCGTTTCCAATGATACCCTTGCATTCTACGCTGCTACAAAGTTCGACTTCTTCTCCAGCATCATTGATTACTTTATGGGGAAGGATTTTTAATTGTTGACCGGCTTTATTTAACTGCAAAATATGACGCATTGTACAAGATATTTTAAAAGTTATTTTCTCCGACTGTACAACACGATTGCTTAAGTGACTTACCAATTCGAGATACTTAGGGTGCGTTAAAACAGTTTTCCCAAAATCTATAGAACCATAAACAACAGATTGCTCCTGCTCACGTTCCAAGATTCCTGGGATGATCGACTGAGCCGTGACACGATATCCTCTATGTAGAGGAATACAAGTGATTACCACGAAAACTTACCATCGGACTAGTACGTACAAATGATCTATTACAAAATACCCACGTCGTACAAATAGTGCGACGAAACAAAATGTGTGTACGTAATTCGTACAAACCTATAGTCGATTACAACGGTACCAAGGGTGTAAAGGCCGGGTAAATCGACTGCAGCGTAAACTCTGACACCTTGTAAATCGTTCCGAGGCGCGACAAACGCGGCAGCATCACCGCCCAGTTCTTTGTAATGATCTCTCACGTCGAATCCAAGGGAGAAGAATATATTGTTCCAAATAAACATCTGCATTTTCGCTTCCTCTCCCGGATTTATTGCCATCACATTACCATCTATTACGGCTACTGCCCCCCGAGTTGCAGCAGCGACGAAATCACTATGAACCTAAATTAATAAACGAATTATACAGGTGGTCTATCTAAATACCTTATCCTGTATATTTAAATCTAGAAAAGTTAACGTACTTTAAAAATAGCACGTTCTCTAAGCAGTCTTTCTGGTAAATTTTTGCGAGGTAACTCTCTCGTTGTTTGTAACTCCTCGTTCCAATCTCGAGTTTGCCCAGGGATGTGCTCCTCGTAGCCCAATTTCGAAGAGAAAGCTACGGATGCAAAAACATTATTTCATAGAATTAAATATACAATATTCTACGCTATTCTGTTTTAATTATTTAGAATAAAACGTACTGTCTTCGGCGCGTATTGCATCGATCGTATGTTCAATTTGAGGTGCGCTCCACGCGTAAAGTTGATAAGGTGTAGCAACTCTTTCAAAAGGGTGTCTTTGTGTTCTCCTTCGTTGCATAGCAGCGAAACCCCGTTTAAATGTCGGGCTGAGTTGATTCAGTAGCTCGATCAAACTATGACACAGATGACTCGGGGTCGCCGGTTTTGGGTTAAACATCTCTTTCGTCGACTGATTGACGAAGAAACCCCTAGCACATGCGGTTAAATAATATTGCTTGTCCTCTAAGGTTACCACGTGTAAGTATAACAAGTCACCGTGAAGCTTCCTGTGGCCAGGTGGAGGATTCCATCCAGACGTTGTTAGGACCTGTAACAAATAAATGATATGAAGAATAAGTTAAATAGCAAAGAAATCGTATGTAACTTCGAATCTTACTTTTAAACATGGAGGACATTTCTGTTCCTTAGCTTGCGGTTGTAGGGGTAATAAAGGCCTGTCTTTACATCCGGGTATAATGTAATCCGGTGGAGTACAGTCAACCGAATCTGCCCTGCTCTTCTTTTTCTCGAGAATGTCACCGTTAGTAACTACGTTCAGAAACGACAAACTGCTACATTCGACACCATTGTAAGCATCTGCAGGATCTACGGACTTCAATAAATCTCGTACATGTCGAACGTGTATGCGGGCCTCTCGCATCGTGTACGGCTCCTCTACGACCTTAATCATTGAACCGTCTTTTAGACCTTCGATGTTCTTCAGCTCGGCAAAGTTATCCAATGTATTACCATCGAGCTGAAGAGAGAAACAAGTGCGGTGGCAGGTGTCTTCGCGATCCATGAGCAACTGATGGATTTCCTAAAAACAAACAAGAATATATATATATATACAAAAACAGGGATGTTTATTTTTGTCATTATATACAGTACTTCTAGTAACTGGGCCCAGGTATAATTCTAAGTGAAGATTGCACTTTGTTCAAATTGTGTGTTTCACAGTTACCAGAATCACCATTACGTATAAGTATTGAAAGAATTATTTAAGGAAGTATCAGTTACCTGTACCAGTTCCATACTTGAGACTTGAATATCAAAAGGTTCAGCACCTGGACTAACAATTCTAACAATGAATCCCATATCTTGAATGAAAACAACTTCTTGCTCATTCGCAGCGTCTTTATCCTTATCACCATCCACTTCTTTCTCGCTCTTCTCATTCTTTTTCTCTTTTTCCTTCTCTTTCTTGCTTCCTTCCTCTTTTGTAGCCTCGACTTCACCTTTCTCAACAACGGTCTTCATGATTGTGCTTATGCTCCCAGTTTCCTCCATAGGTTGCTTCATATCTGAAATAAGCATAGCTTATTTCAATGATCAGTATACATACATAAGGTAGTAAGATTTTTATTAAATATATGACTTACACAGAATGTTGATAACGCTAAAGCTTAAGATACTTCAAGAAGTGATAAAGTCATTCGCATAGTTGATCTAATTATTTTTAACAATATATGAACATACCAATACTAACTCTGGTCTTACTTTTGCATTTTAAAAATGTATGTTTATAATATAGAGGAAGTGTTTGAGTATTAAAAGGATACCATAGAAAATATATATCCTATAAAGTAATTATGGGATCAAGGGATGAAGTCATTTGAGTATATAATCATTTATTTTTCTTTGAACGTCGTAATGTTTTTTTTTCTATAGTACATTTATGATAACAGAAATATAAATAAGTAATTCCATGTGCTATGCTTCTGGAAACAGGGTGCATATTCGATAGAGACGGCAGTGGGTATTCGTACGGCTACCACTTACATTCACCAATGCATTTATAAATAAACGGCAATGTAAATAGTCCGTACTCAAATGCCGTACTATTTTTATCGATACCATGTTTGCGATATACATCCATTTCTAGCGTGCGTTAATTTTCATAGTACATAACATTATCAATTGCGATCAAGTTGGCGATCTGTTTTCATTATTCTTCCGTGATTCCGCGCCGGTGTTTGTTGGCTAAGATATTTCGAATTATTCACAGACTTACGAGACCTTGATCTTCAGCGGCCTTCGCGAAAACAGTTTCTACCAATTTGCAAATCTCTATTATCCTTCCTAATTATTTACTACGATCACTTTTTCATAAAAAAAAAATGTTCTGCAAAAGTCTGAAATTATATGTCCATCGATTCAATTTAATCAACTAAATCTTTTGTAATAGAAATTAATTATTGTTTATTTATTTGATGTTAAAATTTATCATCAAATTTAAAATATCTGTTGCTTCAGATTCACTCTTCCAACGGTTATCTAAAATATTGTAAGCTTATACTATTGCCTAGGGTTCGATAGTGGCGTGAATGATATACATAACTAAACACGTCCGATAAGAATATAAAAAAATTTTGTTTGTACGAAGTGTAATTAAAACGACTGCAATATCACTGTAGATCGCATAATCAATTTCATTAAAAACATTTTTGTGCTTGAATAAAAGAAATATGTACTTTTTGTAATGGTTATTAATTATACATCGAAATACATTGGCGAGTATGTGTGTATTTCTACATGAGTGAATATGTATGCGTATGCTTAAATACACATTGAATGCCGTGACCCCTATTGAAATCACATTCTGTATCAAATAGTTCCATTTTACCGTTATAATATAAAAATTTCTTATCGTAATAACTAAATTTTTTAGTTACATGGTTGTGAAAACATTTATATTCATGTCCCGAGGTCTTGCATACGTTTATTTTGTAAACCAATTGCTGTATTATCGTATCATATTTTTCTATTTCACTCTACAGTTAGTTCTCTACTTTCTGAAATTCCTCCTAAAAACTTGAGACTTCTACTTTATCGGGAAAAAAGATAGGGAACAAAGTCGTGAAAGAAGATAAGATCGTGTAGAAAAAAGTATACACGGAATCGTTTAAGAGCCCGTTATCTTATTTCTCTAGTTTCCTTTAGATTATTTTTTTCAAATATCTAATAAAGCGCCAACAGTGAACTTCTTGTGGAAAAAATTAGACGAACGAAAAGCGTGAGCAGGAATTTGGAATAACGTTAGAAGAATAGAATTTATTCATTAGCGATAAATCGTAATTTACAAATACCGGAAGCAATCAAGTTAACATGAATCGATTTACATTCCGATGTCTTCGTTTCGTTACATTGTCAACATAACCTATGTTTTGTGCCTTTTCAAGCTAATTATTACCAAGTAAATAATATAATAACCTTTCAATCACGATACAATAAACAAAACTAAAAGTTATGCAAACATTGTTGCGTTTATACTATTTCAAAAACTTAGCTTATTTGCCGGTTAAGTAAGATTGTGCAATAACAGAAGCGCGATCTTGCAGTTGATAGGCGAAGTAGAAGTGACCAAAGATATTCAAATCGAGCAATAAATTTCTAGTTCGATAGTACTTGCTTTTTAAATAACTGATTTTACAACATGGTAGAACATTATAGGAAAATTGTATGAAACATTTCCACAGTCTTCGTTTTAATCGCATCGTTTCACAAGTCATGATAAGCAAATATTAATAACAAACATTTTTTTAAATAATGTTTCATTAAAAGTAGATATATAAAAATTTCCGTTCAAACATTATATTTGTACACCTTCTACAGTAAACATAATATTATGTTTAAGGTTTTATTGACTGTTTAAAATTGCTAAAAAATTGACGCAACGGTATTTATATTGTTATATAATAATTATAATAATTTGAAATACAACTTATGTAATTTAACTAGATACCCTAAAACGGACAATATACAGCAGCAAAATATTGTTTCATTGCCTTGGATTCAAAGTAAGGAACAACGTCAGACAGAAGATCGATAACCTCTGTTATCGATAATCTCAGCAATTCACCATTGTTCTTTCAAAACATACGACCCTTTTGCAAAACCCCACTGTTCCATTATAATTTAAATGCAAACACCTTTTGTTCTTTGTCACCTTTGTCCAAATGAAATTTAATTTAAAATATTTAAGTTAACGTAATAATCGTTAAGGATGTTCTCAAAAAATGATATCTTCAGAACTATGAATTCCATTTTTCGATAAATAATTTCGACATGGTTATAAATATATTTAAATTTTATTATAGTATCATATATCAGAGTTTTAAAACGATTAAAATTTGGTAATACATTTTTCCGATACCATTATACTATTTTTACAAAGGCTAATTTCTTCGTAGCTACGCCTATGCGTACGAGGTCATTAACATGCACGTGTTTTCCTTCGCCTCTTTTTTCGGGAAAAAACGGTTCTAAATGAAGAGCAAATCAACAGAACAGGCCTAATATCAATTAACAACGAATAACATTACAGACCCTTAAAAATTACTAGTTCCTTTCAAATTATGATGTTTGTTTTCCGCCGACTGTTAGTAATGAAAAAAACAAACTAAACATGTGCTCTCCTGTTACAAACTGAACTATCGTTTCACTCGAAATAAATAGACACGATTCTATAACTTAATGTACATATTTTTATTATAGACAAAAATGAAAGAGATAATAAGATATACTGTTGAAGTACAAGCGTTATACGTTATCGTTAATTAGTTTAGTTATTACCTTCCGTTCGACAAGATTTGTAACTGAAAAGTATTCGAACGTGTATGAATAGATGTATCGAAAACATGTAATAAAAATAAATTAACAAAACGTGGATACTGCACGACATTTCGTAGATAATTAAAATTAACAATCAAAAGGAAAAAACGTATCGAAACGAATGATAGAAACCATACCACTCGCTTTCATCGTTTTAAAAGAAACTAATCACGTGCTTCCGCGGAATTAATTTAATTCGTGATATACAAATATCGTGACAACGCTTCAAATTTCGCGCAAGCTTAATTTAAAATTGCGCATCGATTCGATGGTGTCTTCGGAGGATAAAGCACGTCAAATGATACGTTCATGCGTTCTTGTGCAACTGCTTGCAAAACGAACGGCAAGAATGTCGAGGAATAAAGAGAGCATGGTCACTGGTAATAATAGGAACCACGAGAAAGTAAAAATTCGTCTGCTAGCAGGGAATCGCGTCTTCTGCTAGCTTCCTTCATCTCGAACTCGTGGCTCACATGACCCCGCGGTACATAGAGATTCGCGCAATTCGCGCGTTACATAACACCGAGGGCCCGGCTTTTGGCCGAGGCGGCATCGTTAAGGCACACATTAAAGTGAACGGAACACGGTAACCTGACGACACCCGAATCATTACATAACGTTATCAGCGACGTCGTTTAACCTCGAAAATCACAAAAATCGAAGGACGTTGATTAGAAAATTATCATATACTAACCAGTAGTCGTTTGATCCTCATTGCCGTTCAGTAAAGGGATTTTCATGCTCCCGTTTTCTGTGGAGGCCTCGATTTGTGCTCCCAGTGTCATTTCCCTGTGACAATTCTTCCCGAATTTTTACACAACCCTTTATTAACTTGACACGCTCTTATCCGACGGTAACACGCACACACACCTTTCAAAATTTGCCTCGAAACGAGGTTCGTCTCCTTTCGCGAGGCAGCACACTAACTCTGGAGCACACTGAGCCGCTTTTCTCTACCGCACGTGCGTTTCGAACGAAGTACAAAGTCTAATGTGCGCGATTGGTCTCCTCGTCTTGCGGCTTATCGAACAAATCGCTCCTATTGGACCGTACTGTCACGTGATCCACCCCTAATATCCTTATCGGCGTTTATTATTTGTTGCTGCCGGTGTATCAAACGGTTGCAGTTCCTTCCGCAGTTGAACTTTACTGGAGCGTTCTTTGATTGGTAGCAATTGTTGAATATGGTGACTTTCGAAATAGGACAGAATTAATATTACTAGATTACGGATTTCTAACCTTACGTGGTGTCCATTTGAATAGGTAATAGTTCCTACTTTATTTTTCAGAAATTATTACAGATTAATAGAAAAGTATTCTCCAAAAACCATAAGAGTAAGTCGGAACAATTGCAGAATCGTTAACATTTTCTTAAACGTAACACTGTTCAGTTATAGAATAGTGAGGTTAAGCGTCTAAGAATGTCGGCAGAAGAACAGTCAAATTTGCGTTTAGGACCCGATCCGAATGTTACTTATCCGATTAAAGTACAATACTGTGGGAACTGCTCCCTTCCTATCGAGGTGAGAAAACTGATCCTGCACTATCAACGTTTAAAATTTATATTGTATTGCAAAGTGTCAATGTTCAAATTGTTTGAAAATTTAATTTCTTTATCCCTTGTATAACAGTACTGTGAATATTATCCAGAATATGAAAAATGTAAGCAATGGCTAGAGAGAAACTTGCCAACAGAATTTGAAAAAGTTAAACTGGGTAATTATAATTTTGATATATGGAATACACTTTTGGTTAATTTGAAGTAGTTTTAGATTACTTTATTTATTAATGAATAGTAGAAGATAATACTACCGAAGCTGGTGGAGGTGAAGATGAAAAGAAACGTCAAAAACGCGGTGGTAAAGGTATGCTTAAGACAAAAAAGAAAGACGATGTTCCAAAGTTAGTAACTGTGTCTAGAGCACCTAGAGGAAAAAAGAAATCTGTCACAGTCGTGACTGGTCTTAGCACTTTTGGTAATGGAAAATACTTATCTATATACGTATGTTTAATTCTTTTACAGAATGTAATTTTCAATCTACAACTTTTTAAACAATTTTTAGACATAGATTTGAAAGTAGCTGCGAAATTTTTTGGTAGCAAATTTGCGTGTGGGTCCAGTGTAACAGGGGATGATGAAATAGTTATACAAGGGGATGTGAAGGATGACTTATTCGAGGTGATTCCAGAAAAATGGCCACAGGTGAGAACAGTTATAACCTTATATAGAAATAGAAAATGTATAATTTGCATCGCTAAATGAATTTTCAGATCGACGAAGATTCAATAGACGATCTTGGAGATCAAAAAAGATAATGGGACAACTAAAATCTTACATGCACAATTGTATTTAATATTATGCTATTTCCATGTTTATTACGAATAAAATGTACATAATGCAAAATATTTTTAAAAAATTTATAAAGCTAAAGTAGTAGAAACATATTACCCATCTTTATCAGCTTGCTCATCCTCGCCTAGAATACTTGTTATCACTTGAAGTAAAGATTCTACTTCTTCATCGTTTAGACGATCTTCGCTATCTTCCACTATCTATACAAATACAACAGTGTATGTACAGCTTTAAATGATACACATATTATATACATTACGTTGTAATAACAATGTATAATACCAGTTGTATTTCAAGAGCTGTTTTAGGGCACACATTTAGGAGAGTTAATTTCTCACATTTTGTTAACTTGTAAGGTTCTATTGCTTTCAAAAAATCTTTAATTTTTTCAGGCGATTGTCTTTTACATGGAGTCTCTTCTAAATATCTTATGGTCTGATAAGTTATAGTTGCTAACTGATTTTGTTTCATTTTTTGCTTCTTGTTTGCTTTTATATTTTGTAGAATATCCAAAACTTCATAATTGCTTAAATATGCTGAACAATCTTTGAGCCTGAAATAAGATGTTAGATCACGAATTTAGAGTCTTAAATAATCGTGCGATTAATAAAGTAACTAGTCACTTACACTTCCATGTTAAATATGCAAATAAAATTTAATTGTGCTGTAATTGTTTACAGACTAAAGATCAAACATACATCTCAATGTAAGGTTATGTGTTCATAACCATTGCAACTATTTTAGTATTAAATAACCACGAAAATTTATTAAACTGTTGTTAAGTGCAATGCAAGATAACGACATACACAATGAAAAATATGCGTCGTATCACTTTTTAATAGAAATATAAATATAAAATTCGATCTATGAAAACTATAGTTTAGATGGCGTGCAGCCTAATACAATTGCTCGAATATTAATGTAGAAAGAGCGCAAGATTTAAATTTTCCACTTAATTATCATCACTACGTTTCGCAACAATGAACAAAGAATTATCATTAACTGATTTTAGTGTTTAATATCTTATTGAAATTTGCTACTCGGAATGTTTTGAAATCGATTGGGAAGCCGTTGAAATAATCTACGTACATATGTATTCATTATATTCACATTTACGGAATAGTAAAATATCTAAATATAAGAAGATAACGTTGATCTATTTGACTTTATGTATGTATGCATAACACGCGTGCATGAATGCTCCCTATGATCCCAGCTGACTGTATTTTAGTACTTGCAGGGCTGTATATTCAGAAATTGTAATCCTCTTAAAATACTTTAATAATAACTGAAATAGAAAATTATATGTAGAGCTAAAGTGCATAGTATTATTGATCAGACGTTAATGCCTACTACATCATAACTTTCTCAAATTACTTTCAAGGAAAATTTTAACAGAAATTGATACGTTTAATTTTATAAAAGACTACGATCTATTCGCTACTTTACAACGAACGACGCATGGAATTTATTTATAAAAAACATTTGAAATACTCTATGTTTATTATTGAGACACTCTATAATCATTGCTTTTATGTCTCGACTTAGAAAATGTACGTTAAGTATCTTTTTGTCCGAAACAGACATATGGTTTCATTTATTATTAGCATCGGCATACCATACAGTGCACACCATGTAGAATCTAATCAAGAATATCATTTCTATTTTAATTAAAGTATCGTTTAACGATTCTTTTGAGATACGGGGATAATAAAATCACGAAAAACGTAGCTAACAATGTTCGTAAAAATTATACGGAAGCCTGAGATTTCTTTTGCGTATGAATTTGTTGAAATTTTAGATCACGGGCCTTGAGTATTTCAGCACGTGCCTGTCGACGTTAACACGACCAGTGTGGCTAGATTTGGCATAATTGAGTGCATCGACGGCGACACTACTAACGACGAATTTCCTTAGCGTTTAACGGAGTGGCGGGGAAAGTCGACGTATCCTACCGCACGAGCCACATGTTACGTAGGGTCAGCGCTTCACGCAACTTCGGGATATGGTTAAGAACGTGAATGGGAGCCTTTTCTTCCATGCACCCGTTTGGTTGTCTAGTCGTCACCGTGGGGTTTTAGCTTCCTTCCACGCGGGTGTTACACTCGTCTTCTTCTCGATTTCCCGAAATTGCGCGAAGTGCCGAACCACGTAACATGGCTCGCACGGTAGAATATGGCTGCGTTCCCCACCACTCTGTTAAACACTAAGGAAGTTCGTCGTTACTAGCATCACCGTCGATACACTCGATTATGCCAAATGTGGCCACATTGAACACGACCTCTATGCGCGAACGTCTGACATTTTGCGACGGCAACTGTACGGCATAGTGGGTGATCCGTTGTGTTTTGTATTTTCGAGCATACCCAATCATCAGTGCGGTGATACGACTTCGTGATTAATGTGGCCTCATGACGGTGGGCAAGATGTAGACTGACATCGTTTTTACTGTTGAAGACATTGTCGGCGAAGAGGAACGAATCCACATGAGGGAATAGTACGGGCCGCGACTTTTCTTACAACCCATATCGATCTTTTCACAGGCGATGCATCTCTCTTGGCTGTCGTTCTATGTTTGTAAACTGTTGACCTTGCCTGAAAAAGATCGGTGAAACATTCTTGATCGCCGAATTATTACGATCAAGAATGGAAATCGTCGGCGACTACGAGTACAACACAAAAGATCTGATAGGCCACGGCGCATTCGCTGTGGTCTTTAGAGGTAGACATCGTAAAGTGAGTTTTCTAAAATCATCTTATTGTTAAGACACGATTGGTAACTGAAGTACGGAAATGATTTTTATTCCGATCGGCTATAAACCTAGCGTGTGTTCTATTTCTTTTGCAGAAACCAAATTTTGTAGTGGCAATCAAAAGTATCACTAAAAAAAGTCTGGCAAAGTCACAGAACTTGCTTGGGAAGGAGATTAAAATTCTGAAGGTTTGTCGTTGCAATAATTAGAGTCGCAATGCATGCAGTGGCTTTCAATTTAATTTCTTTACATTTGAATTCTTATTTCAGAAGTGAATGATTTTGCATCCGTACTGCATTTATTGTTTTTATTGAAATTATGTTACGAATACATTGCCTCTATTTAACTTGCAATGAATTCATTTCGACGTATTTAACTAAAACAGTGAATCATACAAGTATAATCCTTCCTCCATATTTCATAAATTAATTATTTAGAAGTGTACAGTATTTGTTATGAAAAGAATTTGATAACTGAGATAAGAATTATTATTTATTTTTTTAATACGATATCATTTAAGATTAATTTGGATTGTTTAGAAAAGGAAAACATATATATTTTGTGTTTTAATAACAGCTGTATATTGATTTTCGTTGTTGACTAATACATTACATTTCAGGAACTAACAGAATTGCATCATGAAAATGTTGTAGCATTATTGGATTGTAAGGTTAGTATAATGCTTTGCTATTAAATGAGGAAAAGATTTAATACATGTATACAGCTCATATAATAATGTTTACATGTTAATACAATTACAAATTTATTGTTTAGGAATCTAATCATAATGTCTTCCTGGTTATGGAGTATTGTAATGGCGGGGACTTAGCTGATTATTTAAGTGGTATGTAATTTGTTTTGATATCAGATCATTGGAATGATATTTATAAAAACAAAAATGTCGAATGAATTGATTCTATTATTTCATCTTTATTGCTTTCATTAGCAAAAGGTACTCTTTCTGAAGATACTATCAGAGTGTTTTTGAAGCAATTAGCAGGTGCAATGAAAGCACTGCATGCCAAAGGTGTAGTACACAGGGATCTTAAGCCACAAAATATTTTGGTCAGTCATAATTGTGGTAAAGCTTGTCCACAGCCACATCAAATAACATTAAAAATTGGTAAGGATTTACAAACGATATGTTATAAAAATTCAACATAAAAGAAATTTAAGCAATATATGTTTTTTATATGTTTCAGCGGATTTTGGTTTTGCTAGATTTTTACAAGATGGAGTTATGGCTGCCACTTTATGTGGATCACCAATGTATATGGCACCTGAAGTTATAATGTCACTTCAGTACGACGCAAAAGCAGATCTCTGGTCACTAGGAACAATAGTTTTTCAGTGTCTAACTGGAAAAGCGCCGTTTCAAGCTCACACGCCTCAAGCGTTGAAATTGTTTTATGAGAAAAATGCAAATCTTGGACCTAAGTATGTGTAATACATAAGATATTGTCGTTACAAGTAAGAAATCAAATTAAGTGGTAGTACACGTGTGACGTTTTACATATTTAAATTTCTTTTGCGTTAGGATTCCACCCGGAACGTCGCCTGAGCTATCAGATCTTTTGATGGGTCTTTTACGGCGAAATGCCAGAGATCGTATGCCTTTTGATGAATTTTTTGGGCATCCTTTCCTCCAAGGTTCTAGAGAAAGCCCCAGTCCAGTTCCTGCTGAACTACCTGCTTCTCCAGGAACATTAGTAATTCAAGAAGGAGCAACAGCTGTTACAAGATCAGAACCAGAGACAACCAGTCTGTGTTCCAGTCCTGAAGATGATTTTGTGCTTGTGCCAAGTGATCTCAGCAGTGACACAGACAATAATCCTAACACGCAACAAGTTAAGTAAGTAATTTAATTTTATTCTTTAAACATTTTTTTATTATTCGCGATATTATTTTATTGCCAATCACCCAGGTATGTTAAACAAACGAGCAGAGAAGCAGTGAGTCCACCGAGACCGTGCTTTCTTCCGATATCGGAACCAATTCCTGTTCCATCTCAGAGAAGTATTGCACAGCCCCCATCTCCTTCTACCAATACAAGGTCTGGAAGTAGTGTTGTTCCACGTTCTCAACCTATTAGTATGAAACGCGGCGTAGATTCTCATAGAAGTCATGCTCCCGATATTGGCTCCCTTAGTCCACCTAGTGTTCAATTCGTCATTGGTACACCACCCAGCAGAAGGTACGTAAATTTTTCATCCTCCAATTATTTTATTCGTTTTGCAAGTAGCATTATGTTCAATTGATAATTTTTAGATTAAGCGAAACACCTCCACCCCCAAATACATGGCAAGTGAGTCCTGTTGCAAGACATTCGCACACCTCTAGTGGAACGTCGCCATTACGACGTTCGTCTGGAAACAATAGTGCATCTTCGCCACTACTAACAGGGCCCTTGGCAGTATTGGGTTCACCTACGTCGAGAGCATTTCAAGATAACAACAACACATTAAGGCATTCACCCGTGATTCCCTTTGGTACAAGGGCTGTCACTCTTCCTGAAATATCTGGTATTTAATTTGGATCACCTTTACAGCAGAGTGACGCACATTTTTATCTAGATAACGAATAACGCTTTATCTAGGTAAATTTTTAAAAATGGAAAAAATGTTTTATCTGGATAAAGATTTATTTGAATAACGGTCAACTATGCTATAAATTGCGTTGAACTCATTTTTATTACTATAATAAGAAAGAGTTTATTAAACGATCTACCTCACTTTCTATTGAATTTACAGAAGCAGGAAGTTTCCAAAATCTTCTACCAGATATAAATCCAACGATAACGGATGATCGTCCATTGACGTTCATTGCACCCGAGCTCCCAGAAGAAACACTTTTGGAACGCGAACACAACGAAATATTAGCGAAGTTAAACTTTGTTGTTGCACTGTGTGAATGTGTATGCGAGGTAGCAAGAACGAGAGCAGGACCTCTGGGCGCGCCTTTAGGCGGCATTGAGCAAGCGAGTAATGCCGCGACAAGAAGAAGAGCCGAACAAGTAATTCTACTTGTCAGAGCTCTTCAGTGGCTTAGTTCTGGATTGAGTCTTGCAATTCAACAACTGAAGGCTGGCAGATTACAACCGACTGCTACTGTTAAAGAAGGTAAATCTTTATGCGATGACGTTATTTATAATTATAACTAAACATGTATTTAAAAGTCAACGTTATTAAAATTTCATCGTTTCAGTTGTGAATATAATGAATGAGAAATTCAAATCATGCCTCTCAGAATGTAAGCAGCTCAACAGTGCTGGGCTTCTTCATCAGACAGGAGCTACAGCAGACAAAATCCTCTACAACCATGCCATACAAATGGTACACATTTAATTAATTTAATTCGTAATTGTATGAATATATAATACATATATACTTGTGCATATGTATTCTCTTTTTAACAGTGTCAGTCAGCGGCGCTCGACGAATTATTTGGCAATCCTGCAGAATGTTTCCAGCGATATCATACAGCGCAGATATTGTTGCACTCTTTATCGCAGCATGTCAGTCACAGTCAAGATAGAGCTCTCCTTATTAAATGTAATTTATTTTTCTTTAATAATTATCATTTTTTTTTTTACTTATTTTTAATGCGATATTTTGTTTGACTTTATTTCAGACAAAGATGCTGTTGAAAAACGTTTGTACGTTCTTCAACAACAAGGTTACATTTACGCAACAGATCCTACATAGCGCTTGTGAAAAACGACAGCAGAGTGCAGCGACCCGCCCAAGCCCGTACCGTATTCAATTCCTCTCTTGTGTAAGATATTCTGCCCTATTCTGTATAAAAGATGTTAATTCATTGATCATACTACGAAAATGACATTGTAGAAATAAAAAGCAAAACTAAGATTTAAGCGTAATATAGTAAGTAAATTTTGTTAGATCTACACAGAATAGGGTAGATTAACCCCATGAGAGTACGAAAGTGATTCTTTACAGGTTTCTTTATATGATTTTATTAATAATGTGAATTATGATTATATATGTAATATATATATTATATAATATATGTATAATATATATATTATAAAGTATATAATATATATATATATATATATATATTGTAATGTACGTATGGTTGATTAACTAACCTTTATTTCATATCAAATAATAAAAACGTATACTAACAGCATTGTGCGTTCAATGCGAGACACATTTCTTATTAAATGCTGGTGATACAACAATTGTAAAAAAAAGAGGTAATATATGAAGCATTGTTTCATTGGGTGACATTATACACTAATGCATTTTGCTAAAAAAAACAAATATATATATATGTATGTTACAAGATATTATTCCTTTTTTTTATCTGTAATATCTTCTATCATTGGCTTGTTGTCTCTATAAATTACGTAGTTCAATGCTGCAGCTAGAGAATTCCATGCTAAATATGGAATTACCAAGTAGCCAGCAATTGGATTTACATTGTAAAATGCAATGCCCATTGCTACAGTGCTTCCCCACAATACTGCGATTTCATACAAAGCCTAAAAGTACAAGAAATGTAAGTGACTAGAATCATCATTGAATCAGGATAACATGATCATTTCTATTAAAATACCAATTTCAGGTTGTGTAATCCAAAGAACAGTGGTGACCATGACCAATTTAGTATTAAATTAGCTCCATAAATAGAAAGTGGTATTGCAGCCTCTCTGTAACTACCAGCATCTTTCCATACTAAATATGAAGAATAACCCATTGTACAATACAGAGTTGTCCATACTGGAGCAAACACCCAGTTTGGTGGTGTCCAAGTAGGCCTTTTTAAAGACTGTTGGACATCGAACAAGAAGTTGATTAATTTATTTATTAAATTAATTTCAATAAAACGTTCAAAATATTGACAATAATTTTGAGTTACAGATTTAAAAATTCAAAATGCACAAGGAATAAGTAGTTTATAGTTAAAACAAAAGGATAACACTACACGTACACTTATATGTTTTGTTCTCTTAATTCAAAAAACATTGGCACAATTATCTTATCTTATAAGCCTTTTTCTTAACATTTATCATCTCTGATGAGATTATCTAAAGATAATTATTAGTTGACAATAATTACGTTCGATCGAATAAAGCTTGATTAGTTTAATAATAAATTTTTTTAAATATTATTAAAAGTAAAACTTTCCAAATGGAAAAGAAATACGTCTCAACGTCCTAATAGAATACACCGTACTTCCTCCTAGAAACACGATAGGAATATTAAATAAATTTTAATTTTTAAAGATTCATTATATTTCGTTTTCACATTTTAGAGAATTTTAACTACAAACTACTTTGCACGTATCGTTTAAAATGTATCGACTCTGCTTCTCGTTATGCGACTAAATTTGAATTATTTTACGGATTGATCAATTTAATTACCTCATACCAGGGTTTGATATTTTTTTTGGTGATGTATCCACCGATCCAGCCACCAATATTTGGATGGAGAACAGCAATTACAAGCGGGAAATTTGTTTTTACAGGCATTTTACTTACAAAGTGAAGCTACCTTGTCTTCCTTGACAACGTACTTATCGAATGTCGATGGCAGAACGTACGCACGACAAAATACGACACTACGTGTTATAACTATGACTGACGCTTTCCAGTGATGTAACTATTTCAAAGGATGAACGCACTGGGCAGTTTTGTTCGCGTACTCGTTATCTGTACTTGAGATCATGACTAGTACAATTTGCAATGCCCGTGGCGCCTATTTAATGCAGGAGTAAAAGTTAATAAATTCCCAATCATAAAAGCCCCTGTTAAAATCATTCGTTTTGTTACCATTTATGGACAAACGTCGAAAACAATTTGCCAAGCTGAGAATTTAATACCTTTCGATGATACATACTTGCGACAATTACAGCCATTGTCTTGTGAAATTAATGCATGTATAGTTTAGTTATATAGTAAAGTAAATGTTACATACATTAGAAGATACTTGAAACATAAAAATGATTCGTTTTCATTGCGTTAGCACTTCACGTCTTTCTGGGTAATAGATTCGCAAAGAAGGGATAAGTGGAGCACATACATGTAGGTACATATGTAAATTCGATTCAAACGTTCTGCCGACTAATGCAATGCACGGCAAGGCGCAAGGTTTTCGATTGGTTGGATAAAATTGAAACATTTATATTTTACCAATCGAAATTCGTACCACCATCGGCGCTTTTTGTTCATCCATTTGTACAGTTTGGATGAACGTTGAACCGAATGTACGCAATATTAATGGGAATTTGTTATTTCATTTCAATATTAGGCGAACGGTATCACTTTTATTTACACATATAATTTAATAAATATATTTATATTACATATATTTTTGGAGCGTCATGCATATACACAATTCATAAATGACTATTATTATAGCAACAGAGTGAGTATTGAACATTCAAACGTGTGCGTGAGTACATGTTCTTCGTTTTTTTCATTAAATTATCGTAATGGAATATACATACATGTACACAAATTGAAAGCATTATTAGAATTAGAAAAAAAAAACACTGCACGCGGTTATATAAAATTAATTTTACATACAGAACTGTTTTTGTTTTACTGTCTTTAAATATAATTATGTTTCGTAACAATTAAAACTTCTTTAATTCGGTGAAATTTCGGAGAATCGAAATAGTTGTATAAATTTACTTGAGTGCAAGCAGAAGGTCAATAAAATGTCAAAAATAATATCGTATAAAATCATTTGCTAAAACTTTGAACGTAGAAATATTTTAAATCGTTAAAAATTTATAAAAATAATAAAAAGAATTAATATTTTTAAATACGTTAATAAAATCTTGAGATATGTATTCGAGATAAACAATATATTATATATGCATTGATTTTCGTATATTATATTAGTACCCACAAAAATAAGTATTAAATGATACAGCCAAAAAAGTTGAAGTGTCTTGAAATATTATGAAAGGGCATACAAAAGGGAATATCTTCAAAGAATTCGTTTCTACGTTACGACAAGCTGGTACATAATTAGTTCTATGCTCGGCGATACACGTAGAAAGACGTCGGCACGTAGAGGAAAGAATCGTTTAAGATACTTCGTCTACTTTTTGGTATGCTGTGTAATTCTCTATACTGAACTAAAATATTTAACTACTTGCTTTTTTCAGGATACTGTTAACGATGTTTACCCACAGATTTTTTTTTTTCCACGCATTCATCAATTGTGTACTCTGTACTTTATTTAATCATTTTTCATACTCGCTTAATTAAACAATTTTATTTGGTGTATACTAGTGTCCTTTCACTCACATTTTTTATTTTTAATATCTTTCTCACCGTTTACCTCTCCTTTACGCTCGGTTCTAGAAGAAAATACTCCCGGGAGATGATCTCTTACACGTTGTCTCAATTTCTGAGGAATTACCATTATGGTCGTTATTAAATTACCCAGGAACAGTACTAAAAACATGCTACTAAGGACTGGAACATGCCACGTAGCTTCTGGATGGGATGTTAATGTGTACAATACATATGCATTATATAATTGAAACAGGTATCCAACAAAAAGGAATGGCAACAAAAATGATAGTCCACGCCACATCCACGAATGAAAACCTTCGATAGTAATGTCCATATTATGTCGCTCGCCCAATGCTTTCAAGCGGTATAAAACACCGCGCTGATAACAAAATTGCAAATACTGCACTACACCTATAAATAGAAATTGTAAAATTTCAATTTTTAGCAATTAATTGTAAGAAAAATAATTCGTTTAGTATTACGAACAATTGAAATTATTTAGTGTAACTTACTAATGTATACATTGAACCACATAAATTGCTGTCGAAATGCGTACCATGGCCCTGTGTTAGGCCACACTAATAAAACACCAGATACTACGGTCGAGAGGAAATGATGAAATCTCCACCAACCTTTGATTTTTGAACCATTCACTTTCAATATACTTTCTCTTATTGTCAAGGTACAATAATACCAGACTAAAAGGAACATAAAGCTAAGTTCCAAAGTTCTGAAACATACATTGCCATGAGATGTTTTATTGGGACAATAGCTTTCTCAATTTTTAATAAAAAATAAATTACATCTTACCTGACATTAGTTACTAGATTTAATACAGATAAAATAAAGCCAATTACAGAGAGGATTAATTTAAACTTTTCGTACTCATCTTTGTACTTGAACCTAAAAAAAATAGAATAATTATTCAAACATACTTCTTATTTAGACAAAGTCGCATCAAAATCAAATTTCTACTCACTTATCGCTTTTGTTTAATATGGAAACATTAACACTGCCTAAAATAATTTGAAGGTACGTGCCATTCTGTTTTGGCAATGTTTGTTCTATTTCGTGTAATTGCTCTTCTCTTCTGGCCATATCTTTATTTAAACTTTTTCTTGCATCTCCTGCATGCAATCTAAAGTTGATTCAATGTTTCTTATTATTCAAAGAGAATAATTACAACATAATTATCAGAATCGAATACTTACTGTTTGAGGGATTTCGATATTACACCCATTCTGTACCTTTGATGAGAAATACCTTTTAAACATTTTGCTTGAAGTTCGCTTATTTCGTCTAATTTTACAAGGTACTCTTTGTTTAATACCTGTTAACATAATTAAAACACCGTTGTTGCTTAGCTTAATAATTGTATAACATTATCTGCGTTTCTCGCAATATGGAAGAAATATCCAGCAAAATAGTTGCACACAGAACGAACAGTTAAAAACATATAAAGAAAAGTTTATACGATAACATTTCGAATACATTCTTGAGCATGCAATGTATTATACCGAAAATTTGTCGAGTACCGGTTTCGAGTATCGCTGTGGATAAATAAAAAGTACACTTAACCTCGAATAAAATGATCCAACACGTTAATCACCGACAACATTAGTACCCAGGTTTAACGAAAAATTATCTTACTTCTAATTCCTTGTAATCTTTCGCTAAATCGTTCCAGTCTTTTAAACAGGACTCGACATCGGTGTCCATCGTAGCGAGAAAAAGGGATGATGGTCAAGACCTCGCTAGGAATTTAGGTACGCTACAATCTATCGTATTCCTGGGGCTGTCCAGTTTCTCGTGGATCTGGCGACAGAGTGCTCTAGAAGCCGCGTCCCGATTATCGCGATCTTCAGGGCCGACATATGATAAGAGCGTATTTCGAATATCTGTGGGGGAAACATATTTGCCCGAGATTTAAAGTAACGTATCAAATAAAGCATTAAAAATCCGACACGCGTCACGTCTATCTTCTAAATATATTAAAAAAGTGTTTCTTTCTTTCAGAACTTGAGGATCTAATGGATGCGTACCTATACAACAGCTTTGGTAAATACTAATTGATGACGAATAGAACACAAAATACATGTCAACAGTGAACACGTAACTTTACGTTCCTTTTGCTTCATCCACGAAGTCGATAAGTGATATTTCAAAACACATTATTCCACACTTATGAATTAGTAATTTGTTGCCGCAATCGCAATTAATCGTACACAAATTAGATACATTCGAGTATTTCGCAATGGCTCTGGATCTAGCGATAGTCGGGTTATACAATTTCTGCGATAACTGTTTTACGTTTCGTTCGACGTCGTTGAAATTTTACTTTTATAATTCGGGACTATTATTATACATTGCACTCGATTGTAAATTAATACAATGAATTATTGTTCTTAAAAAAAAATTTTCTAATTAAGAAATACCAGATGAAACCAAATGCTTGAAATTTGTTGCTAATTAAGGTTAGACTTTGCATCTTTGTGTAGTGCAAAGTGTAATGCTCATTGATCCAAAGTTACATGTACGTGAACTTGCGCTTCGGACAGTTTCGGGAATTTGAGAAAGAAGGCGAATACAAGGCTTTCCTTCTCGTTCCCGAAGCGGTTGAAATCCAATTTGCGTCAACAATTTGCGTCTTCGGGTCTTCAGTCGCAGCAACCTCCTCGTGGTGAGACCTGGTAATCGGTGTTACCCGCGACGAAAGTATTCTAGATACCTTCCTCCCGGGATAGGCCGAGCTAATGGCTGCGAATTTAAAATAGTACCTTTAAATATCAGATAAAATTGTTAATAATAGCAACTCTGTATATCATGTAAGATATTTCGAGAGCGAGAAGGAAAGGCTCACGTTTACGTTCTCTCTCGAATTCCCGAAGCTATTCGAAGCACAGCTCACGTATACATGGATGTGAATCAGTGTATGTAAATGGAAGGGCACCGGTTTGCCGTGTGGTGCACTGTGAGTATATTTAATGCGACCTGAAGTTGCAATGAATTTCGGTGTTCAATCAGCACAAAATTCGATGATAACAAACGGAATTAAATATAGCTTAACACTTGTGTCAATAATCAAGGTACCTGGGTATCCAAAACGCTTTGTTCGAATAAATCAAATATGAAATAATGATTTTGCTAAAGTCGATGATTCGCACGTAGACGTGTTAACCTCGAAACTTAACACTAACGATCGACTTTGATTATCTTACATTATATAAGCATAAACTATAAAAAGCTATCTGGTAGTTGACGAACGAAAAATACGTTCTAAACGATTAGCATCGGAACAGGACACGTGTACTATCTTCGTGTTCAGAAGCGTGAGTTTCCCTTGACATTCAAATCTTGCAGCGTTCGCTACTGTACCATTACGACCTCGTTCCAATTCCAAGTTCCCCGCGATCAACGATTTCTCAAATCGAGGCGCACTTGTTTCGTTCTCTCTAGTTATTCACATTTACGCTGACGTGAACCGATCGCGTTACAGAACGCGCAAACTATCATAGAATCTTTCCGCTTCCGAGGAGCACAATACAGCCCGCAATTTAACGCTGCGTCCTGTCGCAACGCGTTGAATACGCGAATTTTTTTACGGTCGTTGACCAGAGAGAGAGAGAGAGAGAGAGCTTCCGCCGAACCACAGAGACATGCTTTGCAGTCTCTGGTAAACAAGTTGCTTTATATTCAACCCATCGTACTCCATTTCACGATTTTTTTAGCGACGATCCCTTGACCTCACGATACACAATGCGCTCGGCAGAGACAAATTTTATTTATAAATAACGAATAAACGTTTTCGATTGCGATCCGTTTAATCGCATTATTGTATTTACTAACTCCCACGATAACATTGCAGACGTTTTTCCGTTTTAATAAGTTCAATTACCGCGACAAGTATCGCAATTTTATTCAAATTTTACAACTACCACGTCTTTATTTTGTAGCGTTCGAAGGGCCAAGAACAATAAAAACTTTTGAGCGAATTGCGAAAAGTATTAACGAAATTAACAAAAATTGAAGAGAACGAGACAAAGATAGTTGAGAAACACTGGCCTAGAGGTTAAGATTTCGATCCCTTGTGTTGAGAAATTCTTCGTGTATCGTTCGTTTATGATAAGGAATGGCACAGTCAGAGATGTATGAAAAAAAAAGTTTCAGCTTCTGGCAACAACGTGGAAAGTATTTTATTTTTTTATCATGAATAATTTGATATACATAATTATACAGGGTGTTCAGCCACCCCTGGGAAAAATTTTAATGGGAAATTCTAGAGGCTAAAATAAGACGAAAATAAAAAAAACCAATTTGTTGATGGAGGCTTCGTTAAAAAGTTATTAACGTTTAAAGTTCCGCCAGTACTGAATTTTTTTCTAGAAAGTGGGTAGAATTTCGGGGGTATGTCTAATGACCAAAAATAATCGTAATTGACCCCCGCAACCGAAAATAATTTTTCCAGAACGATTTGAAATTTTTTAATTTTGTCGAAAAATTTCACACATTCTCGAATTTTTTTCTCGAAAGTGGGTAGGATTTCGGGAGCATGTCTAATGACCAAAAATAATCGTAATTGACCCCCGCAACCGAAAATAATTTTTCCAGAACGATTTGAAATTTTTTAATTTTGTCGAAAAATTTCACACATTCTCGAATTTTTTTCTCGAAAGTGGGTAGGATTTGGAGGGTATGTCTAATGACCAAAAATTATTGTAATTGACCCCCGCAACCGAAAATAATTTTTCCAGAACGATTTGAAATTTTTTAATTTTGTCGAAAAATTTCACACATTCTCGAATTTTTTTCTCGAAAGTGGGTAGGATTTGGAGGGTATGTCTAATGACCAAAAATGATTGTAATTGACCCCCGCAACCGAAAATAATTTTTCCAGAACGATTTGAAATTTTTTAATTTTGTCGAAAAATTTCACACATTCTCGAATTTTTTTCTCGAAAGGAGGTAGGATTTCGGGGGTATATTTAATGACCAAAAGTGCTTGTAATTGACCCCTGTAACTGAATATAATTTTTTCAGAACGATTTGAAATTGTTTAATTTTCCATTAAAATTTTTCCCAGGGGTGGCCGAACACCCTGTATATAGGTAGTTACGAAAATAAACTTAAGCAGATATCTCTCGTCTCCGATGAGAATGGTACAACACGATAAATATTCATTTTTCCGTGCAAGCATTTTGTTCGGTACACAAGTTTTATTTACTCGTTAATATTTGAATAAATCTTTATTCAACTTAAAAATACGATATACCGGGTTTTATCGACTGTTCTATTTTTCAAAGTAAACCGTGTCTAGTACGTTATTCAAAATCAGATTTATCCCTGACCGGAGTATCAGCTGCATTATTTATAAACGCTATCGGGTTGTTCAAAGTCTTCTGTTCACATTCAACTTTGCAAGTAGAGTATCTCGTCCTTTTATCTACGCAAATTGCAACTGTTTGTGTTTCAAAGAAAGGCTTTTTAGGATTGGTAAATAGGACTGAGATACCGGGAGATGTTTACCAGCAGCAGCACGCACAAAAGAATCGTTTATAATTTTTTTTATGGAGATGCTTCTTGCATATTTTTCTCAGAGTGTGGTGAATATTGTTTACGTCGCCGCAGCGATACAGGTGGAATCCAAAGAATTAAATGATAAAAAAACAAATCAAATATCGATAATCGTATATGAAACAGTCAACAGAAACGGGTAAAGAAAAGTTAAATTTACCGCCTGATTTCCATTTTCAACAAAACTGTGGCTCCAGATACATCGCGCGGAATATTTGAAAACATTGCCACAGAGTTCTGCGTTAAACTATAACAACAGAGGATAACTTTTGAAAGAATGGAATAACATTAACATGGGCTACAAGATACAAACGAAACGTATTCTCCATAAAGTAATTACATCGTTATTATTGTTGTAAAACACGTTTTTTCAAATTTTATCTTATCTATTCTATTTTTGTATATGGATAAGATATTGCGAGTAAATATCCGTACAGACAAGGATATATAAGAATAATTATTTCAGTAATTACAAATGTCTCTATACCGAATTACATATTGCGCGGATACTTTCGTCCACAGTTATATGTATATTACGAATATCCTGTTGTGGTTGTAAAAACAGGTATAACGCGCGTAAAATTGTCAGTCTCAGGATCGTCTTCGTGTTCAAACGACGTTTTATACACCTCGTAATACTTTATTCCTGGAATCTCTGGTGTGGTCCCCACCACGGTGTAAGAAGTTTCAGATGGAGATTTAAATATCTTCGAAACTGTTAAACAGTGTGCAGTGGTCGACGCTTTAGTCCCGGGATACCCACGATCAGACCGTGAGAAAGTATCAGTGCTCGCCGACAATTAAACAGCTGAGCGACGCGTTTCGCGCGGTTCGAGTAATCCTTGCGATTCGATGATTTAGTGTATTTGTCGCCGAGGCGTTGATACCACGGTGCGCTGTTTTTCACGATTCCTTAACGATATACGATATTTTTAAACGCATTCGCAGCGGCTGCAACAAAGATAACGATCACGCTATAGTATCGATAATTTGCGTTTCAAAGGATTTTGTGTACACGAAGAGGATCGATGCAAAGAGTGCAGTGAATACGAATAGTGCACGATGGTTAAATTATCGATCGTCTAAGGACGTTATTACAAATTCCCTTAACACGTTTATTTTTTATTATTTATGCTCTTAACTCGATACCTTTGTTTCGATCGATCTATTCAAAAATTTTTACCGAGAGCACAATCTCAGACACCCATTCGTTTTCTGTATAATGTTACTCGGATTCGAATGCTGTATCATACATATATGCATGCCGCGGCTGTCAACGTGTCGATCGTTATCATTACAATTGCCGTATACCATTTGTAATTCGCTTACAGCGCTGGCGAATAGGTACACGAATGTACAAAGCAAGATAGAGAACGTAAGGAAATTTTCGTGTCGAATTTGACACAAGGTGCATCGTAATTATGTTAATTGCGACGGCACTGTAATCGGTAGAAAATAAGAACGCAGTGAATCAAGAAGCGAAGGAATCCTCGGTGGAAGAAAGTGGAAATCTCCAGCGGAGGGGTAAACGGCTTCTAGATAACGGCATAGTAAACGGTATTCGATCATTCTCACGTGTAAACCGTCCTGCAATCAGCGTATAACTCGAACCGTGATTTTCAGTGAATTTCAGAATTCGTATAATTCGATACTTCCTAAGACTCGTTGTTACGAAGTAATTTCGGTACATGGACAATTTCAAAATGGTTGTCATTTAACACACCGAAGGGACAGTTGTATCTGAAACACATTGTATCTGGTACATTGTATTTTAAAACGTTTAAATGCAATGTGCTATATCGTATTATTTAAATCATACAGGCACGAATTATCCAGGCTGCTTATCCTCGAAACTGTCACCAGCTCTGTCATCGGTCTCCAGTGTGTGGTTGCCAAGCATGGCGGGAGGGAATAAAAACAGAAAGTTCCCGCGAGGATCGCAACGATTTCGCTTCGAATGAAGTCACGTTCATCTTCTGAATAAGAAAAAACGATACGTACGCAAATAGAAGTTTCGAATTCAACACGTGCGGTCGATGTAAGACAACCCGTCAGCCGCCCGAATCGACGCTATCGCCTCGATCGTTCGTGCTGATCGAAAGTAGGTAAAACAGACCCAACTGTCAATCGCGTGCACAAAGATGAACGTAGCGCGAAACGTTTTAAATACCATTAAATCGAACGGTCACTGCAACAACGTCACGTCGTTGAACTGTCACGTGTTCGGTTGCGGTTATGCAGGCGCGTCAAGTTCACCGAGAATCGATGATCTGCCCGATATCTCGAAATCGCCCGACGGTGCATCTCGATCGAAGATAGAGACCAGCGAGATATCGAACGACAGAAATTACGGCACGGCGGCGACAGCAACGAACGGAAGTATAGCACAGGAAGCGCCGAAACCGCGCGGGCTTCCTGTCATCGGGACGCTTTTCTCGTTTCTGTTTTCCGGCGGCGTGAAACAACAGCACGAATATGTGAACAGAAGGCACAAGGAACTGGGCCCGGTTTACAGGGAACGGATCGGACCAATCACGGCGGTGTTCGTCAATTCACCCCATGAATTTCGTAGAATATTCCGGCTAGAGGGATCGACGCCCAAACACTTTCTACCGGAAGCTTGGACCCTTTACAACGAAATACGGAAGTGTCGACGCGGTTTATTTTTCATGTAAATAATTTTCAAGTATTTATTAATAGCTAATAGAAATTGCTGTCATATATTAAAAGCATCTGCATTTTGACTACATTCTTACGTTCGAACAGGAACGGAGAGGAATGGATTCATTTTCGTAAAATATTAAATAAAGTGATGTTGGTACCGGATGCGATGAATTTAATAGCCGAGCCGTGTCACGAGGTTGCTAAGGGTCTTCGATTGAAATGGCAGAAACAAATCAAGACCGACGTCATTATATCGAACTTACAGGTTCAACTTTATCAATGGTCTATCGAGGGTAAAAATAAATTATACCTCGAAATTGTTCGCTAACGAACTGTAAAACGTAGAAAAATGAGAAATGATTTTTAATCGACAGCAATGATGGCCGCTTTGATGGGTCCTTCCTGGTGTTTGTATAAGCAACAATTATCACGGGACTTTGAAAGATTAGCGAAAATATTACACAAAATATTCGAATATTCGGCTAAATTATCCATAATGCCAGCTAAAATAGCGATGAATTTACGATTACCAGTTTGGACGAAATTCATTACGTGTACCGATACAGCTTTCGAAATCGTTCGTGTTCTGGTACCGGAAATGATTCGATTAGGCGGCGATGGTTTGTTGAAGAAGATGATCGACGAAGGAATTCAGGAGGAGAACGCAATTTGCATCGTCACTGATTTTATCTTAGCAGCTGGCGATACGGTACGGGATACGAAAAATGACGATTAATTTAATTAATGATGCTCGGAACAATTAACGGTCGACTTAATCGTTTAATTAATTGATCAATTAGTTAAGAATAATTAATCGATTATTAATTCTGGATTATAGACGGCGACCACTTTGCAATGGATATTGTTGCTGATATGTAATCACCCCGAGAGACAAGAAGAATTGTTTCGACATCTGAAGAAGGTTCCACAGTATGAATTGCCGCGCGATCCCCTGTTGAAAAGCATAATCAAAGAATCGCTGAGACTATATCCTATTGCTCCATTTATCTCACGATATTTGCCGGAAGACAGCGTGATCGGTAATTACTTTGTGCAAAAAGGGGTAAATGAACTTGTTACTACGCTATTCGGAATAAGCATATCGTATAAATAGAAAAAAAAAAAAATCATATTAATAAGTTGTGCAACTTTGTGTTGTAGGAGTTGCTCGTGCTATCAATTTATTCGAGCGGTCGTGACACAGCAAATTTTTCACGACCAAATGAGTTCCTACCGGAAAGGTGGTTCAGAACGGAAAAAGGCACTTACCAAGGTGTATTGAACCCACACGCGAGCCTGCCGTTTGCTTTCGGAGCAAGAAGTTGCATAGGACGAAAACTCGCAGAAATACAGATATCGCTCGCCTTGACAGAGGTACAAACAACTTTAACAAGGGATACATTAATTATTAATATATTTTAATGCAAGATATTCTAACTAATCGCCGATACATTTTTATATAAAATGTTCTAGCTGGTCAAATCGTTCAAGATAGAATGTGTAAATAAAGATCGGGTGAAACTAATTTTGCACATGATTTCCGTCCCGTCGGAGTCGTTGAAGTTGAAATTAACTCGAAGAGAATAAACGGGACAAAATAGAACACGAAAGGGAACACTGACAGGAAAGTAAATATTTTATTCGTATTATTTCTATTGTTCCTTCGATTGTTACTATATTTTACTCGTATACATTTAAAACGAACAAATTAATTACAAATACTTTCGCCACGGTATACGCAATAATTAGTGTTTTAATATATATTTTTTTAATCAAATTACACCTATAAAATGTATAATTATCAATATACATCAATTCCATATTTTAAAATATATTCACAATAAGTATAATAGGAATACATAATGAATAAAAGGTTTTATAATAAAAGAGTCTTATTAAGTGTCTCCCATGTAAGAATGTGGGTTATACGATCAAATATTCATCTATATCGCTACTATTAATATCACAACTATATCGGATTAATTTATTGTTAACAAAACGTTGTTAATGATTGCTCTTATGTCGTTTAAAAATTCATGGAAACTTTCATTGGTAGAAAAGTTATGAAATGCTTGCACTCTTTCAGACTGTGTCATTGGAGCTTTAAGAAAGCTCTCTACGCAGCAAGACTTAAATTCGTGGCAAGAGTTTATTCTCGCCCAGTTCCACGCTCTAACGTAATTTGTATAGTTCAGCTTCGAGAGCAAGGTTTTCGTTAGGATGTCCGATATATCGTCCATAAGAAACTTGTCAGCTAATAACGCGGCATCTAATAATAATTCAATGGTCGTATTTTCTAAACTCGCTCCATTGATAACTAACAGTAACGTGTTCAGGCTCTCCTTCGACGTGTTTCGTAGTTTGACACGTTTTTTGCCAGATTCTGAAAAGTTTCCTTCAAGCATGGCGGAAAATGCATCAGACTTTTGGCACAACGTGTGCCTACAAGCATCTATGGTTGTGCCATCGTCCAATTCGAATGTGACCGTCGTAAGTTTCGGATGGCTATCGTACACTCTTGGAAAATCAGTCGAGGTGATGTGTGAAATTTGAAGCTTATCTATAAAACCCGACTGCACCTGCAAAGTGTCCGCCAGTCGACAGATCGACCAAATAGCCTGCTCGTGAAGGTTATGTTGCCGATCGGAAAGCACGCGAAATATTAACGGTATACCACCGTAATCGTTCAACAGATATACCAGATTGTCCTGAGATTTAATCAAGAATGGTATCGAAATTGCAATTACTAATTTATGAGTTTCTTCTCCATAAAGTAGTATAGATTTAAGTTCCCTTATTGCTCCTTGTGCTAGCGTGCATAAATGCCTTGTGTACTGTTCCGAATCATATAACGTTTGCGCTACGAAAATGAAGCCCTGCTTTAACAACGGCATTAAATATGCTCTATTCCTGTACAAAAAGATTTAAATTAATACAAATTTCATTTCTACAATGAGTTTGTTTCACTTACCTTGTAATTTTAACTAGAATTTTAGGCGCCTCTGGATCTTTGACGTATTTAATGTAATTTGATAGAGCTTCGATAGTTGTACGATCGGCCAGTCTATCGATCGGCCGATTCGACTGACTTAATCGACTTAACAATACTAGTGTCCACACGCAAGTGTACGATTTACAACCATGCTCCCAGTTTTGGACTTCTTTTACATCTACAGTTACTGATTTATAACTTTTTAGCGATTCTACCTCTTCTTGAGGTTCTAGAAAAAAAGTAAAATTTATGAACAAAACGAATAAGAAGAATAACTTTTGTACGTTTTAAAATTTTACGAAAATTATGCATGTAGTTTAATATACCGTCTTCGTTTTCCATAAATTCTGTATCGCTACAAATTGGACTGTAATTGCCTTCCGCATTCTCATCATTTTCTGTAGAATCATAAAAAGGTAAAGGTGGTGTACTAGGAGGTGAACTGGAAACGCTGGTAGCACTACCCGGACTCCAATCATCGCGATAGTAATCGGAACTAAATCTGTAAAATAGAAATAGTCTCATCCATGTTTTTTGCAACATTAAATTTAAAATAATTTGATGAACATACCGTCCGTAATTAATTTTATTGTATTTAAATTCCGTTTGTCTGTTAGGAGGTGAATCATTCCCCCTCTTTTTAGAGGCAACAATTTCTTCATTCCTTATTTGAGTTACCATTCTTCTTAACCTGAATACTAGAACATCGAGTAAACCATGTTTCACCAATATTGCAATGCTTGGACCATCATAAACAAATTGTGCAAGAGCATGTAATATCGTGTCATGAAATCTTTCACTTTCTTGTAATAAAGATAACATTAATTCTAAACCAGATCCCATCCTAATTCTTGCACGATTAATAGCTTCTCGACAAAGTAGACATAAACTGACTAATATTTCTGTACACCGTTTCGAGCGATCGTTAATGAGTGTAATACAAGTTTCAACAGCACCAAGATTTCCCAAAATAGGACGACATACTGCTATATGGCAAAGAAGATACAAACACTTAGCAGCCATCTTATTATTTTTATCACAACATTGTATAATGCATTTATAGCCTTGTGTATCTTTTTCTCCTCGTATTTGTTGCCCTACTCGAAGATCAAGCGTGACCAAAAAAGCACACAGTGCTTTTAAACAAGTTTCTACTAATTCTACATATTTTGAGTCTGTTTCTGATTTTTCCTTTGCTCTTACCAGCAAACACGTAATTCTAAATATAACTTCCGATTCTATAATTTTTTCTCTACTACTCTCATGCATACTCCAAATATTTCTGTAAAAGAAACTTGTAAATTAGTAAACAATATTCTGCAGTACATAAGTATTGTTGGTATACAAATAATTATTATTTTTAAATACCTTATGGCTCTAACACCCATTAAATAGGTTTGCATATTTAAATCTAATTGTAAAAGATTAACTAAAGCTTCGATTGCACCAGCTTGGCATAATGATTTAGCATGCCAATCGCATTCAGATAAATTTCCAATTAATCTACACGCACGGCAGTGTATAGTATTTTCTAATTTAATATGTTTTATTATAGAAACTACATTATTTGCTATTTTAGAACCTCTGACCTAGAATACAATACATGTAATATTACTGTGAATTAACACTGCATAATTATAAGTGAATAATGTTTATACAAAAATTGCTCTATCTCCATCCAACTGAACCAGTCGAAGGATATCAACAGATTTAAAATATGTAGAAACATTATGTGCATTTATACCTTTTGCCTTGCATCTGAAGTCATACATGCATTTGCTAAAATACTCAGAGTAATGTTTAATATTTTCAAATTATGAAAACGAAGTAAATTTACTAAGATGCCCATTCCTCCATCTTTTGCGAATTGCTTCCAGCATTTTGGTTCATTTTTTAACCGTTCTAAACACGATGAAATTCCCTCTTTGGATTCTGATTTCAAATGTTTCATTAATTCGTGCAATATCAGATACTCCTTTTTCTCAACTACAGTTGACATTTCTTTAAATAAATAAAGAAATTAACGAAAATTCGTTAGTCTTTTAATCGAAACAACCAATTGCGTTGCCAACGAAATTGACAGCTACACCTGTACGCAGGGTTGCCAGATTGTCAGATTTATCAGAAGCCAGGTAGTACAAAAAACAAAGCCAAAAAAAAGCCAAACCATAAACTAAGTAATTATATAGATGAAGTGCAGTGTATAAAGGAGGAGCTACAAATCGGTTATTTAAGACAATAAGTTACATAAAGGACACTATTTCATTGCAATTGAATGCAGGAATACTGTTTACAATCTTGTTAAATAGATATAACTAAAAACTAACAAACGACAATCGACTTTAGTAGGTACTAGCAATGTTGAACGAAAAATAACAACATTACGAGAATCCGATTTGGCACTAGGTAGAAAGAATACGTATAATTGAGTGTCTTTGTCTATTAAAATGGCAACCCTGTCTGTACAGTAACGTATAAAAATAATTTAGAAAGAAAAGTAGTTTAATTGATAGTCTCTCACAATTGAAATATATATTACTGTTCATTGTATAGCATATCCTATAATAGTTTCGCGTTTAAATTCATAATCGTGTATATATAATTAATAAATTATTTTGTACAATTATTTTTTAAATATCCCGCTGTCGAATTTTAATTTACAGTATGTATACGCAGAATACGCACTAGCGCCATAATAATTTCGATAGAGTTAGTAGAGATACTGTATACAAAGATCAGGGAACATAATTGAAACAATTGTAGAGCATATTAATGACGCATGCAAGGTATTTAAGTATAATAATTATCCGTAACTGTTATTGCTAATAGCAAGTACATTGTACACCACTGGTGATCACCGTTACTTATATATTTTATCATAAATTAGCATTTACTTAGAATGTATGTATTTTCAGTTCATTTTGAAATGTACGAGAGTATCCGAAATCGAATCGAAAAGATAGAATATGTGTTCTACTTTAAATAGAGCATAATATTTCAACATTGATTATATTCAATTTTAATGAATTATCTTTAATGTTTTTCAGTACAATCAAAGTTCAGGCTTCTTACTGTAATATTCGTGAGTATAGCAAAAATTTCGATGCTATTAACAGTATAAATATTTCTGAACTTTGTTAAACAGTATAGTAATTACGAACAATTACGTAAAAAAAGAATATCATCGTTCATCGTTGCGTTACACGGCAATTTCCTCACGGCGAGGCGCTTAAAATTAAATCTATTCCTATCTAACATTCGAATCGAACACAACCGAATTCGCATCATCAAGGTGAACATAAATTATATCGTTCCAAAGTAAGAGGCAGGATTTTGTTGCGCGTTTCGCAAGAAATACGAATTTCTATTTTGCGTAAGCGCACGCCGTGAAGAGTATCATCCGTGAAGCGCACCTGCTGGCAAAGGGGCAGTGTCCGCGAATAGAGTATAGCAGAGGCGTCAAAATGATAGGAGAGGGCATGGGGATCGGATCGTGAGCTACGCGCTACGCAGGAGATGTCGACAAGATGACAGCGGCTGTGTGACGCTCGTTACGTTAATTCTTGGCTACAGGTTTGCCCGTGTACCAGGAAGAAGAATCGTTCGTGGCTAAAAAGAACGACTTATGACTCGTTACGGTAGTACGCGCGTCTCAGTGGATACTCTGCCTCGAAACGAGATTGTAATCGGGCGAATTCGGGTAAGAGCCGTGACCGCCGCGCCCGTGCAATGTACACAGCGGCTTGAATCGTGCTCGAAATCGTCACCGTCCCCGAGGAGTCCTTATCTTCAACGGTCTGGAGTGGAGTAATGAGCGTTTTCGGAGATTTCCAGCGTGTCTGGGTACAAAGATTCCCGGACAGCGCCTTGCCGGCGGCCTGGGAAGAGGACGTCAGGGCCAACCTAGTCAAGCATAAACAGAAGGTAATAACTCGGAACCAGAATTTGTAATCTATTCTTTTTTAATTTCTGTAGCGAAGGATTCGTACAAACAGAATTTTTAACGATTCATTCAAGCGAGGTTTCCTGTCAATATTCATCGAACCACCGATCGTACCGTTTTTCGAGCACGGTGGAACATCGTATGATACGGTCCCTTGTGTTTTGACTTTAGTTATTACGAAATACATTATATCGTAATCGGTGATTACTTATTCGCGATCAGTATACGAAATAAGAGTTTTTTATGCTTTGGCTTAAATTCACGAATCATCGTAATACAGTGAGTTGACTTTACCATTTATTATTTTTAGGAAATTGTATCACAGTTTCCTTTTTCAAAAATTTATTTAGAAGTTCCTTTTCAAGAAATTCATCTAATAATACTTCGAATTTCTTATTGCTAAAATTTTCCTTGTTCTTGAAGTAATGGTGGGCCTCATTACATGAGTCATCGTATTAATTTCTTAGTTAATTGAGAAATTAACTTAATTTATAGTTGTGCATGGTTAACAGTTTGCATAATATGTTTATTCTGTTTCTGTTAAATATATTGATTAGGGGCCAATCATAAAATCATTACGTAATAATACATTTAATCTTTGGTGGAAGTTGGATCATTTTTTTTGTTTTAGAAACATTAATTTTTGTTCATAAAATACTTTGTTTGGTTCTGTATTATTGAATCATTGCTTCCTTATCTGAAACCTGTTATCATGAACTAAAAAGACATGTTTATATTATATTTACTTTTACTGATATATCCGCATGAACAAATAATTGCAGCTAGCTATAAATTCTTAATGAGTATTAATCAAATATTAAATGTTTCCACAGGTAACAGCTTTGAGGGAAGAACTTGAGAAAGAAGAATTTTATGTCGAATATTTAGAAAGATTATTAGCTGATGTTGAGCGGCATAAGCAATTGGCAAATAGCAATGCTACAACAACACCTGAAAAACAGCAGCTCACAGAATTTCAAAATCAACATACGTGTCAAACACTAGAAAACAGTTTACCAGATTCTACAAACACGTCTCATACTCAACACGTGGAGCCATCAGCCCCGCCCCTTCCTGTACGCGAAGATATAAGTAAATTCCAGGATAAGTGTGTTTCTGAATTGAGTTCTACTCTTAATACGAGTAAAAGACCCAAAAGTGAGATACCGAGGAGTCCTGATAAAGTGCCTGAACTTAGAAGAAACAGTGACCCAGATGTGCCAAGTAATTATGTCACTGTAATTGAAGTGACAGGGAGCTCAAAAAAAGATAAAAATGAAGAATCTCTTAAAGAAGAGGACGAGAAAGGTGTTGTTCTTGTTAAATGATATTTTCATGATTAAATTCACTTTCATTTATGCTTGTACTCGATGAACAGATTTGGAAAATGCGATTAACGAAGATGGAGAAGACGGTGATGCGGAGGCATCGGAGGAAGAACCATACTATGATTCCGTAGCTTTAGATCAAACTGGAGAATATGTATATATCGACGCACGTGTACCACCCGTTGGAAATAATAATGGCAATAGACCACCGCCGAGAAGACCGCCTTCCCTTCCAGATTCGCCAGGGAACCAGAGTAACTATGTCAACATCGACTATTTTATACAGTAAGTTATTTGTGTCATAGTAAGACGTCATAGATACATAGCTTGTCCCACTTTTCTAAAATCACCCTGTATAGAACTGATATTATTTTTAGGCACAAAGCAGCAATGGACAGTGAAGACGAAGAAGGTGCAAGTCCTGCGCCACCGATTTTACTACGCGCTCTTAGTACCGATAATGAAACGGGTAGTAGCGACGCAGAACCTTTAAGTTTAAGCGAAGGTAGCTTAGAATCGCCGACACCGACTACACCGCGCCGGCAAGAGAAAAGTAAAGACCGTGAGGACGATAGAACGTCTATGATTAAATGTATTGTAAACTCGGTAGTAGAAAGTGAAACTATATATGTCGAATGTCTAAACGTAATGTTGCAAGTATGTAGTCTACCTTTCGATTTAAGTGATCCATAATAAATATATTTTTATCAATTCTAATAAAAATATCTACTTACAGTACATGAAAGCTATTAGAGCAACATTGACCACGTCTCAACCCGTTATTTCTGAAGACGAGTTCGGCACTATGTTTTACAAGATTCCCGAGTTACATGCCTTGCATCAAACATTTTTGGACGGTCTTAGGAAAAAATTAGAAAAATGGGACACTAAAACTACTATAGGCGAACAGTTTAAAGTAAGAATTGAATGTCCACAAAGTATATGGATCCAAAGAACAGAGTATTGTACTTTCTTATCGATGTTGTATTCATATTAACTGTAGATGGCCAGCAACATAGGATTATACGGAGCTTTTTTACACAATTACGCTCGCGCTACCGATACAGTACGCAGGTGTTCCGCACATTCAACTCAGTTCGGTGAAATTACAAGGGATATAAGACTCAGAGGATTTCCCAAAGGTCCAGGTTTATCACTAGAAGATCTGTTACACAAGCCAGTAGCACGAGTACAAAAAAATGCCCTAGTATTGCATGTAAGTATCTATTTATACGTAGTTTGTTATTGTTACTGGAAAATATCCGATGTGTACTATTGTTAAATAAATGCTGATTGGTTAAGACGATAAAGTCTGGTAGAAATATACTATCTTATCTCGAAGTTCGCATTGATAAACCTTTTTCATTCGATTGTAGGATCTCCTTAAGCATACACCAGTGAATCATGCAGATCATGCACCACTCTCAGAAGCTCTTGCTATGACTAGAAATTTTCTAGACGAATTCAACATTATTCAAACGAAATCAATGTTTCCGGTGAGAATAAGTGTTATAATATTTAAAATTTGTATAAATTTATTGTGACGCGTATAAAAGAGAATCAGTTTTTTCAGAGTCATGACAGAGCGCAACGAAGATTAGTGAAAAATTCATTTGTGGTAGAATTATCTGACGGCCATAGAAAGCTGAGACATCTGTTTCTATTTAATGACGTTATTGCATGTGCAAAATACAAAGCTTCCGGTAGAGACAAATTTACATTTGAGTTAAAGTGGTATGTACCAGTGGCAGAAGCGGTAGTGACAGAAGATGGTATTGAGCCGCGTGAGACTAGTCCAGCTAATGTCGTAGCTCTGAGGTACGTATCGATATTTACTGATTTTCTTATTTATATCGATTCTTTAGGCCATATGAACTTTTATATTTTTAGATGTTAACAATTAACATTTTGTGTACTTATATATATTATGATGATTGTTAAAAATGTATTATTTACTTTTATCGCTTCGTAATGAAAATGCATTATTAATACATAGGTCACAAGCATGTACTGTACGTGATCAAATTTTGTGGGAAGAGCGAAATGACGAGAAACGAATTAGGCTTGGTGGTAGAGGTTCAGAAAAGAATAGGAAAAAGCTTGCTGAGCTCGAGGCTCAACTAGTATTAGCGTCACCAAATTTAGTATTACGCGTTGTGCATAAAAGCCAACATCGAGTACAAAACTCGTACACGTTTTTTCTATCCAGTGAATTTGAACGTTCTCAGTGGGTTGAAGCAGTGGAGGCATTGCAACAGGTAATGCGTTCCCATATGTACCTAGATAAGTCAAAGGTGCGTAATTTTTACGATCACGAATATATAAATATTCTAAATATATTAAATAATATTTTCTATTTAAATTCAACGCAAGGATGCAAGTAACAATGTACTCGTGAAAATAATACAAGCGAATGCAAACAAATAGGTTAGGTCCGTTTTCATTTTTTAGGGTGGACAACCTCCAGGACCGTTACCTTTATCGATGTACGAATTGCAGGCATGGGTTACAGCCTGTCGTACCTATCTCCAAACAGATATGGGCAGCTATTTATTAAGATCAGGTCGCGATGAGAGTTTATTACTAGGTGATCTTCATTTGACTTTACTTGGTTTGATACCACCAGGTTTGGATAGAGTGGGAGATCTTTACATTATCGTGGAGGTTGACAGTTACGGGCACTATTTTAAACGAGCAAAAAGTCGTGTCGCAAGGGGTCAAGCTCCAACGTGGGGTAAAATATTTTTTAATAAAAAGTAATTGTAAAGTTATCGATACAAATACATTTAAATTAATTATCTCCAATTTTCTTAAGGTGAAACGTTCGTTGTTGAATTGGAAGGAAGTCAAAACGTTAGAATTTTATTGTACGAGGAATGTGGAACGCGTTCGGTATTACGGGGTAAATGCGTACAAAGATTGAGCAGGTCTTGGCTTCAGTCGGATCAAGTGGAGAGATCGTTAAATTTGGGACCAGCTACTCTAGATGTAGCACTCCGTTTCGTTCCAAGCGAAGTAACATTAAGACGGGTACCATCTGCTAAGCCTCAAGGTTTATTCGGAGCTAAAATTCAACAAGTGTGCAAGTACGTTTTATCCTTTTTAAACGAAACACAAGTACAGTCGAATTCGGTTAAAATTTCTAACAAATACATTTGTTCTACAGACGCGAGAAACGTGACGTTCCTTTTATAATAACGGCGTGCGTTAGGGAGGTGGAAAGGCGAGGTGTCGGAGAAGTCGGTTTATACCGCGTTTCTGGTTCGGCTTCAGATTTAACCAAATTACGTAAATCGTTTGAAAGTAATTCGTACGAAGCAGAACAGTTACTTAAAGAGGTAATTATTACAGAACCTTTCCCTTCCAATAGTCGTTACATATGTAAAGATTTTTTATGTTTCTATATGTAGGTGGATGTCCACTCTGTAACAGGTGTTCTTAAGTTATACCTTCGAGAAATGCCGGAAGCTCTTTTCACGGATGCCCTTTACCCGGCGTTCCTGGAAGCCTTTCAAAACAGCGAGTTGTCGAAGAGCGTCGCCTTACGGCGAGTCTACGAGAGTTTGCCAATCGTAAATAAAGCGGTCATTGACTTTTTGCTCGCTCATTTGATACGCGTTAACAAACACGAGACGCAGAACAAGATGTCTTTGCACAATTTGGCGACAGTGTTCGGGCCGACGCTTCTCAGACCTGGCACGAATTCGCGATCAGACGCGAAGAGCCGCGACCCATTGGCGGCGGGCACTGTGGACGTGATGGCGCAGGCCGGTATATTATACTGTTTTTTGCAGATGCACATGCAACAGAACAATCAGTCACTCTAGTCGAGAGGTTCTTGTTGATACATCGTGGCGTCAGTTGCTCACCGGGAATTTCGCGCAACGGGACAGAGACTCGGCGGCGACTAACGCTGGAATGTAAAAAATTAAAAATTTTTTATAATATATTTCGTTAGTTGGCGAACTTGTCGAGATTGTATGCAATAGCTGAACCGCATGATTTTTTAAACATGTCGTTAACGGCGATATTTCAGGCAAAAGGTTGCTCGAAAATCATGCGGATCAGTCATTGTGTAAGGCTTGAGTAAGTTGACCCGTTAGTTTTGTGACGTATCGTTTATACAACGCTGAATTAGACGCATTAAGTAGTAGACAGGCTTCGACGAAACCCAGATCGATGAAACTCCTCTTTTGCATTGTTACGCATACGAGTAACGCAGCAAAGTGGTCTTAGGAGCGGTAACGTATCGTCCCTGCTTCAAAGTCCGTGATATATTTTATACTTGTATTCCCGCGAAGTCCTAGCCCACGATCTTGTGCGCGTGTAAACGCGCGAATCATTTTCAGAGATATTTTGAACGAAAATTTCTCCTATGAGAGAGAACAGGAGACACAAAGCAGTCCGGTTCGCTATGTATCCACGCTTTAGAAAATAAGTATTTTTTCCAATGGGGCGTGTTCCTAGCAGAGAGCCTACATTTTTTTACGCAACAACGTGACATACCTTTTACTATGTCCATGAAAATGTCCACGTATTCGAAACAATAACGTTTCTAAGTATTCCTACAGAAGATTTCAGAAAGCACGTTCCTCGGGATGCGCGAATTTAAGCTTAATAGTGACGTGTAATATACAGGCTGCATTGTTTTTAAAAGGAAGTCGCGTTTCTCGCCACTTGTGAGCCGTTTTATTCTTTATAAAAATATTTTGAAATAAATCTGTGCTCTGGAGTGTTTTCGAATGAACATTTCAGAGCAATGTAAAACCAGGTTTTTAATATTTAAGCTGTAATTAGACTCGTATTTGTTTTTTACTCACACTGCCTGGCCGTTGATTCTATTTTAGTTGGACCAGCTACCGGAAGTGGTTTCTACGATCGGAAACATTTCTAAATATAATATTTTAAATACTTTTTAAAATGTATGTTTAATAAATTATATAGCAATTAAACGTTAAGCATTGCTAGCGAACGGTTGAAAATATTTTATATATGTAATTGTAAAATGTATTTTATTCTATGCATACATTCCTCTGCCAACTTATTACTGAGATGAAAGGATATTTGCTAATTATCCTTAACATTTATTTGTCAGTTCTTAAAGTTTGTTAAAGTCTAAATACAGCTTAATAGAGCACCAAAGAGAAATGATTCTCTCTCATAACTTCAATAGAGAACCGTGGTTAACCCTTTGAAGTATTGCAATATTTATAGTTTAATATCTACTACAATACTTACCTTATAATATCATCCATTATATTTTGCTATTTCTGTATAACAGAACCAATTAATTCTATATATTTGCATTAGTTGCATCTTTAGGTAAATTGCTCTTTATTAAATCTGTACTCGTATTTTTCAAAATACCGTAGAACGTCGTTTATTCGAACCGGTATACGTCTCGTTTATGGTTTCTGATAATCGACGTTTCGCGGTATATGCTTCAAAGGGTTGTAGGAAAGAAAAAGCACATTTGGCAGTACAAATTTAACACTTTATAGAATCCCCGCATTGCATGCTAGGACGTTTGTGAGCTACTTTGTAATCAAGGTCGAAAAAAAGAAAAAAAAACAAGTCTGACGAGTGTTCGATAAACGGAATAGTATATAAGTATTAAACAACAGAAGGAAGGAAGGAATGAAGAAAAAATTACGCCGAGGTACTTTTCCGGGGGTGACCATTGTGCTAGAACGAAGGCAACTATCGTGTGCGTGGTTTCAGCGTGTGTGCGTATGTATGTGTAACCCGCCCTTGTGTATTATATCGTAAATATTGGATATCTTTAATTTTTATATCGCATTTAGCATAAGATGCGTCCCTCTTTTGTACATTCATGAAACGTGTAAAGACAAAGTTTCCGCTATTACAATTTATTATTATTATTATTAATATTATGATTATTATTATTTTTTATCACTCCGCATTTCACCATTACCCGATAACCACGAATCAAGCGTTTGTTACGATGTTCGGTGAAGCTAGCTTATCCGCAGCAAGATGATGTACTGCCAAAAAAACAAACCCGCGAAACGCATAAATATACCGACGGTTTATAAGCCTATAAATCGGAAATATTTATCGTCGCCCATGGGTACGTTTAGTAGTCTTCGTTTCATTTTCTTTTTTTTTTTTTTCTTTTTTTTTTTTGTATGTAGAAAGTTAATTTTAAGCCGGAGCACGTTGTATTGTAACCAGAGTTGTTGTTTTATTTTAGAGAGCTGTACTCTTTCGAGGCGATCTTGAAAGGCTACAGGTAATAAAGAGAAGATAGATTGAAAAAGTGTTTCAATAACTAAGCATTTTATTTAGAACTGTGAAAGCAGGTAATTTTTTAATTTCGATGGAAATAAATAGAACTTAAGCAGATTACATTTTAGTATATTTTGTTTCGGGTTAACTTTCAAACTTGTGTGTATGTTGTGTCCTAAGGATACAGATTTTTGTGTTGTTAAGCGTTTCCGAATGTAGATAAGATTATGTAACGAGAAAACAAATGATTCAAATTGAATTTATTGTGTCTTGTTTAAGCGACGAATCAGGACAACTTCGAGCCGGCGGAGGTAATGGCAGTTTAACTGGAGAAGCAGCTATGTTGTCCCAAAGCCCCGGAAGTCGAGACCCGTCCGAACCGTTGCATTGCATTCCTAATTAAACGTATAATTAGCGACTTATAAACAGATAAGGATGGGATAGTAAATCGAGAACCTAATGGTGCAGCTTCGTAGAGATCGTAAAGAGCTTGCACGCGAATTTTGGTCCATTCTATACTTTCGTAATTCGAGGAAATTCCCTTATCGTTGCTGGTCGGTTGATTTTCCCATTCTCTCATGTACCGAAAATACGTTCTCAAAGCATCGTCACTTATAGCGCTCTTGCAAACCTGTAGAACATTGTTTCATGATTTTTTTTTAACATTCTCTCGAGGAATACAAATACAAAAATAAATACAAGAATCTCGTACCTCTAAACGAGCGTTGGGGTAATAATGTATGTAATTCACGCACATTTCATCGGAAATGGCGAATCCTCCGAGGGTAATATTTTTCCTATCCATCGTATTGTACGTGCAAGTTGTTATTAAAGAATCGCCCTGGAAATAATCGATAAAAGAATTCACCGTACATCTCAAACAAAGTGTACAAAATATTAAACAATTTTTACAGGCAAGACGGTGACATGTTTCGGTAAGAGTCTGATTTCTTGGAAGTGAGTGGAGTAATGATTATCGTAGTTCAACATAGGCAACTCTTCACCGTCTCTAACGTGACGAGTGATAACTTTTATGCCTGTCAGGTGCGTGTGAAGCTGAGACGCGAAAATATGAATGCCATGTTGAGGAAGACCAACTCCCGTACACTCCTGTATGCAATGCCCCGACAAAGTGAAAGCTTCCTGGAACAGTAACAAACGCAACATTGCTCTTATTACACCTGCATGTTATTTACTTTAATTGTATTACATTAATTTATTACTTGCTGAGGCGGTATTGCCATTTTATCTGTATATTCTAGCCCTAACTCGATCACGCCGGCATCGTATTTACGGAGACTCTTCGTGAGGATGAAACGGATCCCCGAAGAATCGATATTCCCATCCTGAAGCTCGGGATTGTTGTAATGGACCTCCAACATAACGTAAGGATTGAAATCGTTACCACCGATCGAGAGGCCAGCTTCCTCGGGGTAGACGAATGCATCCGCTCCCATTGCCCATGCTGCCAAGACCTTTTTACAAATCTGAACAAAAATTAACAATATTAACGGACTGATTTTCATACAATTCGATGCAGTTTTTAATCTCTACAAAAAAGTATTCACGTACGTATATCGTAAAAAAAAAATTAAATTATCTTATAAAAAAGAAATGTTAACGCACTTGGGTCTTTTCCGGTCTGTCAGCTCCATCGCAAGGACCATCGTACATAGGGATTTCGAGTTCCACGGGACCAGCACAATGGAAGATTTCCATATGATGAACCAGATGTTCATTACCTGCTTGAATGACTGGACCAAACTGAAGAATGTGATGCCTACGGACGAGTTGCATTGAAAAGAAAATTAATTGGAATTTATCAGTTACAATCAACATTGTTGGAATAGCGGCGACTCACTTTTGAGACAAAATTGACGGCAATTTTTGTACGCGGCACCAATAAGTCGTTTCCTTGTTCGGTACCTTTACTCGATGCGCCAACATTTCCAAGTGCCAAGCATTTGAAGGAAATGTTGGCTTTCTGTGGAGCACTCTGACCAGCTCCGTTCGCGACATACCGGTGACTTCCGCGTCCGAAATTTGCAGACCAGCCAGAGACGACAATGGCCCAAGTCCTTTGAGCCACACCAAGTGAGTGGTACCTCTCTGAAAACGTTCGCAATAAAGTACTCGGAGGTACTCGAAAATTAGCTAAATATCCCGGTAATTTTATTCACCTCCATGATATAATCATTTTCATCGCAAGTATCAAATTTTCTAGAGAAAGTGAACTTCGTTACGTTTCCTCTCCTTCTCCACGCGAAATTCTCGCAGTCCTGTTGCGAATCGAGGTTCAATCTTCCCTCGTCGTCCGCCCATGCATCCTACGATTAAAAAAATATGCGTAAGAAATCATAAAATTATGTATAAAGGATATGTAAAATGTCATGGGATATTGTACATACCTGCAACTGGATTTGACGATGCCAATCGATCCAAAGGACACAATAATCGGCGGGTTGTACTTCTCCATAATTAGAGAAACCAATAGCAAACCAGGTATTGTCGACGCCTATGTAGTGAACTTCCGCGACTATCAATTCGCTCATAAAATCAACCCTAAAAAATTGCATGTTTATCAAAACTTCAAATGGTATATTAACACTTTTTCGAAGATATACCTCCAATGAAACATAGCTTCCGAACCAAGCGGTATTGCGTGTACATTGGTTTTCTCTGAACTATCTTCCCTGCTTTGCTGATGATTGTGCCAAGATAAACACGAAACGGTACTCAAAATTGAAAGTAAAATCAGTTGCAGTGTTATCGAGAGCATTTTCAATTTAAAAAATAACATTTAAAAATTGTTTATTCTCGCTGTGTAGTTTATTAACGATTGTACGATTTATTTGATAGAATTATTAATTTTTGGTCTTGAATTATCGTGTCTCTGTCACGGGTATTTTTGCAGTGTTTCACTATCTCGTCGTCGATTACTACTGACAGGGCCAGGACGATTTGGAAGGACGAAGATTTTATACGACGGCGGTTTGCCGCCGAATAAGAGCGGCGCGCACACGCAGAACGATTTCCCGCTGTCGTGAAGATACGATTTTGTATTGGGAAAAATACAAAAAATAATTTACAAAAAAGGGATATTTGAAACTGATAAAGGACCACTGAAAGGTATATCAATTTATTTACTTTTTCTAATTCTACAGATTTTGGATCGCAAAGTTTCTATTCCAGAGCGTAGATGAGAGAAATTATTAGTCTTACGCGCATGCGTAAAGGTACGCATACTTCAAAGTGGGTCTCATGCATTGCAATAAGCCGCGAGAAGTGAGAGATAACAGTGAGAAGTAGTTGACAAAAGGTTACAACAATGAATAAAAGTAAGCAAAATCATCCATTTATTCTAACTCTATAATCCCTTCGTACCTACAGCTCGTAACATAGAGTCTCGATCAAAACAAGAATCAAAAATTAATTTCGATAATGACTAGTTGACGATTTAGTTTTCACGCATAATTTGATCATTACGTGAACTTTTTCCCTACTTTGCCTCGTCCTTCTAAACGAATTCATCCTATCGCTCAATTTCATTGTCGTCATTTACTCGAAAGTAGATTACCGAGGTTATCAACATCCAATAAGCGAGAGATCGTTTTGATTATAGGCGATAAAATTCACAATATTGTTCAGGTGTTCTAGTAACTTTCCAATATTTTGCTATCGAAATTCGTGGAAGCGAAGATATATCTTTCGGGAAATTTTGCGTGACGCGTGAAATATAATTACATCAATATTGACGCTAACGAACGATCGCGTATCTTTGTCATCGAACGCGATTAATTTTAGCATAACGTTTTCATTTACGCAGAAATATCGTGGCATATCACGATATATTAGCACCAATCGTACGCAGAACGTACGCGGGCGAGGTAAAAATGCTGAAACTTCGAGAAAATGTCTTGATAATTGAATACCAGAGGGCGCATATTGCATTCCATTTATGACGCGTGCCTCGTCGTCCCGACCGCAATCAAGAAATTCCATCGGCTTTTATTGCGAGTAGAATTTTCGCGAAAGGCTTTATTTAACAGCAGCGGACTACATGAGTCACACGACACAAATTTCGAAATTTATTCGATCATCGATACGATTCTCCATTTATTTACAACGTCTTTGTTAAACTAGGTTCGTTTCCTCATCTAACGATTTTACATTAACCTCTTTAAGGCAGGGGTCGAAAACGAGGGGTCTTATTGAGTTTCTTTTTATTTCTTATTTCTTTAGCTATTATTTTATGGGCATTATGTGTATTATTATTACCATTATCGTGGAAGTTATTATTAAATCACGACGATGGCCTCAAGATTGCGTCTCTTTTACAGAAACAAAGATCCAGACGATGGGCGCTGAAAGAAGCGGTAACTCATTGTGTGCCGGTCCAGTCCTTCTAAAGAAAAGGAAGAGTTGGGCAAGCTTCGGCCCTTAGGATCAATGAATGCGTCGATCGTGGCTAGGGGCCGGTCGTGTGAAGCACAATGGTCCGCCCGGTCTCACGGATTGACAAACGTGCCGACGCGAGACGCCCAGGTAGACGATCTCGTCTGAGACCTTGACTTCCGGATTGTTGCTACGGCCGCACAGTCTGCAATTAAACGGCAGGTGCACAGTCTGCGAAGTATATGAATAAACCTGACGCTTTCTCCGATGATTCGCACCTTTTTCTTCTCCTGCAAATAATGAGCTGTTGATAGTAGAGGATCACGTTCCGAGATAACCTTAAAAAACATTACAATGTTTTTGGAATAGCCCTTTGTTTAGGATGAATAGAAAATTACAGTAGGGGATGGGAACAAATAAAATTGCATATCACAGGAAACTCGATAGATTATATTTCAAATTCTCGGTTAGTAATTCATGTAATTCTCACGCGATTAGAGTTTGAAAAAGTCATTTTGCAATCTGAAACTTTTTTTCCGAGACATAAGCAGCTTTTTTTTTATCGTTTACGGAGTTCGTGAACACGCGTTTCTCACGTGCGAGTGCGTGCATGCGCGATTTTGCGATCAGACGACTAAGATATAAGTTACGCACGTCGGTAGATTTTAACTGCTGATATCTCGAAATCGAATCATCGAGTTACACGGTGGTGAAGAACTTTTCGATTTCTCATTATACGTGATAATAGTATATTTTAATTTGTCCCATCTTTTTAGGTAAATTAAATATCAATGCAATACTTCATTCTGAGATTAACATTTTGGAACAGCCAATCTACTAATTGTTCGAAGCAGTGTACGAATATTGCATATCGATAGGAGTTATTCTTAACCCATCGATAAATTTGCAATTCAAATGTAATAAGTCTGTCGTACACGGTGGATTAAAGATGTATCAGAAAAAGTATATTCTGCTCAAAGTAATTACAGAATGATGCCTGTAAGTTATTTTAAAGAATAAACCAATACGAACAATGAAAGAAGTATTATACATTCGACACACTCTGACCAGGTTTCAAAATATTGAACGTCCTATTCAGAGCCAAAATTATTCGAAGTGGTAGCCCTCTAATTGTTTTGAGCAATACAGAATATATTTGTGGTTCACATTATTGCATTCTAGCCGTCGATTATGCAATGTTGCGAAAGAATAGCCGCGTATTGCGAAATACTTGTACATCGTCTTGCAAATCGTTTATTTGACATTCTTACCAAGCATCTGGATACTTCCTTTTGCAAATATTTGTATAGCTTTTCTGATCAGGACACGCATCGAAACAAACAAACAAGTTTTTCCGTTATCGGGAGTGATCAGGAAGCAGCGACGATTGCTCGGGGAAAAAAGAGACTTCTGGAGGTTGATGAAGCTGGATTGAACTTAATTGAAAATTTTAATCGCTTCATGAACGGCTCGCTCGAGGCGTCTAGCCACTCCTATTACGCAATTGCATCGTTGAACTGATAGCAAGCTGTTTTTATAGGCGCCATCGCGCGAACCGGTATAAAGCCAGTGATTCACTGAAAATCGCGTGTCTTATCTCCTTATCAAATTTCGCGGAATAGCAACACATTGCAAGTTTTGAGTTGCATGTCCGCGATTACCATCGTGGTAAATATGAAATTAAAAAACAATAAAGGACAGCGAACTTGATATATAATTGATTTATTACGGTGCACCGCGCGTGATTAAACGCTGATATAAAAATCGAATGATAAATCCTTCGAACCGAAAGTCGAGCGTGGTATTCGAATGACAAAAGGTTGACGACACTGCCCACGATTGTAGTGGACGGATCGAGCATCTCCTCGAAAGTATTCTCGAGTGTCTACGCAATCTATGAGATTCATCGTGACGTTCGAGAATTCACCGGCCAGCTTTATCAATCATTCTAGCATCGTACGAATCGAATTACGCGCCGTCTAACGAAACCTGCGTTACGGAACGTGTCTGCTGCGGGTACATAACTTAAAGCTGTGAGAAACATTGATATTCACATAATAGAATAAATGGCGAGCCAGGACGTTGGAATAAAAAATACATAAGAAAGACACCGGAAATACTCGATCTTGATATAACACGGCTCATTGTATTAGTTGGTTTCTGCTTATAGATGCTTCCGGAACGAATTATTAAGCACGGTGAAAATTAATTAGTCTATACGGATCGTCTGTTCTCGACTTTGTTTGAAAAATTCCTGTAATCGAACTGTGGTATCTCCCCGTTCCTATATACGCGTTTCTTTTTTCTTATTCTTACAGTCTTGTTAAACGAAATGCATCCACGTTTTTATTCGGCCGGTCACAGTTACTAAGTGACTAAAATTTTCAATTAGATCCAATTAAAACTCATTAAGTTGGAGCAGCGACGACAGTCTTCCTAAAGAACTGCATACCAAGCGTTCGTTCCTTACGACAGAAATATGTTTCATTTGTTCATACATTTTTTTAATTTTTAATTATGTTTAGATTCGAACGGATAATGTATGAAATGATTATGTCCCTTGTTTAGATATCTGTTACTGATTATCCAGAAACTTTTCCCTGGATACTTCTTTCAAAGTACTTTGTACTATAATGAACTGTCGTACATATTAAGTTACAAAAATATTGATAAGATAGTGCGAAATCAATATTTGTATAGAATGTTCGTATACTACTGGAAACAATTAGAGATCGTTAACTGAAATAAATGTGCCTGTCGCGGCCAATCTCATCATATGAAACCTCAAAGCATGTTTGAAAAGTTCGAGATTCGATGCAAAATATTAATTAGTGAACTCTTAAAATCAATAACGATATGTCGAGTGCATAAACCGGCCAAAATCAATTAGATCGCCCAGTTTAATCGCTATCAAGGAGGTATCTAATCTCTAATAATTCAATTGATTCCCCGACACTTTAAAAACTGCTTATACCAGGTAAATTGAATAATCAGTCAATACATGACTCGTTAAATAGACAGCACTGCGTGTTCATCGACGATATTTTTTTCGTTCTTCAAAATCGCGCGGAGGGTTGCAAGGTAGTTCCTCTATCTTGAACAATGTATTATTCAACTGTGTTTAAATCACTCATGAAAATATTTGGACAGACATTGTTTCATAGTAGTTTATATAAGAAAATTCATTTCATAATGCCATTTCAATGCACAGACAATCTACACAAAAGCTATTATAATTGTTTATAAATAGATCTTCCCCAAATTGCAATTCAATGCTATTACGTATTAACGATAGAATACTAATTATTGATCGTTTTGCAGACAGAGGCGTTCAGAAACTTTGAGAAACACCGTCGAGAGCAGTGGGACCAGATTAAAGGGGGAGCGTGTGTCAGTGAGTATACAGTTTCTATTTTAAATTTGCACGTTAGAGTCCATTGATGAATTTCTGTCAAAACAGATATCCAGGTGAACGAATCTGTGAGCAAAAAGTTAACCGACGAATCGAAAATTTCGCACCCTCTGGTCGCGCCGGTGCTACTAATAATAAGCGTGCACGCGGGGTGCCACGTTGTGGCGTCTCGGCACTGACGTCGTCACGCAATAAAGGACGTCGACGCCGGTTGGCGAGTAGGAAAGTGGAAAGGGAATTGTACAACCGCTCGAAATTGTATGGACGGAACGGGTCGCGACAGTCGGGAAGCAGCTAGTGCTCGCGCTTGGACTTCAGTGTCGGAGCAACTGGTCCACGTCGTAAAATCGCGGCAAAAAAGTTCACTAAAGGAATGTAATCTCCATACGAATGACCGATTCTCTACCCGTTTACGACGCGCTCCAATACAGACTGTCGATTGCCCACGGTGAGTAACAGCCGATACTCCATCAATGAAAAATTCATCGAATTGCGCGCGTCCATGTGGCCCACGCGCACGCGGGATTGCAAGCGTTCCGAGGCGACCGCGTCAAAACGATTCTCGAATCGATCACGATCCATAGAACTGTCCTCACTGTCCGATCCACTGATGGATTTCACGAACTTTTCACGCGCAGTTGTGGCTCGTTTTCCTCCTTGGTGAACGCACGTGGTTCTGTTGACTCTGCACGTGATTCCGGCTCGTCTCTGCCGTGATAGTTATCGTTATATGTTATTATTTTTCCTCTATCATACTATTGTACGCAACCACAAAGAAAGGAAATATTAAATCTTGAAATAGATGCTAATCGTTGCCAAGTCTAACAGGAAACTTCGATACTCGTCAAATTCATGTTACCTCGCAAACTATAATCGTGTCTTATTAACAGTATTGTGTATTGTTTCATTGTTCCACGGACTGGCAAAGTTGCACTTATCTGCTACGAACGTTGTCGGTTTGCGGAAAGTCAAATAAAAGACAGTGTAGTTAATGAGACCCAATTATACTTTATACACACTGTTATCGTTATACTTTAGATTAGAGTTCGTTTTTTAACTCTTCCGACTTTGGTTCTTCGGAGAATCGTACTGCAAATTAAACATTGGTATTCACGTTTTCTATAAATCATTAGCTAGCCTTGGATCGCTGTGCATTGGTTTTGATCGAATCGGTGAACCACGTGGTGCATTTCCGGCGGGAATATTTAGAGCCACGAAGCAACAACGTGCTTTCCCCCGTCAAGAAAAGTACATAACGACGTTGCTTATCTAAATTGACGCTTTTAGTAATATAAAAGGAAAGTTATTAACATAAAAGTATCATAAAGGAAACGATAGAGCCGAGAAAGCAGACTATAGGAAATAAAAAACGTTGTATTCTGACCAGGTCCTCGTTTTTACTTTGCTCGCACGAAATTAATCATAACAAATAATACTATAGCTGGAAAAATTGTTTCACCTTTGGCTGAAAAATGGTCGTAACTTTAAACGCGATGATAATAGGCAACACGAGCCAAAGCATAGCGAGGTATCGCTGCTCCGATTTATGGCCACCACACATAACAGTGATATTACTAGGGTAATTAAATTGAAATTTATAACGAACACGAGCACTTGTAATTGCTAATTAAACCAGTGGCTATATACACACATATATCATGTCTATCTATTATCTGCCGCGCAATTTATGCATAAGACGAGTGATAAAACTTACGATGGTATTTTTCAAAACATCATCATTTTTAATACACGGGAATAATTAAATACCAATTGAACGTGTAATTACACTGTATAATGACACGCGTCGGGATTTAATATCGCGCGATCTGTATGCAACAGGAGCACCAAACTTGTTTTCTCCGGGGGCGCACCCAATTCCATGGAAAAATTCCTATTCGTTTCCGGTTTTATAGGAACGTGCTTGTAAATCGATCACGTTATCGTGTCCGTGCAACAAATATCGGCCGTTTTCGAAAATCTCGCTTATTATCTTCCACATCGACGACGAGCTTTCCGTGCACGTTTATTTTCAATTTATACACCTCGCGCTGTAACGTGTTCTCCGCTTTACGCGATTTTCTTACGACAGGTTTGTACACTTTTGTAAATTCATACGGAAGATTTGGTCGTCCCGCGATGCTACGAAAGCGTGGGAAATTATTTTTAGATCGTTGCTAGACGCGTTACAATTCGTGCTATTCTAACGTCTTCGCGCGGAGGGATAAATGTCCTTTTAAGAAGTACCTGAGAGGAATGGTATACGTCTCGAGATAAAAATATTTTTAGGGTAATATTTCACAATTTGTTGTACTCGTTTGTACAGGTCGTAAATTCCTCTTGTAAATCTTGAAGGTTTAATTAATTTCTCCGTTTGCAAGGTGTTCCTTAAACGTCTCGCGGAAACGTTCTTTGCACAATGATACTGCTCGCGACAATAATAAATTTAATGCATCGCTTAGAACGCGTCTAGAAAACAATGCAACTATTCGATATACGACTAGAAGATTAGCTGTGTCATGTACAAATAAACTGTGGGCGATTATGAGGAAGCTTCGGTTGACTCAGTTACTGCGAATCTGTTCCGTGCGACGAAAGTAATGTTAACGAGTCGAGTACGTTTGCAATTAGTACTAATCAGAGTTAGACAAATTTTATTTAGAAATATAATAAATCCGTGGTTCTGTAATTAGGTTTCCACTGATTTTTCAACGCTTTCTACATCGTTGTTACATGCTACTGCGAAGTCATGGAATTCATTTCTCCTTTGGAAGTGATTCCTTGAAAATATGGTTGAAGTATTAAAATTTAACTACAGGAAATAACGTTACACTTTTAGTATTTATATTCCCATAACAAGTTTAATTTATCATTTATTACAATCGCCCTTCGTTCAATTTTTTATCTACGACGTCTCGTTTGCTCAACAATTGATGTTAATTTTAATTTGGTTGTAGCAGTGTAATAGAGTGCGAAGAGTACTTGAGTTCTTCTGATTAGTACTTATAAATGAGTGCTCCGTAGTTGCGCAATTTAGTATCGATAATTAAAGTAGCCAAATGTATCTAATTGCAAATATCAACGGAGAAGTTGCGAATGTGCTAACCTTAACCTTCGTCGGTGATTCGCAAGTTTCTAACAGCGTAGTCCTGTTCTCCATTCAATATAAAGTTTTATAGTACCTGCGTTAAATCCTTTTACCTACGATGATTGCTATAACGCGCCTCAATATTATACGAATCAACGATCTGTGTATCAATAATAGCATTTCCTTGCCATTCTTGTACTTTCAACGGTCTTCTAAAAATATTTCAAGCGAGTAATTGCTCTTGACATTAATAGCAGCCTCTTTTGTATGTTTGTCGATTTCCTCACGCGTGTACTCGCGAGTGCCAAATATTATGCTTGCGGAGAATTCGACCTCAACCTTCGTCTCGTTCGATAGATAATCCTGTCCCCGAGGAATACAATTAACTGCGGACGATTTAGAAATAAAATCACAAATCACGGATGAAACAAATAGGGCATTTTGTGGGGAACGAGCGCTATCCAGTTGTTACGCGATCAGACTCGATTTTTCAATGGTGGAAATACCGGGAGTCCGTCCTTGATTTGTTCAGTAATTTAATACACATTACTTGCGATCGTTCTCTAAGAAATAAATACTAGAATGGGCAAGGCTGCACGCAACTGGTATTGAAACCATCTAGCAATAAATTAGAACGTTGTTGCAACAAAATAAAATTTTATTACAAACTGAGGCCAAAGATTGAATGTCTGTACAACGAACGAGTTATTAGAAGCGGAATGAAATGCTATACACCTCGTGCGTTAACGTTCATGTTATCGCGAAAGATATTTGAGTAGGTGATCATTAAATCTAATTGTTTCGAGCAATGTCGTCTGCAATTGTCACGTCTGTTTCTCGATAATTCTCGCCTTAACAATACCTTTACGTCTCAAAAGATAAATATATAATACGGTTGCATCATATAGAGAAAGGATTTAAGCACCGAAGAAGTGCCAAAATGCACATTGTTCGAGATAATTTGGTGTCGCTGTACGTACGATCTTAGAAAGTGAAATCAGGAATGGAAGGAATATATGTTAATATATTTTTCCGGAGGTTTGACTAGTCTAGCACGTTGAAGCTTTCATAGGTGATTACCTAGCTATTTTTAGCAGAATCATATATCAAATTAGATTCAGCTGACTGTTGCATAATAATTAACGTAACAATTGATATTTTAAATTGAATTCTATTTGTTAACGATCGTTCGTTTGTCTGTTTGCAGTGACCACGGGACAAGCACGTATCAGCTGTTTTTAAAGCGCCTGAAGAGGCCGAGGACCAGGCTTCTGTAATCGATGGGTTGAGAACGCGAAATTCGTGCTTTTCAGCTTTCTTCTCTTCTTGAAACCAAGGTGTTTTAGCTTACCGATGAGCCATGCTGAAGGTAGTAGGAGCCTCCTGGCTGCAGACACGCATTTCTACTTACATCCTGATCGCTGTAGCTCTGCTGGGAATCGGAGCTATTATTCTCGGCGAGTTCGGACAGTAAGTCGATTGTTGATTCATCGCTGACACCGTTCAAGTGCTATACGACGCGTACACTGTATCTGACAACTTTATCATTCGATGTACTGAAATAACAGCCACGACGACCCGGAGATTTTTTAACACGCTTTAGGGAAAGCGAATGTATCGATAACTGGTTAGCTCAAGACACCCAGGGACAGTATATTATAAATATAATTGTCATTCGCGTGTGCAAAATGGGTTACTAAGTTTTCCATTTGAATATTCATAAATTCTTCGCATGTTTCTCTCTCGAGGATCGACGAACTGTATCTTGGAGCGTGGAAACCTATATGCATTTACTTATCACGACGCTTGTCAGTTATTTTTGTCAATTGTAATATGGAGAATAATGATTAAGTAATCTTCACGCGAGCACAATGGTCTTGTTCCAACAAATCTGTGAATCATTGTACATCGAGAGTGATCGATTGCTCGAAGTTTCATTCTTCTGAGAACAGACTCCCGTTATTATTAACAAAATCTGAACAATATTTTTGATAATGGAGTTCAGTGACTGCAACGGAAGAACGAGACTTTTTCTGATCGATGCGTCCGGCAACTGTGTTGGAGCACGATTACTTTCTGTACGCTTGACACGCCTAAGATGCGTGCTCTACAGTCCCGACAAAATCAATCGGTCGTTCGATGATACTTCGCGCTATCTTGTAGCGTTTGATAAAGTGCAATTTAACATACGAATATTCCCACAACGAATAACTTGCGGGTTTGATCCACAGGGGTATCGAATGAACCAAATACCAAACACCACTTGAGTGGCCTGTGTGGTTCCGCCATCGACGTGCAGCGCCGAACACGCGCGAACGATAATGGCCAGTGCAAACAACGATTGCTGACACGTTTTCAAGAGAAACAAGTCGCGTTATCTCTTTGACGAAACTGTGCCCCTCGGAGGTCTCTCTACGCACACGCGTAGGGCGCGCGAGATAAGTTGTATCGAGCCACGCGAAACGGTGCTCACACCTTCGAGCGGTGTCGTGTGTGTCGCGAACCTGCCCGCGACATGTAAAACTCGAGCACGAATCCGAGAAGCCAGACATCGCGTTACCCGATACTCGAGTCCCGACCGGTCTCGACGAGCTCCTATCGCTAAAACGTTGATGCCACCAGACGCTGCAACCTGCTACAGTCGGAACAAAATCGATGGATCACGGCCACCTAGGCTCTATTCCTATCCGAGAACACCTCACTCTCGACTCATCTGGTTTAAAGTCATATAATGATGCAGATTCAGACAATAACTGTTATTTGTTCTTATAGAATTTCCTATCGTGCAATATTCTACGGTCGTTGGTCCAATTTAGATGTCCCGTGGCGACACCTCTCGTACTCGCCACTAGAGGGACCGTTCTCTCGCAAGTGTTCGACCTTTCGTTCCTATATATACACTCCTCGACCATCCAAAGCCCCGGCGTCTAAGGCAGAGCCTTGGTGATGGGTCCATTAGCAGGCCCAGCTATTCCTCCGTTCAGCAAGTCGCCACAGTTCAATATTTGCGTTATTAAATAATAGAAATCTTGTTCTGTCATCAACCCATGATAGATCCCCACTTCTAGGAAGTCTTACGACCTTCTATCACCTCTTTAGCAATAGAAATGGCCTTCAGTTTGGATTCTAGATACGGTATCAGCATTTGGTATTTCAATTTTCATTGGGTGTCCACGACATATTACATATGCATGAGAATAGAAAATATTAACACTATTTCTACCGAAGAAATAAGTAGCTAATATTTTAAATCTCTAATTATTTATTATTGTACGTTAACAGTGTTGAACAAGATGGTACTTATTCAGCAACCGTGACATGGAACCGCAAAGGAGGATACCGTATTGACTTTTGGGGCCAAGGCAATGATCTAATGGCCGTGCCATTGCACGCCGCTCGCGCATATTATAAAACTGGAATTTTCGAGCACGGGTAGGTCAACGTTCTGTTAACGTTCGTCACAAGAACCGACTGTATGGAATCTCTTTAATAAATTGTCAATTGTTGCAGATGGTCTTTCATTGAAATAGAAACGTCATCAAAATACCCGGACACCGTGCAAGCTTACGCCGCCGGGCTTTTAGAAGGCAGCCTCACTTGGCAATTAATTCATCATCATTGGCACAACACCATCAGACCTGTGTGCGAAGCAAAACCTGTCGAGTGCCAAAAGTTAACGCGGTATCTCCAAGACAACACTGCCGTTATCCGTGAACGCGCTGAACTATTGGATTCTACGGATCCTTTTTGGCATATGGTATACGATCAAATTACATAATTAATTAAATTGTTCGATGAACTAATTGCTAATGTTTCCTTCAGGTACGATTATTTTACACACAATTGGATGGCTTGGAAGCTGGTTGGAAATTCGCTGTACGTCGGAGCCGTGCCCCGGTGTCAATGGAATCGGAGGATTTCCTTTGGCTCGCTCTGGCTTCCGACATACCCGGCTTCCAACAAGTGTTTAATGTTTCAGACATTCCTATGAGTTCCATGATCTATTTCAAATCGCTCCCAAGAGACAATTCCGAACCTTTGATCGCAATTGGTCATAACACTGCTGCATCGTAAGTAAACATTCTTTACATTATTCGATTCACACCGATCGTTCCGTATAATTTTTCCCCCGTAACGTAACGTAAATAATTAGTTAATTAATTTTAAACGTGTTGTGTGCAAACTAATAAGTTTTACGTTTCTAAGCAGCAAGGATGGCTACAAAACACGTGGGTATAAGAGGATAACGAATATATTGTTAGCTGATAAGATCAGAATAGAAATAGGTATATTATAAAATTCTAAGTTTATTCGATTATAAATATCTTCGTGTATTCGTTGTATAGATACACTAAAATGCTAAGACTCGTGAAAAAGTACACGTTCGGTTATCATGTACTGCCTGCCATAAAAACCGCAGCATTAACTCCAACCCGATCGATAGTAATGACGTCCTATCCGGGAGCATTGTCATCTGGGGATGAATTTTATTTAATGCGCAGTAAAAGTCGTGAATTGATCGTTGCCGGAACATCATTACTAGCAACAAATCGGAGCGAATGGAGCTTCTTACACCCAAAAGATCATGTATGATTAAATGTTACATTAACGATCAAGAGCGTGGACACGTATTTTACTGTTTAAACAAAAAATAATTAAATGACGATGATTAGGTTATGTTATCTGTGAGACTGATGACGGCAAATCGTTTGGCAACGAACGGCCAATCGTGGTTCGATATTATATCTAATCAAAATGGCGGCGCTTCTGCGGTACAGTGGATTACATTCGAGCCACGTTCTACGACCATGGTATTAGTAGAACAACTACCGAGCATCACCATCGCCATGAATTACACGAAGGAGTTCAAGAAGGCCGGTTACATATCTTACGTAGGTATATCGAACTTTCGTAGCGTCAACGATGTCGTACAATCTGCCAAAAAGAACGTAAACGTCTGGAGAACGAGTTTAGCGCGTTTGCAAGAGAACGTCACCACGTTCGAGCAATTTCGTAAGATGATGCGTGGTTGCAGCCAGGAAGATTGCACTGCCGAAAATCAAAATTCTAAACTGGATCCACTGCAAGAATTGACCTATCGCGGAGACTTGGAAGACGAGTCGTTAACGTACGGTATTATAGACACGAAAATTCTAGCCGTCGATTCTAATGGTTTCGAAACATTCGAAGTAACTTCAGGACCAGCCACCTCGCAATCGCGAACACCCTTTAAATGGTGCGAAAGGTTTCCCAATATTTCGCATGTAGGACACCCAGACGCATTCAATTTTGAAAGTATCACTCCTAGATGGGTTTGGTTTTAATTAACGTAATTAACAATTAACATATTATTAAACTGTACTTATAGCCTTGTAAACCATATATCGTTACTTGAAGAATCGACGCGATAGCCAGTCAATTCTTTGCAGTTGGATTTTACGTTTTTAGACGAAATATTAAATATCGATATTTAAATGTAATCTTATTTTCTTTTTCTAAGCTGGCTCATATGTTAGCTGCCTATGGTGAAATTTAATAAAATAAAGTGAAAATACCACAGTTTATTTTATTATGTAAGCACTACCATGACATTCTTATTCTAAAAATGTCACTTTCTTTCGTAGACGTAGTAGTGGTTAACAGTGATCCTTAGAGATCGTTAGTAGTTGTTAGCAGAGGACAGCAGTGATCGTTAGAAGTTGTCAGTAGACGTTAGCATTTATGTTTTTGATCTTTATTCGAAAATAAAAGAAATATTTATGGTGGCACAGTTTCGAATCATGGAATATCTGTGTCGGCGCAGTGAACGTTCATTTGAAAACCTTTATGTTTTGTTCCCTCAACAGCCGTTTGTATTAATTCCTTGTACAGCTTCCAAGTAATTAACATATATCGTTTTGTTAATTTTAGTAAGTTTTGTTGGTTATCGCGACAATCCAGTAAGTGGCGTTATCTAGTAGCCCATATGGAACTATTTCTATATGGGGGCTTTTTCCATAGAGGGCCCCACTTACACAATTTTCTTTATTCGATCAACTGCTTCCATTCAAAATGCGTAAGAATAATTTCTTTCTTTCTACAAATAGATTATCAATTCAGGGATTTAACTCTTACTTATTAAACACTTATGATTACGTTTCATGAATAACGTAGAAGCGTACTATGTAAGCGAAGAAGTAGAATCAGGTGAATAAAAATAAACATAAATAACTTTTGAATTTTGTGTAATGATGTATAAATACAAACGTACAAAGACATTTTTGATATTTTGGGAGAAGCAAAAAGTAGGAAACGTAAGAAATGCATAAACATAAATTTAAAAATGAACAGATTCCCTATGTAATGAAATAATCATTATTTTTTAAGTTTTTAAATATAGAATTGTATTTAACAGCTTCTTGAATCTTTGACAGTAACAGTTTGTCGCATATATTCTCTTTACTTGTAAACATTGCATTCATATATTTCAAGTTATTTATAAACTCTATGACAAAATTAAAACAATTCATCGTAGCTTTGTCATAATTGTCAGACTTCCATTTAATATCTTTTAATAATTCTTGCAATGTTTCGTCCCAGTGGTTATCCCAAGATGTAGGAGTTATCTTTAATGCAATGCAATCTGTCCATTTGGAACGATCATTTATTATTACACCTTGTTTATCGTACTCGAAAGTCATTCCTTTGGAATTTGTTATTCCTATGTGCAAATCATCCAGAATAGAGTACTCGTTTAAGAAATTGCCTTGGGATGGTCTAACAATTATAGAAGCTGGCTGGTATACTGCATTTGTATACGGGTAGGGAATAAGGAACGGTTCTACATTATAATTTGCAATACATGATCTACAAATTGGGCATATCTCTGGGACACTTTTGCAAAATATAGTTTTGCTGCAGCAATGTCGGAAACATATTATCCCAGGATCACGAGACATAATCTGTCTTTGAAAAGTTTCAATGGTACTGTACAACGAATAACATGTTTCTCGAAAATTTGAGGTTATGTTGAACGAAACAACAGGGTAAACTTCAGTTAATTTTTTCGCATTAATGTTCAGACGAGTGAAGTGATAAGAGCTACAAACGAAATAATGTCATTAATCAATTAATGATACATAACTGATGTTGATAATGTAAAAATTAACTCAAGTATGCTTACCTGTATAAATTTATGTTACAGTAGCTTTGTAAAATAAATGTACATACAATTTTTTATATGTACTAGTTTCGTTTTTCAACAATTAATCTTTAAATTATTAGAGCAAATGTCATTCGCGTGTTAAACAAGTAGCCATCAAGCGTGTATTTTCTACACAGTTTCATGCATCAAGAAATGTCGGTATATAACTGTTTGTTGATATTTCTTACAGTCATAACTATTTTAGATTATTCAGGGTAATTTAGAGTAGGAATTCTTCTACATATAACAATGATACGGAAACTTATAATGCAATAATCAATTTATCAAATTACAGAATATATCGCAATGGACCATCGGTAACGTGCAAACTTGGAATCGACTTTACTAGCTGCAAATTAAGAAAAAACAGAAAATAAATACTGCAACGTAAGTATCATTCTACATTTCTATATCATTGGGTCCAAATCTTATAAAAATTTCGTGGTTTCTCGAGTATTGATATTTGTTGATCTTTGCCTTTCGATCGAAGGACATTCGCGGTTTTCGATCATGATCTCGTTCGTAAATCGAGCCATTAGTTAGTACGAAAGCATCGATACGTATTAATTAGTTAAAATAATACCGAGTAGGTATCATAAACGATGAAAAAAAAAAGACGAAATCAAATTTACATGAAACGAGCAGTTGCAGACAGCTTCAGGCAACCATTTTGCTATTATATTTTGTAACGAAGCGAAGTTGCGTGTTCGTATCACAATTCGTTTCATATCGATTAGATTTAGTTCCTCATTGTTTATAGATTTTCAGTTGTTTCGGTATTTATTCGGTGTTATACGATATTGATCAATAACAATGTAGTGTTATAACAAATATATCATGGTCTTCGACGGGCAATTTTCCAATTGATCGATGCCAGTGAACATGTTCGATACTTTGGTTTCGAATTGCTCGAACGTTATTGATAAGTATATTATTCCCATCGCTACCAATAGTTATGCCTGGCTATCTTGTTCCCGTCTTTCCCCCACCATTTAGTTCGCACGCGTGCCGCATCGCGCGGCAGCGCTGCGATAGTAGCAGCTGATCCATGGTGCGGTGTGGAGCAGTCGTGTCCGTGCCGCGTTTCGGAGTGTGTTCGTACCGGTACGCGTAACCGACGTTTCTCCTCGCCTTGATGATTTTCATCGTAGTGATTCTCGATGCTTGGCACTCGTGACAAGTGACTGCCCCGGGACGTGCTATTCGACCGATTCCTCCGCTGACACGTTGCGAAACAGTGAAAGGTAAAGAGGACGGACCAGCCGAGATCGAAGACGACGAAGGAAGAGCAGCGGGAATCAGTTACGGAGCGTCCGACGCGAAAAAAACTGGGTGAGTGTTTCGTTACACGTACCACGATATACGGTGTACGCCGAGCGCCGTGAAAAAACGAAATCGCGTAAAATTGCTGGAACCGCTGGCACGTGCTTTGAGATCGCTCTCGCGGATCGATGTATAAGGCGCACACGTGAGACTCGCGTACTCTTTAGAGGTGACTGACACCTGATGCGTCAATGACCATACCACGCGTAGTACGAGTCGCGTGTACATCGTATTCTCTTGCACAGATCGCGATTACGCGATCTTTAATACGTTCGTGGCCAGCTACGCGTGAATTTAGATCTGCGTCGCGAAACGTCGCAGCCAGCGTCCTTGTGTCGGATTGCTCACGATAGTTCTCGTAGTTCGCGTACGATCGCCAAACGTAGTAGGACGATAGGTTATGTCGCGTAGACGCTAGGCTGTGTGTTTTTCAGTCGTGGGATTCGTGGGAGTGGCGGGTCTCATCCCACGATAGACATTCTCCTAATACGTACGTACGCAGTTAACGGAACGCGTCCTTAAATCATCGGTGTACAATCCAGTGGTGCTCATGCTGTATTTTTAGCTTTCCTCCGGCGAGGATTTTATCTCGTTTCTATGGCTCTAGCGCGCGCGATGCACGTTCAAGGTCACAGCTGTCGCAGTAACAGCGTTCCACAGTATAATATTGGCTCGTCGAGGATCTTCCTCTTTAAAAGCATTGCGGACGCTCACGCGATGTTTCCTTAAAACCGCGTTCGTAAAGGTCAGGAGTGCATCGTTTGTGCATTCCTAATGCGCCAACGATCACAGAGGATACCAGACGTTCTTGGTAGTTGAACTTCTGGCTATAATAAGGAAGACAAATTGACGGTCTTTAGGTTAGGTTTGACGGTTGCCAGGTTAGGATTGCGTCTCGAAATAGAAAAATAAATCTACGAGTAGAACGGTTTTATAAAGTTTTGTAAATAAATTTTTGCGGAGAAGATAGACACGCGTATTCAAAATTTGTTGTAAATCGTTAATGGTTATGTAACGAGTAATACAATCTAGGAGTAATGAAAATATTCCGTGGGAAAAAAGAGAAATTCATATGGATCAGCAGCATTGAAACAGATGAATCGCAATTACGTATTGTAGATTCGGGAGAGATTGCCAACATTAACCGTAAATAAAAGTGTAAACGTTTATTATATTACATATGCAGGACCTCGTTAGTTATTAGTGTAATTAACAATTTAAAACTAATTGAAACTGTCGATGGCTTCGTTCGGGAATAAATTCGTGAATAATCTCTACTATTTTTACCACTAATGTATTTTCCTTGTAGGTTTCCATCTATGTATGGATTTGGGCTGTCAATATTTCACGCCACGACGAATAAAGAGCATTTCCTGTTTTTCCTGTCGACGCTGAGGTTCAATAACACGTTCGAAAGGAGCAAGCTTGTTCCAATTTCATACGTCTTTCATTTAGAAAATAATCCCTCCCTGATGCAAACATAATTATTTTCGTATTTTTATTTTCGTCCCAGTCGAAGTTAATTTATAATTTTTAAGTCGAACGGTTAATGAAACAGAGTGAAACCAGTTATCATTCATGATGTCACGTCCAGTGTATGCAATTAGTGTTCTTTTATAGTACTGGCAACACAGTTATCAACTCGAACAGGATTTTCCGGTTGCTTTCCCACGTTTTCCATACTCGCTGTACATTTAACTCTCGCAACAATATTCCGGCTAACCTATTTATTTACACTGTTCTCTTGTTTCTATACTTTTCAAACACCCGCGCCTCAAATATTTCGTGCAATATTTTCTTTCTTTTCTTTTTTATTCGCGTCCGGTACATTCACCCTTTTGTTATTGACGTTTTAATGATGGCGTGGTCGCGAAGGGGACGTTGTTTGTTGACATACATTATTATAATAATAATAATTTTGATGTCGAAAATGTTGAAGAAAAAATATTAAATTTTTGTTATAAACTTTCTGAAACATGGACAAGATGTAACTGCACAAAAGAGAGGTTCTTGAATAACAATACGGAATGGTTAAAAAAAGAAATACAATTTAAAAATCCTATGTCATCATCATCACTATATAATTATAATAATATTTATATGATATTAATTATAATTATATTTATATGATATTAATTATAATTATATTTATATGATATTAATTATGATTATATGATACGATATTATATATAATTGTAATGATGATGATGATGATGACGTTGACGACGATTCGTATATTTTTTTATTTGACCGCACCGTGTCCAATTAGGCGTCGCGATGGAAAGCGTCGTATTTCAAGAACGTCGTTGCGGTCGCGTTTGTCGCTGGGAAATCGGTCCCGCGGTTCGTTTTTCGTAAATAATTATATCGTAAATAATGCGCCCAGCGAGCCCGCCGCCCACGTTTCGAATCATCAACGCGTTTCCGACTGCGCACAATGAACCGATTTCCGATATTTGAACGCGATACACCGCCGCGGTCGACGAGCTTGTCCATAAATCAGGAAGAGCACGCTGGGGGGGTGGTTACACGACCCCCTATGGCGACACAAGCTTGAAAAATTCTGCCCATCCAGTGTTTTTGGCCAACTTTGTAACTACTATCCCCTCTAATAGGATCTGTAGCTGTTTGTTTCACGGGGCAGGTCGTAGGTCGACCTGCAACGATATTGGTCATTTATATTTCTAATCGAATACGGATAAAAATTCTCATAAATCACGTGAACAATCCTTGATCCTGTAAAGTTGATTTTTGGTTACCAATTTGTAAAATAAAATTAAGCAAAATAATTCAGTCGAGTCCACTTAACCCTTAACATTTTTTCAAGTCCAAACCAAAGAGATATCATACACTTGAAAATTACAAAATACAGCAGTAATGTAAATGAAACAGATATTTAATTGAATTTGTTTGTTCCTCTATTTGTTTAAATTGTCCTATTTTTTAGTTAACGTAAACTTCAAATAAAACACTTAAAAGCGTTGGGTGGTGCTGGTTACAAAATTGAAATATAATTCGGAGTGCAAAGGGTTAAGGGTTAATATCCATCTTCGATGGATCTGATACATGGAATTATTTAAAAATTTCCCGTAGAACAGGGGAGCATCGAATCGAATCAAACACGTATATTAAGGAAAGGAAAATACTTTCTAATAGTAAATAATTAAAGAGAATGGTAAGGTTCGTAGAAAACAATGGGTCTCGTGCTCCATTTGCAGCGCGATGCGTTATTGAGGCCATTTATTATTCACGCTATTTTATCGGTTGCTTCTTCTCGCTCTTTTATTATGCACCTTTAACGCGTTTACTCTTTTCATTATTTTACGAGATTTCATTACTCCGGTTAGTTGTAACTTCTCGCGGGAATAAAATTCAAAAAAAAAGAAAGAAATTCTTGCCCGCCAAACATGCTTCGAGGTATTGTTTCCCAGCCATCGTTCCCTTTGATTCTTTTTAATGCAATTCCACCTTGACATCGAAAGGTGAGAATTAACGGTCCGTCCGGCGCGTTCGCGTTTCAAAAACTAATGAAATTGCCCGCACTTAGAGCTCGCTTGGTTTAAAAGGCCTGCCAGGGGACATTTAAACGTCCTTTTCCAGAGGCCGCAAAGGGCATTTAAATGTCCTCCGCGGCCAAAGAACGGATCAGCGTCTCTGTTAACGATAGCATCGATGGTTTTGCCGGCGTCCATAAAATACGGGACAAAGGTTTTCGCGACGCTCGAGACACGCGTTCGAGTTTTTAAAAAACATAATAAAATAACGAAACGTCACTGCGTCCCGTTCCACTGGGAACCTCCGTTATTTCTATATTCCGACAAGAAAGAAAAGCATTCGAGCTGTTAGAAATAGTTTATTTTTTAAGTTATCATTCTTTTTTTTTTCTTATCGTCTCGAGCAGTCGATGCTCGTCGAGTTTTCCCAGCGTCGTATCGGTACCCGCGAAAATTGGACGTTTCGTGTTCGATCGAGGTTCGCGCGATCGCGGTGTTTTTCTTTGGCGAATCGCTCGCACGAAGAACCAATCTCTATTTCACCAGATCGAACACAGACCGTGCAAAACCGAGTTCGATTACGAATTTGCGTCACAGGCGCCGATATATCGTCGCTTCGATCTTAATTGCCTTTTCAATCCCGGAATGTTCATTCGACTATCGAAATTTCAATTAAAATCATCGCCCGTTCCGATTACCCGGAACCGTTCCTACGGCCATTGAAATCCCCTATTTCAACGGCCCTGGAACGTTCCGACCAGCTGGATTTGCTTCCGTTTCGTCTCTTTCGTACGTCAACGTGCGATTGTTCCGCCGCGCAAAAGCGAAGACACGCCCTTCGCTCTGCTCTTTCTCGCGCAAAAAGATTCCTAAACATAATATTTTCATAGTCCGCGACTAGGGAAGTGTAGGAATTCTCGCATATTTGTAACGCGAGCCGTGACTAGAATATTCGTCTCGGCGCTCGAACGATGGAAACTATGCGCGCCTGGATCGATCGGGATTTCTTTTAAAAAATTTATTACAAAACTCTTTTTATTCTTTTGATTCTACGAAAGCGAGGGATTCGTTTTCTCGCGAAAGATCGTCGCAATTTTGGTCAATTGGAGCAAATACGCTTATAAGCATGACGCGATTTCTTCACCAACGTCATCCATGATTCTCTCGGGCGACTTTGTCGCTCTCTGCACTCTGTGTTAGATTTATGTAGGTCGCAGTCTCGCTGATCAAGACTTCAACAATATCTCTTTGTCGAGTGGAAATTAATTTTACAGCAGGTTCGCAGCAGAAAGATTGTTAACCAGTTGTATCGTGCTTCAAGCTTGTAAAAATCGAACGCAAGCGACTTTGAAGTCTCGATAAAACCGAAGAGTGGAATTGCAGTTTCGAAAGAATTCAATATTCAATTACGAATCATAATTGTTCGGATCACAGTGTTCTCGAATTCCTTCGATCTTTTAATTTCTTAAAATGTCTGGCTCCGCAATTCCGTTTTCACGCTTTCACGAAAGATCT